CAGTTCCGACTGGTGGTGGCGGCCCACCACCTCGACGGACGAATCCGCCGAAGAGGTGGCCAAGGAAGACGCGGCCGTCAAGGAACGACGGCGGGACCGGTTCATGGAGAAGCTGGTGAACAACCCTAGCTGGGCGCACGGGCTGAGCAAGGATCAGGTGGACGAGTCCAACCAGCGGTTCCGATCCTGGATCAATGGACCGGAAGGCGACCAGAGCGGCGCAGCTGCCGCGTCCGACGCTCAGGACGACAAGGCCGATACCGAGATGACGGACGTCGCGCCGCCTGCTGCATCCGAGCCCAAGGAGTAATGAGGCTTGGGGGGAGCGGGGAAGGACTTCCGATAGGTGTACCACGTACGGATGGGAGGGGATTATGATGATGATTGATAAACCAAACTAGCCGAGGAGAGAGAGCTTATGTTGACTTTTTCCTTGTTGACGCGCGATATTTGTTTCTTTCTCCCATCCCCGGGGCGGGCGTAACTGTGTGGCATGTAAACTTTTTTTTCATCTTCTTCGGACCGGACTGAATCCCGCCAGGTTCCAGGTTCCATGTTATTATTGATGTCTGTACTTTTTCTTTCCTATCGGTCTTCGCTTTCAGGTCCATGATGAGCGGATACGGGTTTTAACTATGGTTGCACGAATGGGAATTTTTCTTTGATCTATAAGTACGGTACTTGCAAGGGGTTTCAGGCATATACGAGTCGAGTGGTAGGGCATGGGTGGAACTTGTCTCAGTGTCTGTTGTAGGTCGGGGCCAATCACCGCACAGGCTGATTGTTTATACAGCTCGGAGGGAGTCACATTAGTGTTTGGAACCTGTGACAGGGTTAAACATTCTTTATTTGTGTTTGAGCTTTCTTCTTCTTCTTCTTCTTCTTCTTCTTCTTCTTCTTCTTCTTCTTCTCCAAGAGGTATACCCTTAAAAAAGATCTTAATAACTCTTAGATATGCCTCAAATTTCTTAAACTCCTAATTTGACTCAGTGACCTCGTGCAGGGGTGGCATGGGGGCTGGACTTTTCTGGTTATGGGATTGGTTTATCTTGAAATTTCTGTGATGGGGCCTAGTCGGTAAGCGATTTGATGAAGCTCATGAATGGTGATATAGAACACAATCTTGATTCCTTGGTACTCGTAGTCAGTCCGTTACTATGGTAAACCAAGTAAGATATGGATATTTCAAGCAGCCCAGTAAACCGCCTAGGTCATATAGCCTGATGACCCAGGAATCCCGGACCCTCCTCTTCAACCGCACCATCTGTGATCTGTGAAGCCCTAGCACACTTTACCAAAGCAGCAACACACTAAAATACCTATGTATAGTTTACTTCAAAGCACTATCTGGAGGTCGGACGGTTTGCTCTCGGAATCCTTTGCACCGTAGCTGGGCCGGTAGTCTGGGTAAGTTACCTAGTCGCCGGTCTGTCGCCGGTCTGTTGCTCCCTCGCGTGGCTGGCCTATGAATCTCCTGGCCGGTGGCCATATCTGGTACCTAGCCGATCTAGCCGATCTAGCCGATCTATCTCGTGCCCTAGCCCATACGAACTACAGTAATGCCTTTAGAAACTCCCTTTGGGTTGTATAGATCTCTTGTTGATAGCAGCAAGTGGCGAAGTCTCGCTTTTCGCGGCGGTTGATCGCTTGGAAAGGCTTCTTTTGTTGCATCGCCCATCCAGGAGATCAAGAAAGAGCTCTTAATGCACATTTGTTCTTACTCTGATTTGGGGGGCAGGCTGGCTTTTTGAGGGGTGGGTCTTGGAGGTAGGATCGTGATCGATGGAGTAACAGATTCGATGTAGAAAAATACATGGATCGGTATAAGGACACGTGGATTCGAAATTTTGTGGGCTTGATTTGTTGGCTTGTTGATGGAAAGATGTATAGACTCAATAACTTTGATAACTTATCAATTGTTAAAAAAACACACATGGGTCTTTTAGGAAACATGTTAGCTGAGTTAATTTTAACCATCTCGGTAGTTATACAAGGCATCAAATTCAATTATTCAGAAAACCATAAGTATACAAAAGAACTTATCCTAGAGGCCTAAGAGGCTCCAGTCTCATAAACCGTAAATAATTGAACAAAGCTCAGGGATGGGTAGTATAGAACGATATCTTGATTCCTTGGTAGTCGATTAGTTGAACTTGCTAAGAGATTCTGAATATATGTCAAGCAGCCTGTTAAGCCGGCTTGGTCACATGGCCGGATGACCCCGGGAAGCCGACTTAGTCCCCAGCCTGCTTACAGCACTATAACCCTTCAATGTGTTGGAAGTAGTGCTAAAGCTTCTTGACCCATTGCGTCTGGCTCTCAAACAAATCCCTCTCCTTCCCCACCATAGCTTTCAGGCCCAGATCTCGTAGCTCGGTGAACAGCGCAACGGCATCCCAGTACAGATGATGCGGGGTCCAGCCATCTCTCGATACGACGCCCGCGACGATATTCCAGAAGTCTTGCACATCATTCCACCCGGCATCTTCCTCTGCATGGACCCGGAGATCTTCCTCGGTGAAATGGATCGGACAGGGAAAGTCAAGTCCTAATTCAAGGAATGATGATTTTAGCGGAAGGAAAAACAAGAAAAAAAGAACCGGGGGAAAAAAAGGAAAAAAAGGAAACACGCTATAAAACAGGAGGAGTTATGCGGAAATCATGCCGTTCCTTACCTCTCGAGCCTGATCAGCGATTCCCGCAAGGGTAGTAAAGGTCGTCATCCCATGTGTCGCCCACGAACAGAATTGGTTCGCACCTTGTCCGGCCGTGGTCCCATCGGAGGACTTTATCCAGTAGGGGCAGCTCTTTGGCAATCTGCTTCTCGTAGAGGTAGAGCAGAATTAAGCAACTTATAAGGCTTCTAATCCGGGTCTTTTCCGTCGGATCTAGATGCATAAAGTCCTCGGGGGCTTGCAGAATAACTTTACTGCTGTAATCAATGAGCCTTGGGTAACATGCTTAGAGGATCAAGAGCCCTTGCCAGTCTATCACACTCAAGGTTTTACTGTTGTGAACAAAGATGTTCCCCGTGTGCAGATCAGTATGCCAGACGTAGAGTGCAACCACAGCAGGATTATATGCTGGGAGCAGATAAGGAGCTACTCGAGTTCTGCGTTGCTGAAGTCACTAGCGGGTCGTCTTTGGCTCTTGGAGTTGCGTATTACTAGATCCATGCCTCTTCTTAGTAAGTTAGCAAGAGCACATAGTCCTATGGTTATTTCCCCTTTTTTTTCTTTTTTTTTTTTTTTTTTCGCAATCCATAAGTATTAGTTAGGACAGGAAAGAAGAACAAAAACAAGGTAACAAACATGGTCCTCGGTCCAAGACCATTTCTGCGCGTTCTTTGGACCAATAGTATCTTTCTATAATCGGGTCGATCACCAAACAACAGCAGATTGTATCTTAGAGCTTAGCAGATATTTCTGCACAGATATCGGCGGGTACGGTACCTCTGATATTGGCACCGGCATAGTACAAACTCCCATAGCTTATAAGTCATAATTAGCAGGATAATAATAAGTCATATTCAACTTGGGGGTTTAGAGAAAACCTATTTAGTAGCACTTGAAGCATTTTTCTCTCAAGTTAAACTAGATCCTTTATAACCACTATTTTCCTCTTAGAAGAAAAATCCTCCTATACAGCTTCTAAATTCGTACCGCAGGCTTCCTCGATAATAATATACTCAGAACCGACAGGGTTACCCCCCATCTGCATTCTAAGCGTACCCGCGAGGTATGGGTACTCTAAGGATTGTACAGGCCTGTATTTCATCTTATTTAGAAAAATATATCAATCATACTGGGAAATTTATGTTCAGGAATTCACAAACTCCATTGTTGCAACTTCTAACCCTGTGGTGTAGTATATTTGGCTGACAGCTTCATTGTTGGCTTGAATATGTGAAAAGGTCGCCGCTGCCGGCGTACCTACATAGTGGTGAAGTACTGTACTGTACTGTAGTCACGGGTAATTTTACCAGTTCCTTTATTGCGACATCTCTGTTATCACTGGTTGACCCCCGGCAAGCCCCACACAGTCTCCATGTGAGCCCCACAAAAGCTTTGACAGTTATAGAAATAGTGGATCAAGATAACAGATCTATGTACACCCAATCCAGTATTCCTGCAGTTCACACAGCGTAGCTCGCTCCTTGCTCCTGCTCATTTCGAGCCCTTGAAGTCCACCAGGCGGCTTACGAAGCTGATCATCTCGGAGCCTTCGAAGTACTCAAAGCGTGACCACCCGCGCTTGTGCTTGAGTTGCTCCATAAAATATGATTCTCCGCAGCCGGGCATATCATGCGGCCCGATTACTTGAGTAGGATCTGCGGTGGTCCTACCTATGGTCACGCTCGCGTGGAAAGAGCCGTTGACAGGCTCAGGCAGGATGATGTGGCAGGAGAAGACAGTTATAGTCAGGTAAGTCGGATTGTCGTTCAGATATTCTGCTTCTGTCTCTTCTCGGCGACAGGTCCTGACCGGTGCTCAGGAAGAAGCTCTGAAAGCCATGTCTACAACATCCGCAATGCTTGGAAACCCGGCTGTTCGCAATGCCGCAAGTTCCAGACGGGTTTTCGAGTTCCCATGGCTGAGTAACCATGTTAAGTATTTTCAAGGCGAGGAAAGTCGAGATGGATAGCCGACATTCGTGGATGGGAGAAAACCCTTGGCAGAACGCGATCATATGCACAAGCCGCAGAGCTTTCATAGCTGGGCTTTTCTTTTGCCTTTGGTGAGGTGATACTGCGAGTGATCGGTAAGTCAATTGCTTCAGGAAGGATCGAGTGTGCTGAGTGCAATACACTTATGTTAAGAGCATATGTCGCTATGAGTGAATACAGACTACTAATCTTCATAGCCACCCCAACGTATTCAGTCTCGGTAGATGGTTGGGCCGCCATTCTCAACCCTGGCATGATTACTTGTAGTTGTGAAGACTCGGTCGCTCCTTGCTCCAGAACAATCTTCCACTCCTGTTCGCGCCCTCTCACCGGCTCATGTGCCTGATATTCGCCGAACCTTCCGCGGTCCACTGCCGTCTTCCCCGTCGTCCACTCCTTGACGTCTTTTCGTTTCGTAGCTGGTGGCATCGTTCACATGCTCGACAAACTTCGATGGACTGGATTCCACCAGCTGGTCCCTGAGGCGGCCGGCAAAGGTATCATATGGCTTGTGAGGAATCATCTTCCGATGAATCATAGGCCACGTTATACGCATTGCGGCAGACTTCAGGTTTCCGAGCGCGTCAAGAATCTCGGTGGTGATCGCCGCTTCACAGAAGAGTATTGATTCCTGATCTAAAGCGTGCGTCACGAGGAGACGAGACTGGGAAGATCATAAGCATGGGTTAGTTAGCATGGTGACGGTCAGAAGATGAGCAGGCGAATGAACGTACCATAAAGTGGCTTTCTGGTCCTGGTCCAGGGGATCTGAGTCGGAGAACGTGTTGACGCTGCGCAAGAGCCAGCAGAAGATAAAGGAAGTAAGGGTCTTCAGTCCAGTCCTTTGGGGTTGTGAGAGCGAGAAGATTTTGACGCCGACCAGGCACTCTGCTTGCTCGGGCAAGACCCTCGCAGTGGTCTATGCGGTCTCCATTGATATCGGTATAATGTACGTAGCCCACCAGCGGCGGCGAGCTATTATCGAGTGGGGTTTCACGACTCGGGACGATAGAACGCCATATAAGATGGGCGGTGGATCGGCCGGCCTTGGAAGTAAAAGTGGGTCCCTTGGCTGCTCCGCAGCGATGTTAGTGGGAGGATAATACTCAGTAGATAAATAGATCAATAAATAATGACTGTGCCTCTTACCGAGCGCGTGCAAAGTTCCGCCCCTCGCCTAACAAGAGTCTGCAGAGAGAACGGAGCTTCACCTCGGGAAACAGACGATGAGCTAGCGCTTCAGCATCGGCAGTACCCTTGGCATCTTTCGGCGCGGACTCTGAGTAAGCGGACGTCTTAAGATCGTCGAAGTGGCATCTCAAAGTCCATAGGAGAGGGTGATCTAGGACGTCACGCCGACCGTGGACAAAGTCCAGGAGCGGCTTTGGCGTAGAAGCCTGTGCCATCATCGGGATGGCAACATCGGTGGTGGCATTCTTGAGTTTGATGACTGGAAATGAAAGCGAATGACGCTTAATTGAGCATTCTGCAATAATGGGAAACAAACTGGAAAGGATAGTAAGGTATCTATCTATCTATCTTAAGGGATCTCAGCCTTGAATCAGGAAGGACAAAATCAAAGCAGGCAGTTTCTCACCGCCTAGGCAGCCGTTCCTGACCACGGCTCCACTGGTCCCAGTCCTGGCGACCGCCTCTCCGGTTCTTGACCCCGATTATCTATGACTAAATTCACTAGAAGGTAGGCATCAATTGAGTAACAGGCAAACCAGTTACCGAATATTCTTTGTCGAAACTTAGCCATAGCAACGGTGCCCAACAATGCTACATATGGAGGGAGTATGAAACCGGAATAACGATGATGCAGACATCCCACTTGTACAGTACAGTGCTACTTTCCGAACCTTTCTATTCTACCAAGGCTAAGTAGCTCGGTGTAGATTTCAGATACATGACCCCCCATCGTTCTGCCACACTACGACCACTATCGATCGTTCCTCCACAACACCAGCATTGCCATCTCTCATTTCGCGCAGCGACAAAGCATACCCTTGATCGATCTTCCACCGTTATTTCTCGATGCTGATGTTCGCGTGATCGTGAGGGAGCTACCTGATCCTCAGGATGACTGGCAAGATCAAGGCATTACGTACTATACATTTCGATGAACAATGCGCCAATCCCTATCTGCGCGTCCCAGGGGCTACATTCAGAGCATAATGCCAAACCCGAAAAGACACTGCCGCTCAATCTTTAGGGCTTCAGCGTCGTCCTACCCTCGCTGTCCCGCGAGCATGGACATGGGAGCTTCTTAGACAGGTAAGCACGCCCAATAGAGCGCAATTCAGCATATCACTCACTCGTTCCAGATTGGAATCTTCAGAATAATTTTTTCAAATTCACTCGTGGCCGCTTCCTTGTTGATGCGGCAGAGAATGCGCGAAAGCGAGAGATCAGATTTGACATGAACAGCCTCGCGAGAGTCGCAGCGCAGTCGGTGGGAGCCGCGCGATGCATTGCTATTAAAAAGTACCCTGACGGCATGTTCAACAAAGCGTTCCTCATGTCTATGGACGACGGTTAAGAAGTTGTAGCCAAGATTTCCAACCCGAATGCTGGCGTTCCGCACCTTACTACTGCTAGTGAGGTCGCCACGATGGACTTTGTAAGTTTATTCTGAACACTAATAATATTCTAGTCTTGCTAACTTCCCTGATCCGGGGAGGCTAGAAAATTTCTTGATACACCAGCGCCTCGGGTATACACTTGGAACTCGCGAGCCAATTCGAATCCTGTTGGCGCGGAGTTTATTATTATGGAAAAAATTAAAGGCGTTCCGCTCTTCCAAGTCTGGAGCACGATGACATTACCACAGAAGCTTCAAGTGCTTCTTGCTATAACACGTCTCCAGAAGCAATAGCTCAGCGTTTTATTCTTGCATTACGGCAGCTTGTATTACACGGAGGACACGCAGCCACCAGCAGGCAACCACTTTGTCAAGGATAGCCAGGCTGTGAGGAATTCGGGATTTGCCATTAGCCCGGCTACAGGCCGGGACTGGTGTGATGCAGGCCGATCCGATTTGGACGTCGAGAAGGGGCCATATACGTCGTGGTTTACGTTACTTATTTTATAGTTGCTGATCAGTTTACAGGGGCTTCTCTAACGCAGTATCTGCAAGCAGTCGGTACACGAGAGATGAAGGCAATCCAGTCTCTGGAACCTCCAAAAACAATTGTCTTATTCTGCGGCCCAAAGCTATACCGGCCAGACACACAAAAGAAACTTACTGCTTTAGCATGGTACCAACATATTGTTGATGCTCTTATCCCCAAAGATGCAGCCATCACCAGACCCTGCCTCTGGCATAATGATCTGCACGATGACAACGTCTTCGTAGACCCGTACAATCCCGGAGAGATTACGGGCATTATCGACTGGTAGTCCTGTCACATCTCGCCCCTCTTTAACTACAACCCCGATCCGGCCTTCCTCAACTGGGATGGCCTCAAGCCCGAAACACTGGACCTGGCACCCCGGCCCGACCTCTTCAGGCTTTTGCCGGAAGAACGGTCAGCTGCTGTCCAGAAGTACGCCATCCAGAACATGTTCATCGGATGGCGGAAACTCATGCATGCCAAGAACCCTGACTTATACCAGGTAGTCAAATTCCAAAGGACGGCCGCGTACGGGCTGATATTTCTGGCCCACCAAATGTTCAAGTACGGCGAGGCGCACTTCCAGTCGCTTCTGGTGGATCTGCAAGATACGTGGACGGACCTACCTGCTGTTGGTGACGGTAATGCCCCGTTCTTGTTCGACTTTTCGGAAGCAGAGATCGAGCGGATCAAGATGGATAGCAATGGTGCGGTGGCAGGGACCGAGCTGGTTGCTGAATTCAAGGAGCGGATGGGCGATCTGTGGCCGGACGAGGGCTTCATCGAGCACGAGCGATACAATGATTGCAAAGCTGCTCTCGACGAAGTCAAAGGCTTGATCCTGGAGCAGTTGGCTGAGACCGACGAGGAGAAGGCTGAGTATGAGCGCTATTGGCCGTTTGAATGAATTCTCTATACTAGGTAGTTTCGAGGAAGGGCATGTTTGTGAGGAAAGCATTTTCATCCATAATTTAATAGATGAGTGGGCGTGACGTTGAAAATCTAAGAGGATGTTTGAAGCAGCGATTTCTTGTCCATCTTGGTTTTTTCTTTCTTCTTGTTTTAGTTTCACTTCTCTATCGGTGTCTTGCTTTCAGGTCCATGATGAGCGGATAAATTTCACCTATGATTGTACGAATAGGAATATTTCCCTGACCAGTCTTTGTAAACTGGAGCCTCAGGCATGGATAAGTAGAGTCGTTGAGGTATAGTAAGTGTGGTTGACGGGGCGTGCTGCTACTGTTGTTACTGGTCCTATAGCCGGGCCGGAACCTCAGGATCAGCCACCGCGCCACCCCACGACCCCAGGAATTGTTTTTCCTTTTTTGTCTTGTTCGGTGTAGATTTGGGAGAATCAATTGAAGTGGATACTCTGTGCTTGCCTTCAGTTTTGCTTTTTCTGATGTTATTTGTGCGGCTAGGCAAGTAGGTTTGTGATGCCTCAGGAATCCAGCTAATTTGATCGTCTGTGTACATACAGGACACAGTACTACTCATAGTAGTAGCTAGATACCCGCGCTGGCAGTTGTTATTAACCGGGTGGCCATGATTTGGCTTCTGGGCTGGCTAAGCTGCCGATCGTCCATGCAGGGGAACCCAAAAGCTCCGTGTGGCCGAGACTGTTTCAAGGGTGCGATAACCGATACAGCCCGAGACTAGCCCGGTCGCTTGTAGCTGGGCCGGGACAAGTTCGGGGCGGTCGGAGATCCGTCGGGATTTACTGCATATTGGTGAGTTGGTTTCAGGGATGGATTATTCTATTGGAAACAGGCATTTAGTCGTACCTTACATGTGTCTCTTATGCTGTATATAGTGTATAAGAAGTTGGATGAGATGGTCCAGTAGAACCAGATGAAGATGCAAACAGAGCACTCCGGAAAGGGCCAGGCCTGGAAGGCGGCGGGCCGAGAAATCGCCGGGATGACGTCAACCACCAGTCATGGACTGAATTTACTGTAGCTTCTGCGACAAGACCTCAACGCCCCGAAGCTACTCGTACATCTGGCCACCTTGCAGCTTGTCATCTCGCTTGTCTTTGACCCCTGCAATTGACCACCTATGCTGGAATTATCTCACATAAGAAGAAGAGAAACCCTCAACCAATGGTGTGAATTAGCGAGCTTCCCTGAAGCTGAGCTGATAACCGCCGCGCGCGGCGATAAGTTCCACAGCAGCTGGCGCGGAGTAATTATCACCCACGGTGGACTGGACTGGACTGGGGGATGTTCATCATTTGCGGGGTGAGAGCACGTTAGTTCATTAGTTACAGTGTAGTACGTACGTATGTCAGTATTGTAGTCAGTCTAGGAGGTAAATAGTAAGTGGTACAATTGTGAATTATGGAGCCGTGTCTGACTCCGTATCCCCGAATCAACCCCGGGGCAGTGGAACGAGGCGGGGGTGGATTTTCCAGCGACAGCGACAGCAACAGCTCGACCGTATTTCTATCCCACCCTCTCCCCTCTTTTCCGGCCTTGCTCTTTCTCTTGTCAAATTTCCCTCTCTTTTTCTTTTTTCCTCTCCTTCTTCCCATTCCTCCCATCTCACCCCCACCCTCAATTGTCTTCCCTCCCTTCCTTTCTCCCCTCCTTTCTCCCCTCCCCTCTCCTCTCCCCTCTCTCCTCTCCCCTCCTCTTGAACCAGTCCCACAATGTCAGCCTCCGCCCTCCTAAAAAGCCGTGTCCGGCGACCCTCCTACCTCAAGAAGCTGGCCAAGGCCGAGGACTTGATCGACCTCTTCCCCCATGGATCGTACATCGGCTGGTCCGGATTCACGGGTGTTGGATATCCCAAGTGCGTTGCCCCATCCAACAGTTGAACCCTTGATCTGCGCGATTGGATTTTGCTCCAAGCCCGGACTCCCGGCTAATTGCCCTCCAGAAAAGTCCCCACGGCTCTGGCCGACCACGTCGAGAAGAACAACCTCCAGGGCAAGTTGAAATACAGCCTGTTCGTGGGCGCCTCGTCCGGCGCCGAGACGGAGAACCGGTGGGCGCGGTTGAACATGATCGAGCGGCGGAGTCCCCATCAGGTCGGAAAGGAGATCGCAAGGGGGATCAACACGGGGGACATCAAGTTCTTTGATAAGCATCTGAGCATGTTTCCTTCGGATTTGGTTTATGTAGGTCTTCCTCTCTTGCTTCAGATGGGGTTGAGGTGGCTGTCTCCGGCTGAACTCTTACTAACCCTCGAGACGTAGGGCTGGTACACCCTCAACAAGCCCAAGAACCGGCTCGATGTGGCCGTCATCGAGGCCTCGGCCATCACGGAGGACGGCGGCATCATCCCCGGTGCCTCGGTGGGCGCCTCCCCCGAGTTCGTCCAGATGGCCGACAAGATCATCATCGAGGTCAACACGGCCAGCCCCTCGTTCGAGGGTCTGCACGACATCGTCATGTCGGACAAGCCCCCGCTCCGCAAGCCTTACCTGATCATGCAGCCCGAGGACCGAATCGGCACCCCGCACATCCCCGTCGACCCGGAGAAGGTCGTCGCCATCGTCGAGTCCGACTACCCGGACCAGACGCAGCCCAATGCCCCCGAGGACGCCGGCTCGCAGGCCATCGCCAGCAACCTGATTGAGTTCCTCAAGCACGAGGTCAAGCACGGCCGCCTGCCGCAGAACCTCCTCCCGATCCAGTCGGGCATCGGCAACATCGCCAACGCGGTCATCGGCGGTCTCAGCAAGGGCGGCGCGGACTTCACCAACCTGAAGGTGTGGACCGAGGTCCTGCAGGACTCGTTCCTGGATCTGTTCGACAGCGGCAACCTCGACTTCGCCACGGCGACCTCCATCCGCTTCTCGCCCGACGGCTTCAAGCGCTTCTACGACAACTGGGAGCGGTATGCGGGCAAGCTCCTCCTCCGCCCGCAGCAGGTCTCCAACTCGCCCGAGATCATCCGACGGCTGGGCTGCATCGGCATGAACACCCCCGTCGAGGTGGACATCTACGCGCACGCCAACAGCACCTGCGTGATGGGCTCGCGCATGTTGAACGGCCTCGGCGGCTCGGCCGACTTCCTGCGGTCCAGCAAGTACAGTATCATGCACACCCCCAGTACCCGGCCCAGCAAGGTCGACCCCACCGGTGTCAGCTGCATCGTCCCCTTCTGTACGCACATCGACCAGACGGAGCATGATCTGGATGTTGTCGTCACGGAGCAGGTATGTCCTTCCCCTCTTACACTCGTTTCAATGAATCGTACTGACAGACGGAAAAGGGTCTCGCCGACGTCCGCGGCCTCTCCCCCCGCGAGCGCGCCCGCGTCATCATCGACAAGTGCTCCCACCCGGACTACAAGCCCATCCTCACCGACTACCTGGACCGGGCCGAGTTCGAGTGCCTCAAGAAGGGCATGGCGCACGAGCCCCACCTGCTCTTCCAGGCGTTCAAGATGCACCAGAACCTGCAGGAGAAGGGCACGATGAAGATCGATTCTTGGGAGTAGACCCACGCGTTTGGCGCAGTGGGAAAAGAAAGTGTAGGCTGGGGATGGGATGGAGTTATGATTACTGTGAAAGAGGGTGCCGGGAATGTGGATTATACCATAATAAATCATATCCTTTTTGTACTGCGTCGTTTTTGGTCAGGTGGTAGGGTGGGTTCCTGGGTTATGTACCATGAATGGATGCGATTATCCTGCTAGCAAGAAGAAAAAGAACCCACGGTCTGAAAAGAAATCCTACCACAAAAAGACAAGTATTTATCTTTCCACTAAGAAAAGCTCAACATAACCCGAACGTCAGATTGCGGATTTGTGTAGGGAACCATGCTCATGCAGATGATGCTCGTACAACAACACCTACCAGAAAGCATGTAAGAAGGAAGGGTTTTAAGGCACGAAGCTTAAGTTAATCCCACTAGACAGCGGGGCGGGCCGGCGGTCGCCCGACCCCAGCAAGCTACGGGCTGGAGTACAGTACATGTACAGTACGCTACTGACCGTGCTCGGTCCTTTGCACATAATCCACGACAGAAAACCCCCACCCCCTTGCCTCATTGAGTAGTACTGTACTTCGATTCGGTGACGAGAGAGACTTCATAGCTTTTGGACTGCTTGCCTGCTAAACAAAACCACTTTCCCTTCCGACATCGCACAACCCAACCCAGCCCTAGCAGAAGAGGAATATACTGTATAATGTCTGTCCATCGCGCGTGAACTCTAATGAACGGATCGAGTCAAGACAATCTTGTTATTGCAAATCCTCGTGGATCTCTCTTCCAGGACCCCGCAGGCACCCTGAGATACTTGAAAAGAGAGGGGGGAGGGGCGGGATCTTCCTAGGTACCATCCATCCTACAGGGTGCTTTTGTGAAAGAAGATTGCTGCTGCAGGTAACGGAGTACTGTACTGTGTATTGGACACATACAGGTACAAAAGACCTATGAACACCGAGTTTAGCAACTTGGTCCGAGCGAGGACGGGGCCCCTCGCTACTTTGCCCTTTCTCGAATTTCGAGAAAACTTGGGATCTGAAACTACAGGATATTCTATGGTAAAGAATGCTTTTCTCTTGGTAACTTGTTTTCTTTATTCGGGAACAAGAGAAACAAAACCTAAGACTGACCTACTTACTTCCTTACTTACGTGAACTTTCCTGGTCTAGTATACTTGGGGGCGAATTTGATGTACAGTACATACAGTTGACTCAAGGAGCATGGTTGGGGCTAATAGACAGAGTTGGCTGGACATATGTTCACTGCCGAATGAATCATACTGGTACCCTGAAACTGGAACTATACCTCTGCGCTAGAACTCGATGATGGGCGAGTATCGGGTGATTTGTGAGCAAGCCAGCTCGTGGCTTTTGGGGTGTATCAGGGAGGTGATCAAGAGAAAAAAAAAGATTTTGAGCCTTCCGATTTGTATAGCTTACCGCTTGTATGCTTGTGAAGTGACACTTGGCGAAGAAGAACAGCAAGCAGGATCCCGCGAGTGCCGTTGATGTGGATTGATGCAAGCAAGGAAATCCGTATAGAACTTTGGTTGTACAAGAATTGAGACTGGTACGTAGAAGAACAAGGACTCGGAACTCAATCTGGTCCCTGGAAGCTGAGTCCCTGACCTCGCCGATGGTCGTGCATGAACCCCTTTCCAAGCCCCGAGTTCATTTTGCAAGATTTTCGGATCCAATGCGGAACAGCCGGAGAGTGAAAGAGAAGAGGGGAGGGAGAGAGAGAAGCGGACACACGCCTAGGCATTGATTGCGAGACAAAAAATTGATCTGCAGATCGATTCAAGCTAGGAGTAGATTTCCTATTCAGGCACTCAGCTCCGGACGGCCCCGTTAAAGTAATATAGGGCTACGGCCGCGTATATCTAGCACTCACTGCAATTGCCGCCCAGTAGTAGTAGTAGTAGTAGTAGTAGTAGTAGTAGTAGTAGTAGTAGTAGTAGTAGTAGTAGTAGTAGTAGTAGTATAGTACTGAGGTAGATAATGAGGCTATATCATCAAACCAAACCACCTGAGTTGTGTTTTTGACTTACTTGCTTGGTACTTTCTACCAGCTCCCTTTGTCTCAAACAAATTTGATCCTCATCCCCCGCCTCCCATTCCTCCCATTTAAACCCGTTCACCCCCACACAGACGCTTACCGGCCTCAATGCCAATAGTCAAGCAGATACGTACTCCAGGCAAAGCGCCATCCGAGCTCATCGAACCATGGAACCCGCGGTCTGTCAGGAATCGAGAGGGCTGAAAAATTGTATGACGGCAAGAGGGAGGGAGGCGACCACCTTGGAGGCTCTGCCGCATATTTCCACATTCCTGGCGCGCCAAGTGATCAATCATTTCTCCCTTGGTTTTTCAAATTTTTACGCGAATAGAGAGGGTCCAAGGTCTTCAGGGAAGATTTAGTAACTATCCCAGCAGCACCTATTGTTTCTCGAAGGGGGTTTTCTTTTCTTTCAATTTTTGTTTCTGTTGTTTAATCCAGGTATTATCGTGAGCGGCCTCCAATCTGATACTTCCGGCACCGCAATTGAGCCACGGACCTGGTTTTCTATCTTTCTTGCTTTCTGATTTTATGCCGCCACACAGTCCTTGACCATATTCTCGACCTGGATGTTCTTTTCCTGAAAGACCGGGCCAAAGGCCTCGATGGTCTCGTCGGAGATATCGCGCCGCGCGGCCGCCATGGACGCGTATTCGTCGGCGGAGCGCTGCCCAACCAGCAGGAGGGTATTCAGGATGGTCATGACGCTGTTGTCGGGGTCGTCGACGATCTCGTAGATGCTGTCGGCGACGATGGCGGCGTCGCCGACGACGGCGACGATCTCCGCGACGTCGGCCAGGGCGTCGCTGATGGCGTCGAGCTCGCCCAGGAAGGGGACGACCAGGAAGATGGCGCCGAGGATCTCCTCGATCATCTCGCGGTGCTCCCAGGCCTTCTCCTCCTTGCCGACGGTGACGACCTCCTGCATGGAGCTGACGGCCTGGAGGAGCAGCACGACGGCCAGCGAGACACTCTGCACGATGTCGTCGCTGAAGCCGGGCCAGGCGCCGACGAGCGTCTGCAGCTGCGCGGCCAGGATGTTCTCGCGCAGGCCGTCCAGGTGGGGCAGGGCCTGCGCCACGACGGTGCGCGGGTCCGTGATGTTCACCTGCGCCGCCTTCCGCGGCAGCCCGTAGAGGTTGTCCGTCCACGCCACGCAGTCCGGGTTCAGGTGGCCCACGCAGATGTTGTAGTCGGCGTGGCGGCCGTCGTACCGCACCCAGCTCGGCTGGATGCCGTAGTCCGCCAGCAGCCACCGCTCGAACGCGGTGGTGTTGCGCGCCTCAAAGTAGACGTTGTACGACGCGTGCCCGTCCGTGGCCGCCATGTTGGGGCACGGCGCCGCCGTCCCGTTCTTGCCCTCGACCTCGATGATGCAGTCGAAGTACGCCAGGCCCGGCCCCGCCGGGTCCCATTCCATCGCGCTGGCCAGGGAGCTCGTGATGTTGTTCTCCACGTACCGCTTGTAGTACTTCAGGGTCTCGTTGTAGTCGTTGTGGGCCAGGATGTCGGTGTAGTTGGCCACCACCACGTCGATCATGTTGTCGAGCACATCGAGCATGTAGAACGGGATGCATTCGTCCGCTATCTCGGCTGACTGGAGGTTGAGGTCGGCCATCGTGGAGATGGTGAGGTTGTAGTCGCACGGCGACTGGACCTCGCACCAGCTCCTCGGGTCGTCGTCGATGCAGGAGAGCTGGTCCTCCGCCGACCAGGCGTCCCCCAGCTCGCACTCGTCGTAGCATCTGTCTCGCTCACACGCAAAATCACACAGCCCGTAGTCGTCCAGTCCGGAGGTCAGATGGGCGGTGACGCTGGCGTTGACCACCGCGAACAGGTCCAACGCGCCCGTGGCGGTGCAGTTGCAGGCGTGGATCGGGCAGAAGCCGTGGGCACAGCCAAAGCCGCACAGATTGACAAAGTCGCCACTGCCCTCGCCGGCGGTGCAGGCCGGGGGCGCGAAGTCCGAGACTGTGGGGATGGTGAGGGCCACCTCCACGGTTCCGCACGCCGTGCTCGGGCAGTAGCCGTGGTTGCAATCGAAGGAGCACAGTCCGCTGTAACTGGCATCTTCGCCGGTGATCGGGTAGCCCTGAACGCCCGTGTCCTCTGGCACCGTGGGCGCCGGTCCAAGCTGCGAACACACGCAGGCGGTGATCGGACAGTACCCCCACGAGCACGCTTGCTCGCAGAGACCCAGGAAGTTCCCATCGCCCCAGCCTTCCACACAGAGGTCATTGACTGGGTCAAAACAGCCGAGGTTCAAGCCTCACGAAGCAACTCAAAGGTGACAGCCCTCCAGAATCGGTACAAGGACTGGGGAAATGGCGGGAAAAACAAGTTGTACGGCCACCACCAGAACATCCTGCGCTCCTTTGCAACATATCGAAATGTCCTCAATGCGGTTCCTAGCTGTCGGGCCCAGATTAGCTAGCATAGGAGGTTTGGGGAAAGGGTGTTCCATCTAGGGGGGGCAAACACGGCCATGGCTTTTCCTTTTACTTTGGTGGCTTTGGGGGTGGTTTATGATTTGATACATCATACCTGGGACTTTTGCGGCACGAAAACAGAGCTCAACACACATCCATCATCCAACATGTTTGTGACTCTCGGTATTCGAGAAGCAACTGTAGTAATATACAATTAGAGTCTTCCTTGCCTTCCGAAACAATTCCGCGAATATTCACTTGTCTGCCCCTATTCACAGTTTTCATACACTAAGAGTTTTAGCCGAGCCACGGCCCCCAAGCCCCACCTTCTCGTGCCTGCTTTCCCTTTGAACAGGGACTTTCTCCTAGACTGGCACATCCATTTGATACTTAAATTCATAATACTTGTAGGTGGACTACCAAGTGTTACTCAACACCTAGCATCGGCGACTTGCAAGTGCGTTCGTCCTTGTCCTACGACCTTCTAGACAAGTATCTTGACATAATGCTCGTCCTACTCCCCGGAGAGATGATTCTCCAGGTGGTCTCTTTCCTCGACACCCGAGATCTTTCGCAGTTGGTCCTGGTATCAAAGGACTACAGCGAACTCTTTATCTCCTCTCTCTATGAACGAGTTGTCCTTCCTCTCAATGCTTACTGGGACGATGGGTACAGACTCGTGGATGGGAGTCACAAAAACCCCGTGCGCCGGTTTTCCCAGGCGATGATCGAAAATCCACGTCTCGCACCCTTGGTCCGCTCCTTGACTTTGTACCCAAGTCATTGTGAGAAATGGAGGTCTTGTGCTCCACTCCCGGCCGTGCCGGAGGAGAAATTTCGCGCTTTGATGCTGCCATACGGCGATGCGAAACGCAAGCATCGACGCAAATACCGCGCCTGGAGAAGAGATCTCCGCCCTGATCGAGAACGACAAGACATGTACCATGAGCCCTGGAACTACGAAGATGCCTGGCTGGCACTGCTGTTAGTCCAGGTCCGAAACCTCGAGAGATTAGCCATTCGACTGCCGGAGGAACGCATGCAATTCAATTTCGAAACTATCCCACAGACGCAGGGGTACACCACACACTTCGACCGGGTAATCCACTGGGCGAGAAACCCCGAGCTTGGGATCCTCACGCGCCTCTCCCAGGTCTCCCTCCGCGATGGACCGGCATGGGAGGGGGAAGGGGCTATCGAGGCCGTGCCCCTAAAGCGAATGCTTCCCTACCTACGCATCCCGTCTGTCCGCACACTCTACGTCCGCAATCCATGCAACAGTTCACTGCCCCGTAAACTTCTCAGAGATCTGGTGCCAAGCTCCTCCTCACTCACGCACATCGACCTGGAAGGGCCGCACGATGCCCTGTCCAACCTACCCCAATTCCTCGAATGGTGTCCAAACCTTGAGTCGTTCGCCGTGGAGATGGATCAGCCATGGCATTGGCGCAGCTGGGTGGATGTCTCGCAGCTCTATCGTCCGCTCCAAAAGTCTCGATCCTCCCTGCGTCATCTGCACGTGGCCTTTGCTGGCCGGGGACGCGATTTCACGCAGGACGCGGAGAGTCCCCGGCCCACCTTCTTCGGCGATCTTTCTGTTTTTCCGAATCTGCACACGGTGCATATGCGATGGAGCAACCTGCTCCCCTTCCACGGGAGCCGCGCACTGGAACCCGCGCAACCCCTTCGAACACTATTGCCGCGCTCGTTGCAGAATCTGTACATCGAAGATTGCGTAACGCAGGGCGCGTGGGCGCTGGGGAACGAGCTCGAAGGCCTACTCCAGTATCGCCGGGAGGAGCGGGGGCTGCCAGCCCTGCAACGCCTCTTTTGTCAATTTGTCCACCACGAGAGCCACATCCGAGGACTGCCGGCGCGATCGAGGGAGGAGAAGGCCCCTGAGCCGGACCTTGCTTGGGAAGGCCGACTACGTGGGTTGCAGGAGGAATTCGGGACGCTGGGGGTGTCTCTGTCCGTGATCGAACGCGGGGCCAGCGTGCCCTTCCCTCCGGATCGGGCCCTGAGACACAAATGGCCCCTCTGCGAAAACGGCAAATACTACGACTATTTCAACTACTAGCTGTTAGATAGTATTACGGTCAAATCCGGGGATATGATAAGGGGTAGTTTTGTCGTGCTTTCCCAGAAATAAAACAAAGAACTTTCAATCTGCTAGCGCCTTGATTTCAAATATGTAATTATCGACCAATATTGCTTCGCACCAACCCATGGTACATTGCTTCAGAGTGCCCGAAACTGGACTGGAGCTCCATAAAAGGGGTAGAGAGAGGAGGAATTGCTCCTCAGGCACTTGAAGTGTTGAAATTTTAGGCTCTTTCACGCACTAAACATGCAAAGACGAACGCCGAGGACAGTGGGGCCGGTGGGGGTGGGGTGTTCGGTGCGTGTTCACTGTTCACAAGCCTTTCTGACAGGGTCTTGTCCGTTCTTGGCTACCGGGGACGCTAGCCCTGAGGTCTGTGACTACTTATTTATCTTCGGAAACTAACGGCTCCATTGCGAAAGCCACTATGAGTACTCTTCGAACTTCGTATCCAGAGGATAGTTTATCGCCTCCGCAATCCGGCCGGATCGGCCGGTCCCTTAAAATCCCTTATTCCTCTAAACCTCCGCTCCGGCCCGGAGAACATACAAGACCTTGAGATCTGATTCGAAGGTTATGACTAGTAGATAAAATTTTCCTTATCTCGCTACCGGACCGACGCATAGGAACTATTGAAAAGCTAGTAGTCCCATTTCAACGGTGGTGGACCCCCACCCACAAATTAACCATAGGTGATGGAGTAGCGACAGCCACGAAACCGCTCCATGCTTCCGATAGTTTTCACGCCAATATCCATTGTATTGGTCATTTGTCTATTCAGCTGGCTTAATCCTTTCCCGGAGGTGATCCCAGCGGAAGGGGCTGCCGAATGATGGAGAAGCCGTGCTATGAACCCTTTCGCCGTAGTCCCGAAATGAGACCTTCAGCCCGGTGCCAAAGTCGAGAGAAAAAAAAAAACAAAAAAAGGCTTGTATTCATTGATACATGGCAATGTGCATCTCCGAGACATGAATGGATAATCAATTTAACCTTGCGCAAGTATGCAAAAGGGTGTGAGATGAGGAACAGAGGTCACCGTGACAGATTCAGCAGACCCGATGCCCCGGTTTTGACTGCGAAATGCGAAAACTCTTCTACCACGTCGGACAATTCCCTACCTATTCTACTCTTGACTGTCATTATTATATCTATCAATCAATCTCGCTGCCAGAGCTTCACCCACTCGCCCTGGGAGAGATCCATATTCGTCCCCTCTTTCCCAAAGTTCAGCCAAGTTTCGCTTCGCCGCCATAAGTTTTTTTTTTTTTTGTTTTTTTCTCTTCCTATCACAGCAGGTCCCACAATGAGGTTTGCATCATTCTTCTCCCTTGTCCTCCTCAGCGAGGCAGTCGGCCGTGTCTCAGGCAACAGCTGCCTGGACCAGGTCTCCGCGAACACGATGGCGGTGTTCAGCGGCGCCCCGTTCGCGCTGGCCACTCGGTACGACAACGGGTCGGCCTGCGCTGGCTACTGCGATGGCCTGGCGGAGTGCCACGCGTGGCTGTACAGCGCGCGAGGCGGCGACTGCCAGCTCTACAAGAAGACCGCCCTCTCCACGTTCCCGTCCCAGCATTTCATGTATGGTGTCTGCAGTAGTGGTGGTCGTCGCCGGCCGTCGGCGACGGCTGCTTCTACTACTGCCAGTTCAGCCGTGGTCGTGGTGGTTGGGTCGCCTACGAGCTCTGATATCGGTGTTCCCACGCCGCCGGCGCTCTCAGTGGCGAGTGGTAGCAGCACTGGTAATGCTTTGAGTGTAAGTGTGATTTCTCCCTTGCTTTACTTGCTTTTTTCTTCTCTTTTCTGGTGCGACTGTTGTTTACACTCTCGAAAGGATAAAATTCAGTCTGACACTTTGGATACTAAACAATCGCGTAGAGAAAGCACCTCGACAACCACCGTCACCACCACCATGGTCATCGGCATTGAGATCGAGCTCGTCACGGAAACTCCTTGGGTTCCTTGTATTCTTTCTATTGTCGGATCTCGTCAGCGTAAAGCTTCTTGTGCAGGAACTTAGAAGACGTAATTTGATTTTTCTTGTAGGCAGGGGATTATGAGATTGGATTGACTTCTTTCCCTCGACACTCAGTGTGGTAGGGTTCGTTCGATACATATCATCAGAGAATGATCGTCTTCAGCTGTCCGTTTCGCTGTGCCCTACACTCGACGCGGAACACTTTCCCTAGGGAACACCAACCAGAAGAAAGAAGAAAAGAACTGACAATGGTCGGTTAAGACTATGCCTCGGAGTTGAGTAGAGTAGAGGACGGCCAAGATCTAGATGGATATCATGCAAGCACAGAGGCTAGTGAGTAAGTGCTCTGGCCCCACTGAGGTAACTTGTACTTCTGCCTTAGGCAATTGTTATTGACACACTGTGCATTACCAATACATGCAAACTAAACAATCCTAGTATAAAAAGTCAAAACAATGTACGATAATTATACCTTAGAATTTGTAGGTATACAGTATCTCTATAAATACAATATCTGTATAAAAAGGGTTTTTAGTATCCACCTTTTAGATGTTGCGATCGATGATCAAAGCTGTGAGCACAGGCGCCGCTGCTTGCTCAGCTTTGCTCTTAACGGGCAAGTTGCCTACCAAACACATATACTCCCATTCCACTTGGGTCCCCTTACATCACTCCGCTATGCGTTGGGCCATTTATGGAGCGAGCTTATAGACAAGAGACCCAAGACAGATCTACATATCAATAAGCTGTACGTAATAATTATTCTATTATCTGAATTATAAATTAACGGTTATAAACTCTTCGCATTAACCTGCATCCACCGCTTCTGGAGATCATGGCAGAGCTCAGCCAGCGCAGAGACCTGTAATCATTCAGTAGCTACACCCCAGCAGAGTTAGCCGAGGAGTTTGAGCAATTCGCCCCCGGGGATTTGCAGTATAAAAACCAGGGGTTGGGTCAACAAGTACAGCTAGGATTATCTGGTCGAAGTTTTAAAAAGCCTATTTATAAACAATACAGGCAAAGCACATGTTACTTTCAATTCTTCGCCAATCCAGGAAGCGGTGCATATCGTTTTGTACAGTTTATATAGGTTCTCATTGGTATCAAGCTCCAAGCAGCTCTAGAACCTGAACACAGCTTGAAAGATCAGTAGATAGTCTGGAAGCTGGAAGAATATCTAGGCTTTATGGATCATATCTCTAGGTGATCAGCTTCATCGGATAGTCCCGGAGCTATTAGAGAATGAAAGCTGAACAACAATCACTCTCTAGACAACACCTTAGTGAAAAAATTAAACTAAACACAGTCCAACTGCAGCCTCGCCCCTAGAATTCTTACTGGTAGGTTGTTTGCAATAAATTATATACAGCCTTTCCAAACAGACTTCAGCAGCAGAAGTATTAACTAATTTTGTCACATTTATATAGCCTTGGAAATAGGAATCTTATCACAGTCGTGCTACTGTTCTAGTTTTAAGAGCTATAAAAGTATATTAACTCCCTCTAGTACAGCTTAATAGAAGAGCAGCCTCCCTGTTTTGATTAATAGTAAGAATAATAGACTATGTCTAGATGAATATTTTACTTCATGTAACACTAAAATAGTTAGCCAGTAGCTAATAACAGCTATACTCAATACTCCTTGTTAAGTGTATCTAATATTTTAGTATTTTGAGTATTATATCTAATCTATATATACTACTAATTTGACTATTATAATCTAAGACTGTTTAATTCTTTTTTATAGCTGTATTCTTACAATATCTAACTGTTATACTATTATAAGAGTCAAAGGCCGCGCCAGCGGTGCCTTGGGTTTCGCGGTCATTGCGGTTAGTACAATTATAACCATCTACCTTGCAGCATAGGACTCCGGTACTGGTATATCAAGTCCCGTACTCAGGCAATTCCCTCTTATGTATAAGAGCCATTCCGCTTGCATCCCTTGCTCTCCGGCCAGATACGACGGATTCTTGATGACCCTGGCCCGCGAGATCTTAGATTCCTGAGCTCAGCGCCTCTACTTCCTCAGGACGGTGAGGCCCACGGTCCGCAGGCAAATCGATGCTAAGTACAAAGCACAAAGCTCCCTGGCTGAAGTGTAATCTGTTCCATCGGGTCTAGTCTTCGGAGCTAGTAATGCTGGACTATTGGTTGAAGCGAAATGGAAATTCTGGATTTTCCACTAGTCGAGCGCCCTAACGAGGGTTGATTTCACCCAGCGCTTCAATACGGACTCCTTCCAGTTTGGCTAGAAAGTGTTTCCCCCTCTAGCCAAGAATGGTGACTGCCACAGTAATCCTTTCATTGCCTGTGTATGGTGCACCTGGGTAGTGTGCCCTAAGCATCTCTTGGTGTTACGCAATCTTTGTGTGTAAAGCTTCGCTAGTCATATTCTGTCCCACCGATGCAGGCCATGCATAGTTTATCTGGTCTCTAGCTCCCAGGAAATTATCGTAAGATAGAGTTATACAGCTGGAGGACGGGGTTTTCCGCGGATCTGCTCAGGAATCTAGCTCTAGAGCGCCATCAATGGGAAGGAGAAAAAGAAAAGAGATCAATTAAAAGAGGAGCTGCACCACCTGTGTCAGGACCAATGCGGCGAGGGCCGCTGCCGCCGACGACCCGGCGAGCATTGTCCTTCCCGCAGCCCCCGTGTACCCAATATTCAGCGAGTTGTTGTTGAACCCGACAGTCCGCAGCCAGGTCGGGGTGGCGGTGTCGTTGGCCAGGATGTCCGAATGGTAGGCATCCAGGACGCCTGCAAAGCGCAACGTGAACTGCCCCTCGGCAGGGTCCCCGTAGAATCGATCCTCGTCTTTGCCGTAGGTTCGATGACTCTCAAAGTACCCGCGAATCGTGTAGTTTGCCGTCTCGCCGTCGAACTCCAGGCTAACTGTCATAGCCGGCCACTCAGGCTCGTAGATGCCGTTATTGACCTGGGCCCAGGGGCCTGGATCAATGTACCAGGGAACTATCTCTGTAGTGGTGCAGTTGGTCATGTTGGCTCTGAGAGATCCCAAGCCCTCGTCATATGTGTTAATGGTGCTCGAGAGACGATATGGTGGGCTCTGAGTAGTTGTGTTCAGTTCCCAATAGAACCAATCTTCGCCGTCCTCGTAGTAACGATACGTAGGTCTACCTCCCCCTCTAGTCAGCCCTCTGTGGTTTCAAATCTTCGTCATAAGGGCGAGTAACAGAGTCACTTGGGGTTGGAAAGAGCGACGAACTGGGAAGAAACATAGCTCCATTGTAAGGAGGGGAGATCAACCATTTCCCAGCCAAAGCTAGTGATTGTAGAAAAGTCAAAGCCAGGGTCCCAAAGCATAAGGAAGGCGTTCACGGGGTCGCTGCTATTGTTAAATATGCTTGGCTCAGTCAGGGCGAGGATCGTGTCATATTGTACGGTGGTCGTAGTATTGGCGAGCAACGGGCACTGGGCGCTGTCGTTCGCAGCTAAGCCCGTATAGGGCCTCAATTCCAACTCGGCAGTCCCATTGTAGTACGAGCCCACCCAATAGTACGGATCGTGAAGAAGTGTCACGTTGTTGGGTCGAAAGGGCAGGGAAGCATTGTAGCTTGCATCATCGGCAGCGGTGGTGAGGGAGGGAAAGGTGAGGCTGAAGATCACAGCCTGAGCCGATACAGAGACGCGCATTGTGTCTCCCTTGTGGAGGAACCCTGGGCAGTTTGGGCCTCGAGTCAGTTATAAGGTATTTCTCGTCCTTTGACTAGACAGTGCTTGGTCCAGTGGGGTCGTGAACTTCTGTGGTAGCTTAGCCATGAACCAAGCCTTGCCGTTTAGTGCTTGGTCTCGGCTATTTACCCGAGAAGGGCTCGGTGACTCCGTACTGTTGACTTCTAGTTTTAGCATAACTATCATAACTTATTTCATTGACTGAAGATGACATCTATGACCTATATTATACTGTCACGAGAAATTGGTCAAATATGTCGGGTAAAGTATTCAATTGACTGGATTCGGAGCACGCCCGAGAGCCAGAGGCAGGGTTAGGCCGGCATATGTCTATTTGTACTAGTCTGCCAGACGTCCGTCTTCTCAACGAATTGTTTAGCATTACCTCGTCACGAATCGGCCTAAAGTAGTCCAATGGAGCTGTCCGTTATTGATGGATTGTCAATGGATTGTTCCTATCACTGCGGTCAAGTAAAATATCTACACGCAAAGGTCAGTCCGGAAACAGAAATCAGGGCCGATATCGGGTCCTATATATCCCCGTTGACACCCGCTCAACGCCCAATCAAGATTGCAGAGTCGTTACAGTTACCTAATCTGAAGATCTTGTCGATTCTGACCCCTGAGGCTCCTTTGTTATGATTCAGGGACCGGAAGAAGGGTCTGAAGATTCCAACCCTTGACCCTTGCTTCCAAACTCATCGCTGCATGGCTACGCCAATGTCTCACACACCGCAATATAAGCTATCCAGTGTCTCCATTAAATTCAACGGACTGCGAGATCCTGCTGAATGTCTCAGATCGACGACAAAATTTTCGCCATAAGCTTTCGCCGACGCCAGCTATTAATGACAGTAGTCCCACAAAAAGTTACTTAATAGAATTGAAATTGTTCTTAGACCGATCCTGGTCTGACGAGCTAGTGAGACTAATCCCTAGCAGAATTGCATCGGAAATCATTTCTATGGCCAGAAGCTGTGCGATGCTTAGCATGGCCGCGCCTGTGAACCTTGGGTCTCACGGTCGTGAGGAAGTAGAGGTGATGAGCCCAGGCATCCGATATTTCGAGAGGGATACTCATCACCACCTCGTGATGTTCAAGCGTGAGTGAGGCAACAAGGACCCTGTTTGGTCCCTGAGTCCCCTGATTCCTGCGATGGTGGTGCATGAACCCTGCAAAGATCCGCAACAAAGATTCGCAAGATCGATCCCAGAGCGGAACAGCCGGATAGAACCTTGAGGCTGACGTATGCCTCTAACTGAATCAGGCAATCAAGCAGCAGATCATCTAATCTAGGAGGAAAGTTCCCAGTCGGGTTAGCTTCGGATCTCACCTAAGATTAAGGTATTAACTTACAGCCGTAGGGCTCGCTTACACTGAGTAAGGTAGTAGTTACCTAAGTTACTAACTACAACCACTCAGTAGTATATCACCGACCCATTGACTAAGGAATAGGGTACCATTCATTGTGCTGGGTTTCTCTTCTGTTTTGCTCGGTACCTGATCCTGTCTACCAATTTACTTCTATCAGATGGGTCAGCAAGCTCCGAATTGCCTCTTTCCACTTCCCCTTTCTCCACAATGACAATTTTCGTATGCCGATTTCGGTCTTGATATCGAGCAGATACTACCCTAGGAGTATCATCGGAGCTCTTTGTATCGGGCCAAAGTTCTGTCAATATGTAGGTTCGAAGATGCAGGCCAAAGGAAAGTCGCCTCATGTATACCACACAGGTGCTCCAGTATCGTCGTTCATTATTTATGCCAGAACAGAAGGACCTTTCGAATATCAAATGCTTGTCTCTTACTCATTGTACCTCAGAGTCAGCAGCATACCATGAGCCTGCGCCTGGTGGGCGGATCACTGTTTTTCAAGTGTATTCTATGCTAAGGCAAAGGGGGCTTAGGTGTATATTGTTTGTGTCCACATAGTTCGCAGTAGACGAGGCATTTTAGTGTAAAATCATTCACTTGCAGCACAGGCATACCCTAAGCTGCAATAGTTCGATATCGCGAGAGCAGACCAGGAACCGTCTGAGCGAGTTCTGTGTATATAAAGGGCGCTGCTCTGCCAATATTGGGGTCTATCACAACAGTTCATCTTTCAGTCACTCATTTGTCTCTACCTTCAGTCATTCTTTCTTTCTTATCTTTCATTCATTTCCTCTACCAGACTTTCTTTACAAACTCACCATGCTCTTGATTCAAATCTAACACCTTTCTTTATTTCTTCTTTCATATTCCACGAGCGCTATGTATGTGCCTGCCTGGTTGGCAGCAGGCGCCCTTGCTGGCGCAGCTACAGCAAGCACCACTTCTTGTCCGGAGGCTTGCTCCTTGAGCACCAATCCTTTTGAATAGGTTCCCTACCATTCAGTCAGTCGCGTCGCTGCTTGCAGCCAGCCCATGCTGCTCGACCTTGCAATTTACAACCCGTTGAATTATTCCCAGACTCACTCAACCATCTACGCCTGCATCACGGAAGAGGAAGATACTTCTACCTCTTCTGTAGCTAAGAGGACCGCAGTTGCGGTTAATGCTACTTCGACTGCGTCCTCTGTGAGCTTTGAATTGGGTACCTGGGGATCTGCCGTCGACTCGGCCGACGACCAGCTCCAGAGGGCTCTGACTGATATGGAAGCGTACATGGAGTCTGACACGGACAGAAACTTCATGTTTGCGTACTCCGGGCAGGCTGTAGTTGGACTCTATATTGGGGGCAGATATGACCCTTCTACCACCGCTGCTACCGTAGCGGAGTTGATGCGTTCCTCTATTGCCTCCGAGGGGCCGTTCAACCAAATGGCTCTACAGTCCTGTGGATCTACTGCCAACTATATGGTTGGATTGGCCATCAATCTGGACGGAGATCTTCCTGCGGTGCAGCAACTGGTGAAGACGTGGAGTGAGGCAGGCTGTGTCACGGGGTTTGAGTCCAACTCCAACACTAATCTGACCGCCACGCTGACCACTGTTGCTCCGCTCCTCTCCAACTCCTCCAGCTCCGGGACGCTCACTGCTCGCGACGATACCTGCTCTACCGTGCAGGTGGTTTCGGGAGATTCCTGTACAAGCTTGGTGACGGAATGCGGCATCAGCTCCACGGAATTCTACGAGTACAACACCGCTTCCGATCTTTGCTCCACCCTGGCAGTTGGCCAGTACGTGTGCTGTTCCTCGGGAGACCTACCAGACTATTCGCCCCAGCCATACAGTAATGGCACCTGTTACACGTACCTGGTGGAGTCGGGAGACTCGTGTTCCACGATTGCTGCATCAAACAGCCTGACCGTCGATGATATCGACTCGTTCAACAATCACACATGGGGATGGCTGGGGTGTGATGACCTTCAGGCGGGAGAGAACATCTGTTTGAGTAGCGGGGATCCCCCCTTCCCTGCCCCAGTGACGGGCGCCACCTGCGGCCCCCAGGTGCCTGGTACTACGGCCAATGGCACCGACTACGACGAGTGGGCGACGCTGAATCCCTGCTCGCTCAACGCTTGTTGTGATGTCTGGGGCGAGTGTGGCACCACCCCGGAGTTCTGTACTATCACCGAGTCCACCACAGGCGCTCCAGGTACTGCGGAAGCCGACACGAATGGATGCATCTCGAACTGTGGCCTTGATATTGTCAATAATTCCACAGCACCCGACGAGTTCTTTGCAATTGGCTATTTCGAAGCCTTCAACGTCGAGCGCAGCTGTCTCACGATGGATGCCAGCATGATTGACACCAGCAAGTATACTCACATTATCTTCGCCTTTGGGACCATTAACTCCGACTATTCCATCAGCATTAATCAAACCGACCAGTTTGAGCAGTTCCTGAACCTCACGGACGTCAAGAAAGTCGTCTCTTTTGGAGGGTGGGATTTCTCTACCTCCAGCGACACGTACACGATCTTCCGAGAGGGCGTGACCTCCACGAACCGCGCTCTCTTGGCACAAAATATCGGGGACTTTGTGTCTCAGTATGACATTGACGGGGTGGACTTTGACTGGGAGTATCCTGGGGAGCCTGATATTCCGGGAATCCCCGCCGGCAGCGACGAGGATGGCACGAACTATGTGGCATTCTTGAAGGAAGTCCGCTCGGCCATTGGCACGGATAAGACCCTGTCAATTGCGATGCCCGCCTCGTACTGGTATCTTCGCGGCTTTCCCGTCGCGGATATCAACGATATCGTCGATTTCATCGTGTACATGACGTATGATCTCCACGGGCAGTGGGATTACGGAAACACTTCGGCCGATGATGGCTGTGCGGACGGCAACTGCCTGCGCTCTCACGTGAACCTGACGGAGACAACTTATGCCCTGTCCATGGTGACCAAAGCTGGGGCGGACTCCAACAAGCTGATGGTCGGAGTGAGCAGCTACGGCCGGTCCTTCGAGATGACCACAGCGAACTGCACTGGTCCGGAGTGCACCTACGTGGGTCCGGACTCGGGGGCCACGCCCGGCCGCTGCACCCAAACCGCGGGCTACATCGCGAACGCCGAGATCAACGAGATCATCGCCACCAATCCCACCGTGCAGGTTCTCTTCGACAGTGGCAGTGACTCTGACATCATCGTCTACAACGAGACGCAGTGGGTCGGATACATGACCAATACCACCAAGAGCACACGGACTACCTACTATCAGGGTTTGAACATGGGTGGCACGACCGAGTGGGCAATCGATCTCGAGTCCTTTATCACTTCGCCTACCGACTCTACGGCCTTTGGCGAGTACCTGGTCGAGCTCAAGGCCGAGGTAGACGATGATGAGACCGAGTTCATCTCCACAAACCAGACTTGCTCCGAGCCCAGTGCGAGTGATGAGAGCGGCCTGCAAGCCAGTGAGGAACGAGGGGTAGCTGCGTATATCAATTGGCTAGTGGAGGATAGTTTGAAGTCGCGTATGTGTTGTTGCCTCTCTCTGTGGAGCGAAGTTGTTGCTAACCCTTTTATGCAGCGACTGAATGGACTCGCACGATGTTCATGAGCACGGGAGCGGGGGCCACCCAGTGTGATGTTTACCCTGACGGAGAATGCCCCTTCCCCACGGGTTTCTGCTCGGACTATAACGTGTCGGCGGAGTACTGGGCCGAGTACGTCGTGGCTAACGCGTACCAATATATCACCGAACTCGGGTCGCTGTTCGACTTTGCCACGCAGAACGAGACGCTGAGTATCGACGCCATCGTGGACGACTTCCCGGTCAAATCGGGGGCCACGGTACCCGACTGGGCGACAATTCTCACCAACGTCGGCGGCGTCATGGGCATTCTGGGAAGCGCTATCCCGGGGGTGGACGCGGAAGCGGACACTACACTCATCGGGACGCTGAGTGGGATTTTCTCGCTGGCGGGCTCCGACATCTCCAGCGCCGATACTACAGACGCGGAGACAACCACGCTGGAGGCGGCGGTGCAAACACTTTACAGTACCATGTACCAGAGCGTGGTCAACACGACGATCGTGCTCTTTGAGACGGGCGACATTTCCTCTTGGCCTGCGGACCTGCGCTCGGGCGACTACGCCTTCGAAGTCGCCAATTTTCTCAATGGGCGGTACATGTTCGAGCTCACGGGCACGCAGGCGTCTGACATCGAGTCTACCTTCAACAACTATCTACGCCAGTACTTGGTGGGCACCGCGCTAGTTTCGGCCAATTACTACATCCTGAAGGGAGCGTACTCGACGAGCAAGTGCACCTCCATCACCAGCGGCACCGTCATCGACGGCTACTGCTACACCCTCGAGTACCCCGGCGCCGGGTGGGAGCTGGTCAAGCAGATCATGACCGACCCGATCAGCAGCGATGACCTGACCAAGCTGACTGACACCTACGGCGTCGACCTCGAGACCCTGTACACCAACTCTTACACCTGCCAGAACACCACGGGCACCTACAGCGGCGTCGTCACGATTGACGTCCTGACCGCCTCCTCCACCGTGCCCACCTGCTTCTTTAATCTGCCCGTTTTCACGGTGGAGACCTCCGATGAACCCACCGTCAACAACTTCCTCTCCTCGCCCTGTCTCGTGTGGGACCGCAACACCACCGCCAAGACCGCCGAGCTGGGCGTCACCTGGATGCCGAGCAACCTGGCCGATGTGTTTGTGCGGGACTTCTGCGAGTGCAACGCTTCAGGAAGGGAGTGCTCGGAGGTGTAGCTTAGCTTTTTCGGGGTGTATAATATATGCTGAGCGGAAGACACACTGTTTGTCCCGCCGCTTGTTGGAGAAAGGTTAATATCAAAAGTTCTAATCCACCCTGAGATTTGATTCATAATCTAATCCATAATCCCCATCCCCAAATGGCACTGTGTTTTTCCACGGCCCTTAGCGCGCTTGCCACCACACCCCTAGGTCAGTGAGAATTCGGTCCCGACTCTTCCGGGATTCGATGACTACAGCGAGTAGTTCATGAACGTTATACGCATGATAGTCTTCCCCCTCCCAACCCGGATCCATGGATCATCATAATATCACTTGAGACTAACAGGCGGCACCGTCTCTCGCCTGTTGTCATCCCTGGGCCGGAAACCGATGGCTGGGCGAGAAAGTCGACCAGCCGCGGACTTTTGACGGGTGGAATCACCGAGCCCGCTTCATCATTGTCATGGGTACTCCGAGAAGGCCGCACCGGTCATGGGAAGTATAGTGCGGTTGAGGTAGTACGTGTAGTGTGTGTATACGTTCAGCTCTACGGTCCTGATTCGCGTGTGTTGCTTTCATTTTACCCTTGCCTTTCCTTTCCTTTCCTTTCCTTTCCTTTTTTTTCCACGTTGGAAGCTTCTTCAGCACCCGTATGGGCATTAGCCTATTCGATTCTCAAATCCAATCCGACGGTACTGCCTGTCAAAGAGAGTCAGGGAGAGCAGAAGCAACTGCTAGATCTGATTCACGGGAGGGAGAGGGGGCGGGGGGAGTGGACACGCTTAAGTCCCATCCATCATAGTTATGGTGATTTTCGGAATGAAAGAAGCAACAGAAAAAGAAAAAGGGAAAAAGAGAGAAACTAGAGAGTAAGAGAGTTAGGTGTACTCCACATACCTCCCACCGAGCATATACACGATGCCCCCTTGTCCTTGATACGGACAGGATTCGGAAATCTAATGAGGAAGAGAGATATAGGTATACAACGCCCGCCTGGGCTCTTCCCAGCCTATCCTCTGTTGCAGTGTCGAGAGCAGTGTTCGGGAGGCTTCTATGCGATAGATATCTTGTATAGGTACAGCGTCTTTCTTCGCCCGCTTATCCATAAACTCGATCTACATATTCTTGATGGAACAGACATCTGCTACCTTGATAGCCAGGGTAGGGAGGGGGAAGAATTCCCCGAGTACTAATTTTCCGATGACTTTGACAAGGTATAAACTGCTAGATAAGCATGCTCTTCGTCCTCGACCGCTAGATCGACAGTTACAAAAAAGTCATAATTACTCGAAACCAACCCAATACAAAGCAGGCACACCGGGGGTGATCCGAGGTATATAAACAAACTATCAAGTTCAATTCAATTTACATGATCCACTAACGAGCATCTGCACGTGCCTAACGCATAAGAACACAAGCCGCACCTTGCATGCACACATGAACACATCCACACTCATCCAGCCCGCAAGCAGGGCGCATCAAGCGACAAGCAGTACCGCACCGCACCCCCTGATCTCAATCTCAACCCCAACCACCAGCCAGAGCGACCCGCGACCTTACAAGAACTTACTCGCCAAGCTCAACAATCCCGCGGGACCACCAGTACCACTCGACCCGCTCCCCTGACTCTTCATGTACATCTTCAACGCCATCTCCGCGGCCTGGTTGATGGCGGATTGCTTGTCGCCGGACTATCCCCAACACCAGATTAGCACGCGTCCGGCCGCCACCCTAACCCCAGAGAAGGAAAAAAGAACTTACCGCCTGCCCACTCGAACTCTTCTCCTCCCAAAGCTTACTCGCCTGCGCCATCGCCAGGCCGATGAACTCGCTCTGTCCGCCGGACCCGGACCCGGAACCACTCGAGCTCGAGCCCGAACCCCCGGAAGTAAACATCTTCAGCGCCTGCATGGCGGCCCCAGCGCCCAGGGTCTTGGAGTCGTGCTGCTGGCCCTCGTGGGAGTTGTACACGGCCTGGTGGGACTGCACCATCTGGGACTCGTCGATGTCGTCGTCATCTTCCTGAGACGAAGAGGAATGGCGGTTGGTGATGTAGCCCAGCGCCTTCTGGAAGAGGTCCGACGAGCCCGTGCCCGCGCTGTGCGATTCGGCGTGGTTGGTGGCCGAGGAGAGGTCGTCGTAGCTGGGGCGGCTGCCGCCGTAGGACGGGGCGTTGCCGTAGCTGGGGTTGTGCGAGGGCGGGTTGTGGCCGTAGCTGCCTTCGTTGCCGCCGTAGCCACCGCCGTAGGAGGAGTTGCCGCCCTGGGGGCCGCCGTAGCCGCCCTGGGAGCCGTAGCTCTGCTCGCCGCCGTAGGAGCCGCCTGGGTTACCACCGTAAGAGCCACCCTCGCTGTATCCGCCCTGGTGGTGCTGCTGGTGCTGCTGGTAGCCGCCCTGCTCGCCGCCGTAGGAACCGCCTTGGTTACCACCGTAGGAACCGCCCTGGGAGCCGTAGCTCTGCTCACCCCCATAGCCACCCTGGTTACCACCATAGCCACCCTGCTGCTCACCCCCGTAGGAACCACCCTGACCCTGACCGTGGTGGGAGTTCCCGCTGTTGTTGTTGTTGCCGCTACCGCTGCCGCTGCCGCTGTTCCCCCCAGCGTAGTTGCTGGCGGCCTGCTCGATGGCCGAGGAGATGAAGTTGGAGAAGGACATGGTTGCGTGACTGACTGTGAGTAACTGTATCTGTGCCTTGGGGAGGGAATGTATATGTAAATGTAAATGTAAATGTAAATGTGAGGGTCAGAAGATACAAGATGAGTGGAAGAAGATACAAAAAGGAGAAGAAAGAAGAAAGAAGAAAAGGAGAATGACGAAGGGTGGTGGTGGTGGCCGCGGGTTTATTTACGTACGTAATGAGGGGCAGTCACGGTCACTCACTTGTGGCTGAAGCGGTGTAGATCGGCGGGGTCGAATCGCCCACTGCGTCGCCCATCGCCTAGTCGCGGATCCACTCTTCATTTTCACTGCACCTCCTCAGCCACGCCACTCTGCCACTGCCACCAGTGCCACCAGTGCCACCACTCGTATTCGTCCAAGGGACTCCCTCCCTACGACTCCTACGTATGCCATGCCATTCTGTGCTCTGCCCATGCACCATGATGCAATTCGGCTACATACATACATACATATATATATACATGCCCACGAAAAATGGTCGTATCTTGAGTAGTCGGTATACACGCGTATACAATTCAATGGTATCTCCGCTAAACAATGCAAAATCACATAAATCATGACCCTACCCCTCTCTCTACAGTCACAATATCAGCGCCTCATGCTCCTCGTCCGTCAGGTTCCACAGAACCCGCTGCTGGCGCTCGCGCTCACTCAGAACACAGCGCTCGTCCTCATCCAGCTCCCCGTCCCGCAACCATTCGTTCGGCAGCCCCTGCGGCCCATACCGCTGGCCCCATTGCCGGCGTTCGTACTGCATGAACCCCCCGAAATGCTCGTCCGTGTTGGCCACCCAGATCGTGCTGCCGTCCGGCGAGTAGTCCGCCCCGCCAATCTCCCCGAAGAAGTCGTGCACCTGCCGGCTCTGATACGTCTGCGCGTTGACGATCGTGATCCGGTCCGCCGGCTCGCACAGCAGCAGCGTCCGCGACCCGCCCCCAACCGGCGAGAATCGCACCGACCGGTATCCGGCCACGTCCGACTCGATCTTCTGCAGCATGCGCCACATCCGCACGTCCCAGATGATCGCCGTCTTGTCCTGGTTGCTCGTCGCGATATGCCGCATGTCGGGCGACCACGCGCAAGCAAACCCAAAGTCGCGGTGGCCCCGCAGGGGATGCACCGGGCGTCCACTGTCCGCCTCCACCACCCATGCATCCGGCGAGTCGCCAATCACCGCCCGTAGCCGCCCATCCGGCGCCGTCGCCGTGCAGTTGATGGCGCGCGAGAGCTCGTAGTCCGCGACAAACGTGTTGGTCTCGCAGTCCAGAACGCGGAGATGCCGGTCGTTCGACGCAAATACCCCCAGCGGCGATCCACTGCTGCGACTCGGAACGATGTCGACGTGATTCGTGATGCCGTTCGGATCTTGCGTAACGTACCCCGCGATCCCTGGCCCATCCGTGCCCATGGCCCGTAAAGCGTATTCCCCTGCGAACCCGCCCGCAATCGTGATATCGTGCGCCGATCGCATCGTTGAGATCTTCATCGGCCCCTGCAGGCCGGATTCTACGGTCGGTTTGGATAGATCGATCATGCACCGCAGATCATCGTACGCGGGAACCCACGAGTAGACCTTACACTCGTGCGCAAAGTGCACCGTGTTATACGCCGCGGCGGACATTAGGTTCCGCAGTTGAAAATGCTCGATGCTGGCTTTGTGTTCCGTGTACATGGCCTTTTCGCGAAAATAGGTTTCGTCCCGTGCCAGTCGCGCGCCCGGCCGTTGGCGCGAGTACTCCAGATTATGATAGGACGTATACGACTGGTCTCGCAATCTCCGTGCATAGGACCGTTTCACCTGCAGAGCTTCCTTCCAAGGGATCTGCTGGATATCAAAGAAGTCCCATCGATACCCAGCCGGCCGGACGATTTCGGCCGGCGGCATCCACGAAAGCAGACTAGCGACAGCACTGCGTGACAGGGGGGCAGGGCCCATTGTAAATCCAGTGATTGCAGCGGTATACGACTGGCAAAGCCATTGTCCGATGAATTGGTCGATCGTCAGATTTCGTTCTTTCACTGTGAGGGCTGTTTAGAAATCCGTAGATAACGCTGGACACAGGGGAAATCTTACCCATCCCGGTGAGAGGGTCCGCGACATGCTGCTCATTCGGCGCTTCGATGCCGCTCGAGTCATCTCCCTCAGAGAATGAAGCATTGAAGTCGTCGTGAGCAGGGCCGGGACCAAGACCTGAAAATTGCGGCGCGTAGCCTGCATCCAATCCTTGATAGAATCCATCAAAGTCCACTTCCGACAGTGCTGCAGTGCTGCGACGGACCCGCGCCTCAGCATCCTCGAAATCGGATTCCTCATCGCCATCGTCCCTGTAGAATTTGTAGGTGTCATCGGGGTCATCATCCAACCCTGACAGGGAGGGGAGTCGTTCCGCCGCGATCGAAGGTTCGTAATCCATGATCAGGTCGGTCGTTTCATCGTCGTCGGTGAGATCGGAGATCGTCGAGGCGATATCATGCGCATACTCTGCGCCGGGGCTATCGTCATAATCGCCCATGTACGGTCCCAGCGGTACGCCGCCAACGTCTGAGAGCGCATCGGTCATCTCCGAATCGGAGACATACCACTCTCCCGGGGGAGAGGACGAGGCGAGGCGTGGGGTCGCTTGGTCGGCTCCACGACCATGACCGTAGTGGGAGAATTCCCGCGGCTCCAGCACGGCGTTGACGATTTCCGTCACCGCGACAGGGGCAGCGTCGCTCGGGGCATTAAGATATTGCGGAACGGCCATGAAAGCCGATAAGCTTGGATCGCTCATGTCAAGACCAGGCTCGGGGGCTGCGACGGCGTCTGCGGATGCGCCCGGCGGGTGATCCTCATCCGGTGGTGGCGGCGGCATCACGTCTTCACGGGCAACGGGTGGTGACAAGCTGAGATATTGTGATGAGAATCTGGAGACATGGCGTAGTGAAGGGTCAGAGTAGGAACCAGCTGCACGGACGGACGAGCTGGACGAGACAGAAGGAGAGTCGGGCCCAACCTGACCAGGCATTCCGGTCATCAGATGCAACGGAGTGATTCGGTTGGCGACGGGACTGGCGACCGCCTACTTTTCGGGCCACCAACTGAACTCAGTGCCCGCACCAACTGGTGGCGAGCGAACTGACTGACTGATAAGCAGCCGAAGCGGGCACGGGAAGTGCTGATTGGCACTGGGGCGGGTGGTACAGTACAGCCACGGACCAGGTCGAAGGGATGTCGTCCACGTTCTCTTTTTTTTTTCGCGATCGCAATCACACCCGGGGAGGGATCTTGGCTCTGCAGCCGATTTGGGTTGTTCACCCCGCAGCACAACTCCCTCCTCCCCCACACGGAGGGGACGGACACGGTACGCGATCACGGTCAGTGAGGGCGATGCGAGGCGGAGCCGGAGAGCGGGTAGGCGAAATGAGACAGACGCGCCTCTTTGCCTCGATCTAGTAGATATGAGGAGATATGAGCAAACAGGCCCGATCAGGAGGGGCAGGGCTGCAGTTTAAATTGTTGACAGGTGATACGCCACTTCAATCACACGCGGTGGTTTGAAAGGTGGATGGCGACACACAACCCCGGCTACAGGCGAGCGAGCGACCGGGGGGGGGAGGGAGGGAGGGAGGGAGGGGGAAAGAATTCAAGCGAGACCGGCAGCCCAGAGTTGCAAGAAAAAGCAAAAGGAAGGATTGGAGGGAGACGGGGAAAGAAATAGAAAGCCAATGTGCAGAAGCCTTCGAATTTTATTCCATTGGAAAAAGGTGGGCAAATGCAATGAAAGGGCAAAGGAAGAGGAAGTGGAAGTGGAAGTGGAAGTGGAGAGTTGCAGGAAGACCAACTTGGTAAGATGAAGTGGAATAATAGTCTAATACGGAATGGCTGAATGAGGGAATGAGGGGAATGGCGGGACAGACTGGATGGAAAGCGAACGTGCATCGGGGCTGTCACATGGTGGTGGTGGTGGTGGTGGGGGTACTGCGTATTGTACAGTACTTGCCTATAGGTGGTTTCCCTACCATGCCACTTCAACTCAGTAAGTACTTGTAGGAAGAAGGATCGTCGGCTAAATCTCATCCACTGCAGATGATTATTCAGGGAAAGATTGCTTTCTTTCTTCTGTTTGGTTGTTTCCTTTTTCCGAATTCACCTAATGACTAGTAGTAGTGGCTGTCTGTACAGTACAGTCCTACAGGAAGTAGTGTAGTGTACTTTTGTTAGGACCTCGGGTTAGTCAGCAGCTTGTCTCTGACCGCAACATCAGCTCGGATGCACAAACCCCTCCCAAGCATTGATCATTGATCATTGATCGAGTCCCTTGCATACTTCTACCCAGAAATTCAGGGTCGTCCTCATGAGTCTCGGTCAAACTGATGCATGCACTTGGACCCAAAGAATGTCATCGTACAATCGCTACATCACAGAACTCCACACCCACAGAAGCGAGCTCTTCGTCCAAGCGTCTCAGGACTCAATCCACAAAACAACGCAATTGTCAACTCGCTTCAGTCCCCATATCTAACCCCTACAGCGAATCTCTACGCGCGTCGTCTGACGTATTTTCATCGTGAATCCGTAATAAAATTAGCATATACAACTCTGAATCGGAAGAAAGGCGGATGCACCCGGTGAGTAGACACATTGATCAGAAGTCAGTCAGAAAGAAAAATGATATCTACTACAAATTGGTCCAAGTGTACGAAGAAGGGAAAAAAAGGTTGACAGTCCGATCGTATGTCATGCACCCGCGACGATTGGACCCACGAGAAAAGGAAGCAAAAGGGAAACTCCAAGCCAAATCAAATCAACACATGGCCTTTAACTGTACAGATCCAGTTCCAGATGCTTAGAACTGGTCAATGCAACCCCAGTACTGCTCGACGTCGAACTCGCCGGGGCTCTTCCACAGGTCGTTGGCGTACGAGAAGAAGACGGAGTCGCCACCGACGGCCTCACGGATCGCCTTGATGGCAGTAGCCTGCTCCGAGGCACCGGGGACGGCCGCACCGTTGGCGTTACCCTGGCTCGGCCAGCCGGTCTCCAGGTTGATGATGCTCAAGCCCGAGCAGATCTTCTTCAGGAGAGTGAACTCAGCAGTGGCAAAGGTACCGGCCTCCTCGGCGGTGGTCTCGGCGTTGAAGAAGGGGTGGATGTTGGCACCAAGGATGTCAACGGCGCTGCAGAGGTAGCTGGCGCCGTACTCCTGCCAGATGTCGACGGGCTCGGTGGTGGTGATCTGGCCAGTGTAGCCGGCAGCGGTGAAGGTGGTCTTGCAGGAGGTGATGAAGCTGGCAAGCGAGCTGGCATCGGTGTATCCGGAGGAGACAGCCTCGTTTCCGACGACGATCAGGCTAACCAGCTCCCACTTGCCCCACTCGGTGATGGCGGTGACCTGGCTCTCGGCACCCGAGGTACCGGTGCTGGAGATGTAGACACCGAGGATCAGCTTGAGACCGAGCTCCTCAGCAAGCTCGCCAATGACCTCGAGGGTGTTGCAGTCCGTGGAGTAGAGACGGATGTGGGTGAAGCCCTTGGCGGCAATGGTCTTGATGTCCGAAGTCATGGTGGCAGTGGTCTTGCAACCGTTGTCGTTGGTGTAAGGGGTGTAGGTCATACCCATCAGGCCGGTAGCGCTGACACCAGTGGTGGCAGCGGCGCTGGAGGAGCTGGCGGCAGCGCTGGAGACAGTGCTGGCCTTGACGCTGGAGGTAGCGGGGACGGCAGTGGTGGCAGGGACGACGGTGGTGGTAGCAGCGGCAGCGGAGGGGGTGGTCACGGCAACAGCAGCAGAGCTGGTGGAGCCGCTGAAGGGGCAAGTGTAGGTGTAGTCAGTGACGGTGACGGTGACAACCTCGGCGGTGTGGGAGTAGACGCCAGGGGTGACGGTGGACACGGCGGGGTAGGTCACGACAGCGCTGGAGGGGACATAGGTGGTGGTGGGGGCGATGGTGTAGGTACCAGCGGCGGGGCAGTAGTAGGTGGTGTGCTCAATGACGCTGGTGACGGTGGTGCCCGAGGGCTTGACGGTGGCATAGGGGCAGACAATGGTGGTCGAGGTCTCGACAATGGTGGTCACACCGCCGATGGTGTGCGTGCCGCTAGCCAGAGTGGTGACGGCAGGAGTGACAACCTGGGTGGTCTCGCTGACAGTCACGGTGGACGCAGGGATGGTGTAGACACCGGTCGAAGCGAAGGTGGTAACATCGGGGGTGGGCAGCACCACGGCGCTGGAAGTGGGAACGGCAGCGGCAGGAGTCGAGGTGGTCTCAACAACAGCAGCGGGGGCCGAAGTGGTCTCAACAACAGCAGCGGGGGCCGAGGTGGTCTCGACGGCAGGGACGCCGGTAGCACCGGTGGCGCCAGTCACGCCAGTGGCCTCAACACCCTCGGGGGTGGTGGTAGAAGCCTCACCGGGGGAGCCTCCAGCGGGGACGGTACCTGCAGACTCACCAGGAGTAGCGACGACGGTCACAGTGGTGTAGCTGGTGGAGTGGAGGGTGGTGACGACCTCGGAGACGACGGTCTCGGTGGCAGTAGAGACGGGCACGACTGGAAGAGGTTAGATGGCTCACTTCACCAGAGCAAAGCGACAGTAACTCACGGGTAGGAGTTCCCCAGACGGTGACGACCTCGGTGGTACAGCCGCAGGTCTCCTCGGAGGCGGAGGAAGCACCGGCCTGGACGGCACGACGCTGGTGGAAGGGCTCGTGGGCATGGCGACGGTGAGCACCATCAGCCAGAGCCGTACCGACGAGGGCGGCGGCCGCGGTAGCAAGGAAAGCACCCTTCATTTTGCGAGGTTGGCAAAGAGGGATGAGTCGGTGGTTGCGGTGATTTTAGTGATGTTCCGAATCCGGTAATCGCAATGAGGGCCCGCTGAAAGAGTGAAGCGGTGGTCAATGAATGTGGGTTGGGAAGGAGAGCACTGGAAGCACGTTGGCCTCTAGTATATTGTCAGGTCCGACCCGTGGAAAGGAAAACAATTCGAGACACGCTCGAGAGATGAAGGAAAGAACAGGTGAGAGAAGGAGGAGGAGGAAGGGAAAAAAGAGGGAGAAAGAGGGAAGAAGTAAGAAGATGAAAGGGCCGATTGGGGGGGGGGCGGTGGAAAGTAGAAAAGAAAGCGAAATCGATGGTGGCGCCCCTGGAGACGGGATGGCTGGTGATTGGCACTAACCAATGCAGGTTCTGGGCCAAAACGGCCCCAATTGTGGACAAAAAGTGAAATGACAGAAAGAGGAAAGAGGATAGTCTACTAGGGAGCAAGTTAGCAACACAAATCCACCAAGTCACAAAAGGGGGGCGGTGTGTGTAACTTCTTTCAGGGCTGCCAGGCACTGCCGGACCACGATTGGTGGCGGGTTTCACGATGGACTCGGATGGAGGGGAAGGGGGATAAGATGTGGGGGCAAGCATAAATAGGTCTAGAAGGGTAAAGAAGCTGGTTGTTATGGAACTATCTCGGCCAACCTCCTGTGTCTGCATGGTGCAGGACTGTTTGGGACTGCTATACGACTGAGCTGCAGTGATTGAAGCAAAGAGTGTATCTATCAAGGTACATACGTACTGGTATAGAGTGTAGGTACAGTACGGACTCCGGAGTAGTTGTTGACTGATCGAGTGGAACAGTAAGAAAACTCTAAATCGAACTACACCAAACCCATATGCTATCGAAGAATAGAGTTGAGAGCATCAACCTACTGAGTATCTGATTGTAAGTACTGTACTATCTGATTCAAGTTCCCCTATCGGTCCCATAGCCATAGTGCCAGTGATGGATCACAGCTCAGCCATGGATGATGAGTGTTGTGTTTTTGCGGGCTGCAAGGAACAGGAAACTTTGGCTGTGGACGCTTTCCCCAATCGGGTCACTTGGCGGGGCTCTTTTCCTCAGCCCTGGAGCCAGCCATTGGATGCATCAACAGCTTAATTTCCGGCCCTCCACCCCCACTGGCCAATGGATTCGACGGACCATCAGCCTAAGAGGGGGCCGTGAGATTTCAGGAGGTTTTCACTTGGGCCTCCAAGACTGGATGAAACCGCTGGCCCAGAAAAGAGGCAGAGACACAATCCCTGGAAATAGCAACAGTGATAGATATCATCCCATCCGCTCGGCTACCTTCATGGCGTTGCCCAGAGACTTGGAATACGGAAAGGATACTCTGTATATCATCTCAAGTCAATTCTAAATCCTGACCTCCAAGTCGCTCGCCCCTGAAAATTCGACGGAGGTATAACTCTGCTCCAACACACAGCCAATAATTGTCAATAGAGTCAACACCCATGGTGATCGGTGCTCCGGCAGGTGAATCTAGCGTGGAGGGCACCTTAAAACACAATGCCGATCCCCATCACCACCTTCAGCCCCCTCGGTTTTGAGGACCATGATGTTTTTGCTCTGGTGGAGCAGACTGCAGCCCATCTCAACGGTGACAGCTAGAGGTTACCCAGCAGCAGCCGAACTACCGAAGCCACGGCGGCGAAAAGAGGGAATTTGCTGTGTCAGAGTCGCCTCCTCGTGCCGTGCCCTTCGTTTATAGGGTCCCAAGGGGAAGGGGGGAGGGGGGAGAGGGGGGAGCGGGCTTTAGTCTACCCCAGACGATCCGGAGAATGGATTGCATTTGATCGGTCAGCCTCAGCCTCCGCCTCAGCCTCAGGGATTGTCACCTAGCATATCCGTAGTATAACTACCAGCAGTTCGAGGTACAAGAACCTTCGACAGGCTCTTGAGTCTACTGATTCCCGCACCTACTTTTTTTTTTTTTTTTTTTTTCTCTAGGATGTTGACGATCACTGCTCATTTTCTTCTTTCGATCAACACCCGGTCAGCCCGGTCTGGACCGAGTCAGTGCTGGTCCTCCACTGCGGACCGAGGTGCCCCTGATTGAGCTTGGCTTGAGTCTGTTGCTGGCGGAGGAGGGAAGTTGAACGGGCTCGCCAATACGCGAAATCAATAGTTCGGGTCTGGTGTGAGACACGGTGGCAGCCAAGTCTACGTGGTTTACCCCTGATTCAGTGGGAGGCGGGTTATAAAGGATGCGAGAGGGATCCTGGGGGCGTGACTGTTCATGTGTGCACCGCCAGTGCTATTCAGGGCATCCTCGGTTGGAACTTGGGGCGCAGCCGACTGGGGCGCAGGTAGTGGTAGTGCTGATGGTGGGATTCTGGAAGATTCTCCCCGGCTGGCGGATGCCGATTTGATGCCTGAGGCATGATGCTTGAGTGCACGGAGTCAAGACCGAGCGAAGTCGCAGTCGCAGTCATACTGCACTGGGCACCTTTAGAAAGTTCCCTAGAACGAGTCGGTTGCTAAGCTATAGAGCTATAGATCTGCTGGAGTAGACATTGTAATTTCCGCAGTGGTTGGTCAGTGACCTGGTCGCCAGCAATTTATGGTTGATTCAATCAACACCATCGCCATCGCATCACCATCACCATCACCACCACCACCACCACCACCACCACCTCAGAACAAACACTCCCCGATCTCAGAGCTTCCAAGAGAGAAGAACCATCCCGGCCTCTCAAATATATACTCCCACCCTCCGACACACCCAAGAAGCACACAGAAAACCACCGACCCAAACTCCCGGGACCCCATCGTACGACCCCAGCCAGACCGTACCATCACCTCACCTCATCTCACCATCCGATCATGCCACACCCACATCAACCACCACATCAACCACCACAACCACATGGCCCAAGCATACGATACATGCACACCGCATAGCCAATCCAGCCACCGCCACGAGTCCATTCCAGCCAACCAACCCAATCTCACCAATCCCACGCACCCCATTGGTGCAAATCCCCCATGTAAACCCGACAGCCCACTGCATACCTACATCCATGCACCCACGCCTTCTTAGCCTCGTGATACCCGTTCGTACTGTCCCCCGGACAATCTGGAACCCTCACCAGCCCCAAGAGCCCCAACCGGTTCAACCAGGCCGCATAAGGTGACCTCACCCGGAACACGACCTCCGACTTGATATCCAGCCATACTCACCTCGCCAACACTGCCCAAGAATCGCACCACCCCTCATGCTATCCTTGTAAACGCGAGCCCGATCCCACGGGAACTGTGCCATCCGGGTTGCGCTTCGTCGCGTTCCGCCGGATGAGACGATACGCATCCTCTATCGGGAGTAAAACTAGAGTAGAGAGGCATAGTAGAACCAGAGCGATACAGTGTAGTTAGTAGTATATAAGCTTCGAACCAGATCCCGGATCCCCTCGACCTCAGCATCAGCATCCAGCAAAGCATCAAGCAAAGCACTCGGGATTTGATCCAACTTACATCCCAAGTATACCTTACCTTCCTCTACAACCAATCACCAATCACATCACCACATCCTCCACCTACCTTACTTTTGGTATCCTGAAGAACCACCCAAGCCAAAATGACCAACACCACCACATCCAAGGCCCGCCTACAGAACGACTTCGGCGCCGATCTCTGGGTGAAGGACCGGCCGAAACATGTTCGTTTCCCCCCCCCCCCTTCCTTTTCATCCCCTTCCCCGAAACCCAACCTCACAAACCCCCGTCAAGAATTTCCGACCAAGAACGGAAGACTGACACGAATGACACAGCACGCAACCGCAGGCCGAGGCCTCTTCGCCGGGCTGCAGGACACGAAGCGCTACAACGTGGACTCCGGGTGGGCGAAGCGCAGCACGGCCGATTCGTCGCAGGGCTTGTTTGGGTTGTTGTGGAGTCGGTATGTTTCTTCTAGCTCTGGGGTTGGAGTTGAGGGTGACTATGGGTTGTTGGTTCGGTGATGAGATGCTGACTTGTGGTCTGGACAGATTTACCGGGGGTTCGTACCGGCCTCCGACGGATTAGAGCATTTTCGGGCTCTGGGGAAGGAAGATGGGCATGCTTGTGGTTCTCTTCGTTGTATCTTCTTATGTGTATGTTTGCGTGGGTGTTGGAGGTTAGGGATTGCATTTATTGCTTATTGTTATCTTCGAGGTGCTTCTTTCTTATCGGGTGGGATTGATATTATATTATCGAATAGGGAGATGTGCATATCTGGGTGGGTGTGATGGATCCGCTGAGGTCAAGGTTTGCTGTAGGTAGGGGATGGCTAATGCATAGTAACATATGGTCCTGTACGTGTGTGTAAAAGTTTGAGGCATCTGTGCTGATCGGATCTACCCTTGTTTATAGTGCTGGTCATTGACCACGGTAGTCCTGGGACTGACATTAGTACTGATGCCCTTTCTCGTAAAACAACTCAGGGAGAAAATTCAGCACGTAGACTGACGAGTCACAAAGGATACCAAGATTGCCAGACCTACCCGTGACTGCTAAACCGTACCGTATATGTGGTCAAGAACTGTCCCAGTATACAACGAAAACCAAGTCCATTCGTTTTCCAGTACGCTATCCCTCAATCAGCAAGACAAACATCACCCAGCCGAGCAGGTATCATCCTCAGAATCAAGAATTCTGTTCCTATCGAACACTCAAATCCCACTCGCAAGCATGACGCAGTCAATTCCACTCATTAATCCGCTATCGATCCACCACACCTCCTCCATTAGCCATCCACCTACCCATAGTCCTCAAAACCCACAATCATTGCCTTGCAACAGCTGATATCACCCCTGTACCATCATGGACCACCGTGACCTCGATCCATCACCCACAGCCTCACAACCCACAAACCACTCCCTGAACTTCAGCCACGAACCGCATCCTAACAACCACGACTCCCCGAATCAAGGACGGTGGCACCGCTAAATCAAACTCAGTCAGCCCATCTTCACCAGTAATCCCCAACGGAGAAAACAAAAAACTCACATGATCAGCCCCGCAATACAAGGGCACGCAGCAGCCCATGCCGCTCGTGGCGTTGGCGACACACGCTCTATCGTTCAGCTGCGGTGCTTGTCAGTGTATATCCTCCATATAAATATCATCATCATTGTGGACAAGTAGAGGAGGGTGGGTTCAGCCGGGGGGTTCGCATCACACTGGAGCCGGAGGGTCAGGGTCCGTGAGAGGATTGAGTCCAGAGGAATCCATCGGGGACAGACACTTGACTCCCTAATAGGGATCATCTGGATCGGTCTCATCCAATACCTAGAACCCATCCCATCCCCACCGCAATCTTCAAACAACCCCCGTATAGAATGAGGTACGCAACCCCATAGACCAAACCAGCAATCCCCCCCCCCCCCCCCCTCAACAAACACAACACAAAGCCCCAAGAGAAGAAACAACTCACCCCAACGCACGAGAGCTCGATATTGAACATCCCATTCTCCGCGGGCCGGGCGGCCGTCAACGAGGCGAGGAGGGCGACGACGGCGAGGAAACGCATTTTTCAAGACAAATTGTGGAGATTCGAAAAGGATTCTGCAAGAGAAGAATACTGTCGTTAGCAAAAACAAGCAAGCACAGCACCCAAAACCAACAATTCCCCAAATCCAAACCCCCCCGATACGCAAAATCTCCGACGCCACACCACCACCGAACCCAAAGAATGAAAGTGGCAAACAAAAAGTTATGACACATACCAGCAGTTAATGCTATCAATCACTCAACTGCAAGAATTCAAGTACTGTACCTCCGGAATGAGGCAGACGATAAACAACGTGGGCAGTTAACTGTCCTGCTGGGGCAAAGAATGTGGTGTGGATGAAAAACGAATTCGAGAAACCGGGAACCGGAAAATGTGATTGATCTTCTGGGCAAGGTCAGGTCAGGTAGGGGTAAAACACAATGACGCGCGCAAGGGCAGGGACCCCAACGTTCTTATGAAGGCGTGTGTTCGGTGGTAGATCCCTTCCCTCCTGTTTTGAGGTGGCCTGGTGGAGTGGGTGGGTGGATGGGTGGCCTTGGCTTTCTTGACTCGGTACTTGATAAGTGTCCGGTCGGTCACTTTTTTGGGTCATAAAATATTTTGGGGATTTTTTTGGATTTGTCTACGGTCACTAGAGTTATTTTTGGAAATTTTGGTCATCTTGAATAAATGGGAGATGTAGTGCTGGTGTTGGGAAAGTAGCCGGTAAACAGCAACAGCAGCAACAGCAGCAGCAGCAACAAACCCGTGAAACAGTAATCGGCGGGATCGGCGCGGGAATCCCTGCGGAGGGAAGTTGTGGATCGGCAGGGGAAGAGGAGGGGGCGGGAGAGAGGGGCCAGTCGCGACGTGACTGGTTTCCTGCCTCCAGTCTTACTGTACCCGAATACAGTGCTCTCCGTACTTTTCCCTACAGCAGGGCAACTCGGGCGTCGCGAGTGACAGGCAAACCCCCCGACCGACCGATCGGCCCCAAACTCCAGGCTCCATACCACCACCACCACCACCACCACCATCAGAGTGGGATCGTCACGTCCAAAGCCCAATAGTTTCCTGGGTCTCTGCGCTTGGCGGGTACACTAGTGATGAAACGGTGCTGCAGGATCATTGCAGGTGCAGTGCCCCGTGTTGGACATTATTGCACGTACTCGTATATACGGAGCTGTCCTGCACTCAGTGTGCACTGAGCAGCCACCATGTTTTGGTTTCAAGGGGCTGAAGCATGACAGTACAGTACCTACAGCGTATATCATGTTGGCATCATCCTGACATTCGCGAGGCTTGATCTCATCTCAATCTACTCATATCTCACCCTCGCCATAAAACCATGCTATAAGTGCTGCGGTGGAGTGCGGTCGCTTGGCTATCTCCTTTCACCGAGTAAGTTCACCTGTCGATCGCAATGGGTACCCAAGCGAGCGGATCGTCGTACGACTATTCAGGAGTCAGATGCCCCGTGTGTATGTCCCTACTACACCTATGTCACTATTCAGGAGTCGGTCAGATACTCCCATGTTACCAGCCTCCCACAAAGCATCAAGTCGCCGGGGCATGTGAAGAGTCAATTCGCCGTATATCTCGAATCCCACAACCCGGGACAACACACAAAAGTTCATGCTGGTACAAACGTGGAACCCGACTATGCATACATACACCAAACGCATCCCAAAATATACAGGTTCATTAGTAGTCCAGTGTGTCCAAAAATCAGTGCAAGTGCTGTGCTGCTGTGCTATGTAGAATGCCAAATCCCTCTGGTATAACGAATGTCTCAACCAAAACCAAGAACCAAAAAGCTAAATGGCCACGCAGGTGGTGAAAGAACTGTAAAAGCCGCCAGATATACTCGTGCACGCAGGAACTAGAAAATGCTGAAGCGTTTCGGTTTGCCCTCTATATTCCATTTAGTCTCGTCTTCATTCCTATGTCAAATCACCACACTTACCAGCCTTCCCACTCGACTTCTTGCCCTGCCCCGCATCCGCAGCCCCTTGCCCTGGTGCAACCCCATCGGCGGCCGCTCGAATAGTCGCCAGCCGATTCTTCGCCCGCTCATCACCTTGTTCGGCAGCCTTGACGTACCATACGTTGGCTTGCAGCGGGTCGCGTCGACAGCCAATGCCCGTCTCCGTGAAATACCCAATGGCATATTGGGCTTTCACCAAGCCTGTCGAACACAAAAGTCAGCATTGAAACCGACCACGCCAAAGCAATCAACTTACCGGATTCGGCAGCACGTTTGGCCCATTCGTACGCCTCCTCTTCGTCCTTCTCAAGGACAGGCTCAGCTCCAATCAGATACCAAGCACAAAGGGCCATCATGGCCAGAGGATGGCCCCCCTGTGCCGCCCCCGTGTAGAAGTGAATCGACAAAGCCGGGTCGCGCGGACAATCCAACTTGCCGTGCTCGTAGGCATCTCCCAGGCGATAGCTGGCCTCCACGTGCCCCAGGTCCGCCGACTTCGTGAACAGTTGCGCGGCGTACGACGGGTCCAGAAACACGTCATCGCCATAGCCCGTCTCATGCAGCAATCCGAGCTCATACGGGCCAGAATTGTACTGCTCGTCCGCGGACTCGGCCGCACGCTTCAACCACTTGATCCCCTCGCGGTACCGTTTGCCGAGACCCATGTCGCCCGCAAGACAGGCCTTGGACATTCGCAGCATAGCGCCCGGGTGATTCTTGGATGCTGCTTGTCGATAGAACTGTTGCGCCCGGGCAGCCTCCACCCGGGTACCCCAACCAAACTCAAAACACAGGGCCGCCCGATAGCATGCCTCGACGTGTCCGTGTTTGCTGGCCGCCACAAACAGCGGGAACGCTCGGTCATAATCCTCCTTGCCCTTGCTGAACAGTCCTGATGCGTATCCGTCCGCAATGTAGTATTGCGCGAACGGGTAGCTCCGATCAGAAAGCCGCTGGAGGATCGACTTGGCTTCTTTCAGCAATCCACCCCGAGTGATCTCTGCAGCTTTACGTCCGTACACGGCAGAGGCATCACCACCAAGTCCATCCGGTGGCATGTCCAGCGCGGCATTAACCATGAACAGGGCAAACTCATACTGAACGGCCGGGTCGTCCGTTTTCTTGACATTGGCCAAGTACATGTCAAACGTTTGCTTGTGGCTCAGCAACGAAGCATTATTTCCGATCGCCGACTGCAGCTGGGAGTTGCCGAACTGCACGGGAGCCGGACCAGGTTGGGGGTAGTGGCTGTTGAGCTGATCGACAAAAGACAGTGGCCGAACGTCGGGCGATGCAACAGACTCTCTTGAAGATGACCGGCCCTGGAGATATGGGGATAGATGAGGGGACCGATGGCGTCCGTCACCGACGCTGGACGTGAACGAGTACGTCGACCGCGGTCGGGGTCTGGCGCTCAAATAGCCGCTCGTGCCCGAGACGTTCTCCCCGGATCCAGTGGCCGAGGACTGTGAAGGGACCTCATAGGGACGGTGGTGGTAGTGCAAGGGCTCGTAGACCTCTGGCGTCTCTGCGCTGCTATCCAGACTTTCCCGCGGTGAAACATTTTCATTCTCTTTTGGAGCTGGTTGGTCGACGGAGGATGAGCTGGTAGTTGCAAGGCTGTCGGGCTGTTCTCTGGAGTTGGGGTCGACCACGGACCACGAGCCACTGCTCGTGGGCGTGTGGCCATATACTAACTGCCGCGGCGCTCGATATAGTTCTCCCTCACGTGGAGGTGCATTGTCGATATCCTTCCCGTGCGTCGGGGATTTTTCTGCAAGCGCCAAGTCTGAAAAGGCAGCGCCCGTAAGTGACAAAGCATATTCGTCGTCGCGGAAATTCTGGACCGGCTGGTCGACCTCGCCATGAATCCGCACTCTCGGAACCTGTACAGGCTGAAGTGTCTTTTCATCAGTCGCCGGCGATCGAGACGGCGGCGATTGTTCGCGCGTGGAAACCATATTTAATTGGTGATGCGAGCTGGGTCGTCGGGGTGTTTCGTGACGCGACGAGAGAAAGGGCGGAGATGAACGGAGATAGACCGGAGGAGGGGAAGGCAGCGGCTGAGAATACCTACTGGCCTCAGTGCTTGCCATTGAAGCGACTCCTCACTATTTCGGGGTGTACGTAAACCTCCGAGTTGATTTCTCCAAATTGTCAAGCTGGGTGTCTGATTCTTAATCCTTGCAGGATCCAAGCGTGGCAGACTGGCTGAGTCTAAGCGCTGGTCATGTAGGCAGCCATGAAGCAGGTCAATGAAGTTGAGGGTATTATTCTGGAGCGACTGATGGGATGTAAAGACAACGTCAACCAGAGATGGGATGTGCACCGGTTATCAGGCGACCAGGGACTGAGAGGTGTGGAGAACCTGGAGACGATGGGTCAATGAGAAGACGAAAATCGGGGGGGGGGTTCCACCGGGCAGAATAGACAGGCTTACCTAGTCAAATCTGTTGAAGGAACCGTGGTGATGATCGGTACCTCCGAGAGTTCATTCCGCCCTATACAAAAAACGAAAGGAGATTCACTAAGGACGAACGAGAGTCAGGAACTTGGGGGGGGGGGGTGAGGGAGACACAAACGACAGTAACACGGCCAGAAGGGGAGAGAGAGGAGGGGAACTTGAAAGGAACTTGGAAGAGTTGTGTGGTGCGGTGATGAGAAAAAGAGAGGAAATGGCGAGAAGGGACGGACCAGAGGAGAGAGACTAGACTAGTCAGTATGTACAGTATAGTATACAGTATGTATGGAGGTACTCAGAGAAACAGAACAGTACAAAACACAGTGGTTTCTTTTTGTCTTTTGACTCTTTTAGTGCCGGTGGCCCCTCAAACTTACTAGTAACTAGTAGTAAGAAGCTAACCAGCTAAGCCCCTCTAGGGTTAGTCAGTAGTTCGTCAGTGGCTTTAGTGGCTCGGAATAAAAATAGCGCCGGAGAGGCGTGGGAAACATTACGAGCTGCTGCTGCTGCTGCTGCTGCTGCTGCTAATGTACAGTATGTTTCACTCTTTCACTCCAGGCTGCTTCCTCCTCCATGCGCTTCTCCCCCCCCCGTATCTGGGCATTCCTCCCATTCAATATCTGGCCTCGCTGCTACGATCTGTGATCTGTGATGATACAAGTCGCGTCATCGATGCCCTTTTATTGCTGTTCATCCATATCCATGTCTACAGGCGAATGAGACTCTTTCTCGTTCTGCGCCGCCTGACAAACCGATGCGATGTCGCCATGACTCTGACTCTCAAACGAGTTTTTCGCACTTGCCGAGCAAGTCACGGCGTCCAAAGACTACCACGTCAGCAACTATTAATACCCCTTAAAATGGTCGATATTAGGACCATGGCGCTACAGCCTATCAAAGCATTCCTGCCAAGAGTGCCAATAACCGCTTCCTTTTCCCCACGGGGCATCGCCATTGCAAAGGATCCTCGGACGAAGATCGCAGGCGCTTCCAGCCCTCCAGCAAGCCCTTTTCGCATCGCATTGACGGTGACAACTCTTTTAGCCTGTTCAGCCGCGGGGTCATGAGATGCCTCCCGGAAATGACTACTGCAGCTCAGCGCTAGGCTACGGCGGCCACTCCATCGCTAACAGTCACGATTCGCACCGGGTATAGTCAGCTGGGAAAGCCCCGACGGCCCTGTTGGCGTGACCGTGGTCCAGTACCTCTGTAGTGATTCTCCCGCTTGCCGGCTGCTTCCAGGCTTGATCGCGACGACAAAGTTCATCGGGTTGCTCCTGAGCGCCAGTCAGCAAAACGACGGAGGTTGTCGAACCTGCTCTTCGGGTGGCTCCCGCAGCAGAGTGACTACATGTGTGTCATCGGCTAGGACGTATCAAAATCTGGCCGAATCGTTCATGAAAACTTGGAGACCTGTTCCTGGGTAGGTCGTAGGTTTCCCGGGGAGATCGGAGTAATCACAATTTCGTCAGCGGCAAGCACATAGTTAACTATTGAATGCTATACTTCCGCGCATCTCGTATCGCTAGCCGATCGGTCGACTCGCCCAAGCTGACGATGTCGATGCGATAGACTGCCTCTTACACAACATGATCTGAGTGTGTACTCATGCAATGCATATAACCCTTCGACAATGGCGCGTTGGGCGTGTTTGATAAGGCGGTGGTGCACGGTTCGCCTTAAAGCGGTAACAAGGCAAGAAAAGCATCGACCCCAGAGACAGTCCCAAGGCATATTCAAACTGTCGAGAGAAGCTTTTGTTCGCGATACGCACAAAGCGGTGTAGCAAACCCCTGATGAGCAGAGTAGCAGAATAACACCAATCGCGTAGTAACAGCCAAGAAAAAGTCAGTCTGCTGTGTTTTCCAGACAACAATCCGCACAGGTTTTCGGGCAGTGACCGTTTGCTAGTGGGAGGTCGTCAATTTAAAGATAACTGTCGAGTTGACATCATAACTGAAGGGACTATAGGGTCGAATCCAGATAACAACTGATAACCACCCTCGATGCGCGTTGGTCGGTTTGCCGGGTGCTTTATCCCAGTACAGGGCCGAACGCCGACATGCAGGCCTGTCGTCGAAGATCAGGGTCCATCAGATGCGACGCTTAGGTGATCCATCACACTTGCAGCAGAAGAATTGGTTCGGCCGGGGGGTCGCGGCCTAGCCTTCGAGACTGGGTTGCGAGGAAGTATAAGTTGATGGATCCACACTAGCACTGACGGTCTGCTTGGTGGTTCGCAGACAATGAACAAGACTCCTAGTGTCCTTTAGCCTGGTTATTTTTTGCCTTTTGCCCCCCTTAATTCGAGGCTTCTTATGCTCGAGCTGACTGTCAGCCCAACGACAGGAGCCATCGATAAATTACCACTCCACGCACAGGCCACCCACGGACAAGGCCTTTGGAGCCAGGAAACCACTTTGCGTCCCATCGGGCTGAGCAAACGGTGAGCGACAGCGTATGACCTATCAGGTGTAACCAGGTACGATGAGACCATTTTTAACCGGCAAGACGTTGCTCGTCGATAATGTCAACCAAAAAAAAACGGGAGCCGAAAAAAACCTGAGAGTCACTGGACCCTGCGGGTAGGGTGCAGTGTGGCGACGAGTCCACCCGATTCGCCTTCAAAAATAGAACGATGCATGTGTATGGTCGGGTAGTTTAGTTATCCATGAGGTACTGTATGTACTGTACGGACGACATGCTGAGACAATGTGTCATCGACCGACCGTAAGATCTGCAGGTTGACCGATGTTGACACGGTTGACACTGGACACTGACACTTGAGAACAACATGAGAACAACATGAGAATAGACCGGGAGATACTAGAAAAAGCCAGTGATTCTGGTTGTGACAATAGCTAATCAGAAATTGATTCTTTACCGAGTTAACTAGTAACAGTATTAGTGCATTGAATGATTGATCAGTTGATTATCTAACGAGAGGGGCGGAGCTTCTTGTGTGAAACCCACTAAACCCGATCGAGCCCGGTGGCCTGTCCGGCCGGAGCACAGAACCCAATCAAGCCAGGGTCTTGCTCTCGACCTTGGATCCCTCAGCTTGGACTGCATGCTTCTCCATTCTCTCTCTTCTCTACCAGTCTCTGCCTGATTGTCTCAGAATTGGAAAAGGAACAGAATGCAGAAAGTGGGCTTTGATAGACATTCACTTTTTTTCTTCAGATGCTATGCCCCCCAGCGATTTGCGTGGGCCGGTAAGATTCGCTGTTTACTGGTCTGGCTGACAAGTTACCTGTTAAGTTAGTTACTTGTTAACTTGCTTAGCGGGGCACACGCCTCAGGCCATCCATTGCCCCTAGCGACCGCCCGCAGCAGCAGCAGCACAGTATCGGAAGACTGTTTGTGTACATACGTACGTACAACATACAGTACTCCCTCCGTACGCAGGATTTATCTCATTCATCTGATTTCATGCCACAGGCCAGTCATCGTCATATCTCATCCATCAATTTCCTCCTATTCTTATTCTTCTTCTCCAAAGACATCAATCATCGTCCACATTCCTCCCATCATCTGTCACCGCTGCCTGCCATTTTTTAACCCCACCAGCATTCTTTCTTTCTCGCCTTCCTTCGCTGATCGGATGGGCCCGACTCGACTGGCTTGGCAACGATAAGAAACGGGTCCCCCGTGATCTTTTGAAGCAACGTGGGAAAGAGACCCGGCGTAAGAGTAAGATTCAATATTTGGATACGGGCGGTACCTTTGGTTGAACAATCTTGGGTGCCCGTATTTCCTCGACTAACCTCTAAGTTATCTAGCCTACAGGGACTAGACTCTTTCACATTGCTGGTTACTCCGCACTATCGCCCGCAGCGCCGTGGTTTCGCCCATCTCCCCTTTCCTTTTCCACCACTTACTCTTCATCCATTGCGCTCGCTCGATCACCTCACTGGTGTGCTCCAGTCACTCGTTCCTTGGCAGCAAAACTCCCGCCTGTTGTATCCGCATCCGCACTCGCTTTCTGTCCAGAAATCTCTCCCTGTTTCTCCACATTCATTCCTGGATTGCTGGTCCACGGAGGATTTTCGAGCATCCAACTACGGAGCTGCCAGCAGCTGTATCCCGCTCTGCGCGCATCGCCTGCATTTCCGGGGAGAAGCGTCTTCTGCCTACGAAGAACCTAAATTCGGAATAAATTGTCGTAAAGCCATTACTCACAACTGTTGTTTATGCTAAGGTGAAGGTGGGTAAGGTCTTTCCTTGATGCTATCTTATCATGTCTTCCCCAACTGTCTGCATTTCACATGCAAACCACGCGCAAAACCAACATGTGGGCAGTTCTGCCTTGTTCGCATGCATTCCAGAAGTCTCCTGCGCCTTTGCGACCGATGGCAATGAATCACTAATCTAAATCCCCAATCTCAGGCACCAGACCAGGGCCATGTCCTTACCTCAACGTCCGGGGAAGGCTTCCCCGCGACGAGAAGAAACATTTGACTCGTATCGCGAATCTTCGCGGAGGCGCCATCGTACCCGCGAGTCGACAGGCCACCATGATCACGAAGACAGCTCCCCGTCGGGACATCGCCACCACCGGCACCATCGCTCACGCAGCTCCAGGAGACGAAGTGATGCGGATGTGGAGAGGGGCGACTGGGGGACAGACTCGAGGAATCGAAAGAGCTTTGTGAAACCGGAACGCACCCGAGTGGACCAGAACCATCCTCATTACCACTATCGCCAGAAGTCGCAGAACATGCCAACCTACCCGTCCCAGACGGGGGACGGGCCGACGATGGGTCGCGAACAGGAAGCAGACACAAACAGCTCACGAAGCTCGGAGTCCAAAGGGAAGACAGGGGTATACGTCACTCAGGGAAATGTCAATCAGCCGATGGAAAGAGTCCCCAAGAAACGTCGCATCAAGAAGAGAAGATCATCTCGCAGAATCAAGAAGACAGCCGCTGCTGCAGAAAGAGAACGCCAGAAAGCGCTGGAGCAGGTCCGTCCACCCAGTCCTTGGACCACCTATTGCGCCATCATCACCTTCTGGGCCCCCGATTTTATCCTGAGGTGCTTCGGCATGCCGCAGAAGGCCCAGAGAAGCGCCTGGCGGGAGAAGATCGGATTGATCAGTATCATCTTGCTGATTGGGGCATTCGTCGGTTTCCTCACCTTCGGTTTCACGGCTACCGTTTGCGGCACTCCCCCGACTCGGCTTAGGGTCAATGAAGTCAGCAGTAGCTACATGATCTTCCACGGTCAGGCATACGACTTGTCGCACTCGACGCACCCAGCGGCCGCGGGCATCCCGGCTGGGACTAACGTACTCTGGGATTTATCGCATAAATACGGAGGCCAAGACGGTAGCTTCTTCTTTCAAGAGGTCAATGGAGAGTGCAAGGGCTTGATCACTCTTGCCGATGGATCTGATGTGCCTACAAACTCGGATGGCGACCTTGCGTGGTACTTCCCGTGTCATGCGTTCAACCAGGACGGTTCGTCCGAGCCGAACATGACGGAGTCTTACTACCTCGGCTGGGCCTGCCACACTTCCGGGTCGGCTCGCAAGTCGTTCTATAACTTGAAAAGCTCCGGTGATGTGTATTATACGTGGGAGGATACCAAGAATAAGAGCAGGAATCTTGCCGTCTACTCTGGCAATGTCTTGGATCTGGACCTTATACGGTGGTTCGACACAACGCAAGTCAAATACCCGAAGAAATTTGATGAGCTTCGTGAGAACTCGGCCGTGCGCGGGGTCGATCTCACGTACTACCTGCAGACTGGCGAAGAGAAAAAGATCGGCAAGTGTTTGTCTCAGATCATCAAGGTCGGCAGCATCGACACCGACACGGTTGGCTGCATTGCGTCCAAGGTGGTGCTTTACGTATCACTGATCTTCATCCTCTCGATTGTGGTGGTGAAGTTCATCTTTGCCTTACTTTTCCAGTGGTTCCTGGCCAAGCAATACGCCCCGGCTCGGACGAGTATGGCAGCTGACTCCAAGACGCGAAACCAGCAAATCGAGGACTGGTCAAACGACATCTACCGCCCGGGCCCACGAGTCGCAGACCAGACTATGCTGGAGCGGCCCGGTAAGAGGGCCAGCTTCTTGCCGACCACGTCTCGCTTCTCTAGTCCCTACACCGTGAGCAACGGGGGCAAGCAGAAATACCAGTACGTGACGATGGCCAGTCAGAACTCGACCACCCGCTTGGTGCCCGGTGGGAGCAACTCCGTGTACAGGCAGAACTACAACGAAAGCGGGGGTAGTTTGACGGCTGATGGTTCGCGCCATGCCAATTCGGCGAGTCGATCTAGCTTGGCACTTCAGGACTCCCGATATTCAACTGCGATGCCGGAATCGGAGTCTGCTGGACTAGGTGGCTTCGTTCATGAAGCGGTCATTCCTCAGCCCCCTCCCGAGTGGCAGCCGTATGGCTTCCCCTTGGCTCATTCTCTATGTCTGGTGACTTGTTACTCGGAAGGTGAAGAGGGTATCCGCTCCACGCTGGACTCAATTGCCATGACCGACTATCCGAACAGCCACAAAACCATCATCGTGATCTGTGATGGAATGATTAAGGGTAAAGGCGAGGAGTTTTCCACCCCAGAGATTGTTCTGCGCATGATGCGTGATCCGATCGTCCCGATGGACGAGGTCCAGCCCTTCTCTTATGTTGCCGTGGCCACCGGATCCAAGCGGCACAACATGGCCAAGGTGTACGCTGGTTTCTACGACTACGGCACAAACTCGATCATTCCCGAGGAAAAGCAGCAGCGCGTGCCCATGATGATTGTTGTGAAGTGTGGAACACCGGCCGAAGCGAACCAGTCCAAGCCCGGTAACCGTGGTAAGAGAGATAGTCAGATCATTTTGATGTCTTTTCTGCAGAAGGTCATGTTCGATGAACGGATGACGGAGCTGGAGTTTGAGATGTTCAACGGGCTTTGGCTGGTCACCGGGATTCCGCCGGACTTCTACGAGGTTCTTCTGTGTGTGGATGCAGACACCAAGGTGTTTCCGGACAGTCTGACGCACATGATCTCGGCCATGGTGAAAGATCCGGATGTTATGGGATTGTGTGGGGAGACGAAGATCGCCAACAAGACTGACAGTTGGGTTACAATGATCCAGGTTTTCGAGTAAGCTTCTCTTCTTTTTATGATTCAGCTCTTATTGTGGGATCAAACTAAGCAATCATCTAGATACTTCGTGTCTCACCATCAGGCCAAGTCATTCGAGTCGGTCTTTGGCGGTGTGACCTGTCTTCCCGGATGTTTCTCGATGTATCGTATCAAGGCGCCCAAGGGCGGGCAAAACTACTGGGTCCCAATTCTCGCCAACCCGGACGTGGTCGAGCACTACTCGGAGAACGTCGTGGACACCCTCCACAAGAAGAACCTGCTTCTCCTGGGCGAGGACCGCTATCTGTCGACACTCATGCTCCGAACCTTCCCCAAGCGCAAGCAGATCTTCGTGCCGCAGGCCGTGTGCAAGACCCAGGTCCCCGACAAGTTCATGGTGCTGCTCTCCCAGCGCCGCCGGTGGATCAACAGTACCGTGCACAACCTGATGGAGTTGGTGTTGGTGCGCGATCTCTGCGGCACCTTCTGTTTCAGCATGCAATTCGTCATTTTCATCGAATTGGTGGGTACACTCGTGCTTCCGGCCGCCATTGCCTTCACCTTCTATGTTGTTATCAACTCGATCGTCCACCGGCCCGTCCAGGTGTTGCCCTTGGTTCTGTTGGCTTTGATCTTGGGACTACCGGGTGTGTTGGTGGTGGTAACCGCCCACCGGATGGTGTACGTGCTGTGGATGCTGATCTATCTGCTGTCGCTGCCCGTGTGGAATTTCGTGCTGCCGACGTACTCGTATTGGAAGTTCGACGATTTCAGCTGGGGCGACACGCGGCAGACGGCGGGCGGCAAAGACAAGGGCCACGAGGCGGGCGAGGGCGAGTTTGACAGCAGTCAGATCACGATGAAACGGTGGCGGGACTTCGAAAAAGGTGCGTTCCCAAGCATGGCTTTCCTGCTATACCCCACTTCTTCCGCCTTTTCCATTTCATTTATTATTGCCTTGAGCCCGGGCGTACTAACGTCGCTTCTTAATAGACCGTCGCCTCCGCATGCAAATGCAAGCCAGCTATCCTCCTTACCACCATCAGCATAATCCATATTCTGGGTAAATAAGTCGATGCGTGCTAAGATGATTGTTTATTGTGTTGTACATTTTGGCTTTTTTTTTTGGGGTGTGTGTTGAGGCAGAGGACAACTCCCTCGGAAATCATGCGCAAGCGAAGTTCACTTTTTTTTCTTGGATATAATCTTTTATGTTGCAGATGTCATTGATCCAAACGAGGTGGTGGAGAAAGGAGAGTAATGTGAGGGGGGGGAGCAGGCAGCGAGAGCTTGTGGGATAAGCTTGGTTGGGGTGTTGTACCTATATATCGTATCCTACCTGGTCCTGATGATTTATGAACCCGATTTTTGGTTTCCCATTTTGTTGTTTTCTAGTATCTTGTTACTTTCTGGGTGATGTAGCTCAGTGGTATGATTCAATTCCTGCCTGCCCACGAGGATGGAGAGCGTCATTTTGCCTTGGGATTTTCACGCATATAGTGAGTGACCAATTACAAAGACAGACGTGATCCTGCGTGATTCGTGCTTGATATGCTCCAAGGAAGTCAGCCAGCGGTTGCAACATCTCAGATCTCCGACCATAAACTTCTCACAGGAGGAACCACACCATCCGTTTCAAGGTTAGGTCAACTTAGAGGCTACTAACGTGAAGTTCCTCCCTCCTATAGTAGATGATGTTGCCGGCCGGGTGGTTCCTTCCCAGCTTTCCTTTCTGTTCACTTCAAGCCCTTCAGATCAAAGACCCAAAGACCCAAAGACCAACCAATTCCGCAATCATCGAGAGTCTTACCGAAGACTCTGGGCCTTGCCCGTACCGTCCGTTTCTTTGAGGCGTTGCTGCACGGACACGCGCATTATCTCGATGTGGATGTGGAGGAGGTGCTTGGGTCGAGCCGGCTCGAATATCATTTTGATCCTGCGGGAGAGCCGCGCCGCACGACGCGAAGCGACCCATTCCACCACGACTGGCCATTCTGCTGCTAAAGGTTTCTAGAAGCTTGGGGTTGGGGGTATCCTGATAATTTCTGGACGTCGGCTCGTCCGCCGCGCCCCCACCGGGCCACTCATATACACATAACATAGTAAGTAGTTCAGATAAAGCCTTCTAGTCGATCGATGATCGTCTGGTTTGGGAATCTGCAGTTATATGTACTGTATGTATTCCTAGACATGCATATGCGTATCTACTGTCCCATTTTCTAAACCCCGACTCACCTCACACAATCAACAGCACAAAAAAAAGAAAAGAAAACGCATCTATTGAACTTCTCCCAGCTATCCGGGTATAAAAGAAATCAACCAACCAACCAACCAACCAACCAACCAACACTTTGCCCCACTACCCCCTTCTCTTCAACCAGCATCTCCCACTCATCGTAACCGCACCAACCGAGACAAAACGACCTACCAATCATCATCATCGTCCTGATGATGTCCCTGCATCGCATTCTGCCTCGCTTTCAGCGCCTCCGCCAACCCACCCGCCAGACTGGCGTTGGACGCGCTATTCGGCGTCGCCCGACCGCTGCCCCCAGACGAGTCGTGCGCCGAGTTCATGCTCACCGCGCTATCGCGGGGGGCCGGGGGCGGGGCCGGCGCCATCTTGCGGCCGGCCATGTTGGGCCGTTTCATCGGCGGCGCGGGGGGCGCGGGCTTGGCTTTGGCTTTTGCGGCCGCGGCGGCGCCGTTGGTCGCGGGGATGGGGCTGGCGCGTGCGGAGGCCGGGGGAGGGGGCGGGGGCGCGGGTTTGGGCGTCGGAGCGGCGGCGACGACTTGTTCTTCGAGGTAGGCTTCTGGGGTCCAGCCTTGGACGGCGGTGGTCATGTTCATGCAGAGCCACCAGCCTGGGGGGTGTCTTGTTAGTATGGGGCTGTGGTTATCGAAATGGAGGTTGGCTTACCGTTGCCCTCTTTGGACACGATCTGCACGATCTCGCCGGCGCGGATGGACAGCTCGTTCGACCGGTCGCTGTTGAAGTCGTACAGGACCTTGGCTGTGGCCTTCTTCGGGGCGGGGGGGCCCGCGGGCGGAGGAGGTGGGGGGGCTCGTACTGATCCGGATGATGCAGTGCGGGCATGCGACGCGGCGGCTACGGCGGCCACAGGCTGAGGCACCGGGCGGGCCTGAGCGGCAGGTTGAGGCGCTGGTGGGGGTGGTTGCACGGCTGCTGCTGCTGCTGCTGCTGCTGGCTGCTGAGGTAGGGGCTGGCGCGCCGGGGCAGGTCGCGACGCCAGCTTCGACGGGCCACCGCCCGGTCCGCCAGGCCGCAGCAACTTGCCTGTCGTGACGGGTCGTGCGGCGACCTGCTTCGGGCGGGGGGTGGGCTTGGAGACCGAAGTGGCGGGCTCGCCGGCACTGGTGTGGATCGTGCTACTCTTGTAGCTGTCCACGTTCGACGATCCTGGATCCTTGACCACCTTCACGGTGGCCAGCTTGCCGGGTTTCTTGTTGTATTCGATGCTACACGGCGTCAGTAACTGCCATCATCGCAACTCAGGAAGTCACTTACTGGTCGGCGATCTTCAGGTTGAGCTGGCCACGGAGCGCGTTGCTGAGATGGGTGAAGAATTCCGTCTTGAAAACGCAGTTCACCAGAGGATCGGGCTCCTGTCCGCCCACCACCAGAGAGAACCAGTCATCCCGGCAATTGGACGTGCTGACGGACTTGATAGCACCAATTGGTACCGTCGTCTCCGACGAGATCTGGAGCTGGTTGTTGACAAACGTTTGCGCTACAATATATACATGTCGGTTTGTCTGCTTTGGTTAGTCCACGCTCAGAAATCTGGGAGGTGCAACGTACCAAAACGAGAATGCGAGGTGAAGGCTTGCTGGACCGTCCGAACTTGGACACCAAAACCTCTCCACGACACGAGAAAAGAATATTCTCCGATCCTGGATTCGTCAGCCGAGTTCATGCCGAGTGCAAAGCGCACCACACATACCGCTAATGCCTGCACCGTTACGGATCATCTCCCCGGGTCCACCCTTGTTGCCGATCCCGACGTAATCGCCCAAGAACCGACGCGAGCCGAGCAGACTCATCCTCCGACGCTCTTTACGGCCCTGCAGCACCTGGTGACCCTGGTCACGCAGCTTGATGAACTCAAGCCCACCGGTCATCCGACGCCAGAAGCGCTGGATGCGAATAGCGCACTCGGTCCGGTAGCGCAGGTAATTGCGCCAAGCGCGCTGGATCCGGATCGCCATGTTGTGCCAGTAGCGGTCGCGCATGGCCTCCAGCGCGAACAATGTCTCCGGAGTCTTGACGAAGACCTTGGTGATACCCATCTGGTACTCTTCGGTGGGAATGCTGGTATCCTTCAGGATCTGACGAGCACCAGACTCGGCATCGCCTGTCCACGTGTAGTCACCAGCGTACGATGTCTTGGGCGACAAAAGGTAGAACCGCTCCACGAATTTGTCAAAGGTTTGACGGTAGGCGAAACCTGCACGACGAATCCGAACGTTCTCCTGCAATCCCAGATATTTGATCTGATGCAGAACATTGCCCACATTATACTCCCTGGGGGCCTTGTTATCGTTCGGCTTGATCGTGCGGATATACGACGGCTGAGCCTTCATCAGAGTTGCCACGAGATCGTTAGCAGAAGCCTTGATCTTATCGCTTGCAGTCGGTGGGCGTCTCTTGTCGTCCTGGTTGACCTGATTGGGGAACAATGTGTGGACGAACTGGTTGCCACTGGAACCCACAAGGTTCAACAGATCCTTGAGCAGTTGATCCTTGTTCTTGTCGGTCATTCCTTCCACAGCGTAGCTGACATCACCCGCATAGTGCTTAACAATAAATTGACCTTGGCGGCTCTCAAAGTTCGGGTTCTGACCCAAGAAGTTGAGTCTTCCAACAAAGGTGTTGTCCGCCGCGCTCGAATCGGCGTGTGCGGTAGCGCAAGCGTCGTTGAGCGCAGCAAAGACACCGGGGGGCCGCTTGTCTTCGATCAGCGAACACACGACCTTGTTGTCGAAGTACTTGATCGGAGTCCATTGAATCTGCTCGCGCGCATATTCATCCTGCTCCGCCTTCAAGGTCAACTGAATGAAAATCTGCTGCAGCTTTTCGTTGACGTAGTTGATGCACAGCTGTTCGAACGAATTCTTCTCGAAAATCTCGAACCCATAAATATCCAAGATACCGATCGAGTTGGTGATCGCACCTCGGGCGGTCAGCGACGAGTTGACACGTCCCACAATCCAGTCAAACAAGTTGAAGTAGATGGCTTTGGCCAATGCATCGCGGACAGCCACGGCTTGTACCGTGTTCAAGGGAACCTCGTAGACCGACCCTCTGCGGCCGCCACGGGCAGTCTCCATCAGACGGATGGTGAGCGCCTTGTTGACCTGGGCAGCATCAACCTCTAGCAGATATGCGACGAAATCGACAACCGACTGATCCGTGATGGCGGCGTTTCCTGCATCATCTTCGGCGAATGTGACATTTCCGATCCACAGAATGGCAGCCAACATTCGGAACACGTTGTCTTGTTCGGGTTCGCTCATACCAATGACACCCATTGCGTTCAAAGTATCCCGGAACTCCGCCGCATCATCAACCCCTGGCACATCGAAACACTTCGAGCGACTCGTATATACGTAGGACTGGGGTTGTTGTACACCGAAATTGTCTACCCAATGTGTCAGCTGCGTTCCACCCGATTCCTCCCCACTGCAACATACCTCTGTATTTTTGCGGCGCAGCTTTGGTGAATTGGTAGAAGATGTGGAAGTTTCGCTCATTGGTGATCTGACCCACAACTCTCGATTTCTCCAGCAAGTAGTTCGTAATGTTGGCACCCACGGGCTCTCCCTGGGCGTTGAATTCCAACTCCAAGTACTTTCCGAACCGCGACGAGTTGTTGTTGCGCAGCGTCTTTGCATTACCAAAAGATTCCAGTAACGGGTTGGTGGCCAAAACCATGTCTTTCGTCTGCTGGATCGACGAGTCGGTACCCCCCGATACGTTGGCGATGTACTGCATCAGGCGCTTAGCCGCCTCCGTCTTTCCGGCACCCGACTCTCCTGAAATAATCACACACTGATTATCCTTGTATGACTTCATGTTGTAGTAGGCGGATTCGGCGACGGCGAATACATGGGGCGGGACTTCGAGTCGGTTCTTGCCCCGGTAGGAGTCGAGTACTTGATCGGTATAGATCCCCACTATGCGGAAAGGGTCAGGCACGCGACCGGCGGGGGCGGGGAGGGTAGGTTTCAGGGGCAACGGCACTTACAATCGCGGAAAGGGTTGACGGACACCAACACATGTCCGATATAAGTCTATTTGAGCATTGAGACGCATGGTTAGTGAGACATGCTCGCAGCGCTTGGCTGTGCGACTGGGCTGGGGGAGGGGGATGGGGAGGGGGAGGGGAAGTGGTGGCCGGCTTACGTAGATTTCATCGTGTTCGAAGCGGAGCTTCAGGTTATCGTTGATCGCCTCATTGGAGATCTTACTGAGCAGCGTGAGATCGGAAACGCCAATTTCCTTCTTCTTTGTGCTCTCGAAGGTGGCCTTCTTGACCTGCGGCTTGCCCGCTTGTCGTCCGTCGCCCACATCCGCCGCCTTGGAGCGACCGAACCTCTTCTTCTCCCCGCCGGCCGGACGTCGCGAGTGTCCCTAATGGAGGATCGGGGTCAGCGGAGTTCGAGTGGATTGGTAATGTGAGGGTGTCCGTCGGTGATAGATGGCTGGAGGCATCCAACTCACCATATTTGTTGTGAGTTTTGTGGGTTCCGATCAGCCCGGAACTTGCGCCCAAGCGTCAAGATATCTGTCCTATCAGTGCGGACGGTGGTATAGAGTGTATCGTGTTTGGGAGTGAATCAGGAATGAACGCAATGAGGGGGATGGTTCATTCCAGAAATTCAAGGAGAGATGATTGTAAAGAGTAGATCTAGAAGATAGGAGAGAGGGGGAGGGGAAAGAGAAAGAGGGTCTATACGGAGGAGAGAGGGAGGAAGAATGACGAATGGTGCCTGTGTGGAGGAGGAGGAGGAGATGACCGACTGACTGACTGCGGACCGTCGAGGACGAATTAACTAGTACAGTTGATGGGCGGTTCCTCGCTGCCGATGGGGCCTGCGCCACACTAGGATTAGTTAACTTTTCTCTCGGGGCCTTTCTTACTCAGCCGAATACGCGCAATCAATCTCCAACTATGGATTCATTTCCTCTTTCTGTCTGTCTTGGACAACAAAACGTCCTTCTAGGAAGTGGATTCTGCCTAGAGGCAAATCGCACATCGCAAACCGCTTGCCTCGGACCCTGACGCTAAACTCTTCCATCTTGTCTCCCTCCTAGGTCGTGAAATTCGGGACTATTCAAGGATACAAGCTGCGATAGCCCAGATCACATCTACTGAGTATATGTGGCTGGAACTATTTTTGTTTTCCTGCCCAAGTGCGGGATTACTTCCCCCTCACTACGTCACGCCTGCAGTCCGTCTCACCTCGCCGTTCTAGCCAGTCTCTGGGACTTTTTCTCTACCCATTGACAATGCCCGATAAGGAGTCAGAAAGGGTCAATTCCTTGTAAATTGCCAGTCCGATTCACGAAGTGTATTCTCCATCACCATTGGGACACCGTCCTTCGGGCCACCCTGACCACCGTCGGAGCAATCTCGCCGTGCCCCACTGCTCGGATATATCCCTCATCCTACCCCTGGATCAATAGTCTTGTCGCAGACATTGGGCCACCACAAGAGACTTGCACCATTCAGGGTTGTCTTCTGGAAAGAAGGGATGGACAGTACTTACACTCATAACAAGACCTAGTAGAAACGTGCCCAAAACACGAAATCCAGCCGACTGCGGGTTGCGTAGCCTTTTAGACAACAACATTCCTCTGCTCCGTACCCTGGATGACATTCAATGCAAGTGGAGCCGTCGTCCACGGCCAACGTCATATACCCTGCACCGGTGCAGGGCTCGCACGTGGACCAGGCATATCTTGGAGATTGCTGATGTATTCCTGGATCGAGGACAGGAGGCATGAAGCGTCTGCGATCGGGATGATGGGCATCATAGCGGGGAGGGATTCGAACATTCTACCGAGATATATATTCAGATTCATGGTGAGGTTCTGGTGCGGGGAGAATCAATCACATTATTTCCAGTGCCACCCATCCATTGAGACTGGAAACACCGCTTGCGCTGATGAATGGTGTATCTGACAGCAGATAAGCTACGGCAATTCTTCGAGAGCAGCGATCTCTGTGCTGTGCGAGTTGATTCAAGCGATATAGAGTGTCCTGCCGATTGCACGGTTCAAGGGATGTAGGAGTTAGAAGAAGGATTGCGAGAGACCCTGAACTGTGTCGCAATGGGAACTGGAAATCTATGTCTCGTAGTGTGGAGTCTGATCTCGATCTCAATCAGTTGCTGATTCGTCCTTGATGATGGTAGCAGACCTCTCATAACCGTCGAAGTGGACAAGATCGGCCCTATGACTTTCCACATGGGCTGCTCGCGGAGAGAGGAGCTGAAAATCCCTGGAATGCCGGTGAAATTTTCCATTATTCGTGAGCAGCCGTCAGACATAGATGACTGCCAGTGAGCAGTGTGTTTGTATCAGAGAGGAGTTGATTAAGTCTAGGCGGGACAGCATCCCGCTTCTATATATCTAGAACCGGCACCAGTCCAACCTCCTCCCTTCCACGCGGTAATATACAAAGGGTATCCAGAAGTAACACCAAACCATGTACTCTCCCCGATATATCTCCCCAATATCTATCTCATTATATATACAGAACCGTCATCAAGACAACCAGGCGCCCACTAAGCCTTTCTCGACTCTGCTGCATTCCCCTCACGGCCCACCGGAGTGGCCAACGCCACTGGTGCAGACTGTTGCGCATCACTGGTCGATGTCGGGCCGACACTCTTGCTCTCACTGACTACCGCTTCAGCTTGCTGTTCCGCGCTCTCCCCGAACGAGAACAACGACGCAACACGGGTGAGCAACCCTGGAGTCTCGACCTCCTCAGCCGTCTCCTCCGGCTCTTCCCACACCCAGCGCGGCAGGATTCGCTTCGAAGACTTGGACAGCTCCCCATGCTTGGCCTTCAGCTGCAGCAGCTCCTTCTCCAGCGCGATCAGCGCCTCCCGCGTCGCCTTCTCCGTCTGCTCCAGCTCCGCCAGCCGGCTCTCCACGTCCTCCCGGCGCGTTGTCTCCTTCCGGCGCGACCGCCACGATTCGAACACGATCAAGCCGCCCGCCACCAGGAACAGGAACGTCTCGCTGATGAACGTCGCACCGGATTCGATGGCCTTGGACTCTGACAGCGGCCGGATGTGCGGCTTGGGCGCCGGTTTGGCCGCCTCCTGGACCTTGGCGAGCGCCGCCTCTTCCGCCTTGGTCTCGGCCTCGGTCTTGGCCGTCGGGGAGGTGGGTTTGAGCTTGCGAAGCTCCGCCTCGGCCGCCGCCCGTTTCTGCGATGCGGCCGTGTCGCGCAGGCTGCCTAGGCGGAGGCGCATGTCGATGCGGTGCAGCCCTTGCGCCATGGAGACGCAGATCCGGCGGAAGCGTTCATGTTCGCGAGCCTGTGCTTTGAGTTGGTTCTTCGCAGGTGGTCAGTCAAGTAGTCATTCAGTCGAGGATAGGTCGGCGAGGCGGAGTCAGATGGGGAGAGGAGAGGAGAGGAGCTTACGGCAATCGGCTTCGAGAGTGTGCGGATGACCAGGGAGGAGAGTTTGAGAGTGAGAGACATGATGAAAATCCAATAGGGAAAGAAGGATTAGAAATAGTCAAAGGGATTGGTATGAATAGAATCCATGCAGGGTGTGGTTAATGAGGTGTGGTTTGGAGATCTTCATGCATTGCGGCTGGCTATCGGCTTGGATGGGTCACATATTGATGGAAATCGGTCTGGATTATCAGGCATCGACAAGCATGTGCCCGCACTTCAGTAAGTAAGCATTACTGGTGCATAATTGCCGAGACAATACCTGCTGATGTCAGCAATGTGGCCGTTGTTGCGGCAGTCGGATCAATGTTTATCGATTGCCGTTTCGGGTAATCCGTTTGGCAAGCCCAGCCGGCCGGGGGAACTTTCTCCTTGGTCTTCCTTGAATACTTACTTATCCCTACCGGACACCTGCTGAACCGTCGCCCCCCCCTCCCCCCCCCCCCCCCCCCCCCCCATCCCCCTCAAACACGAAAACTCTTTGGGTTGTGCGGCGTTACATACATGGCTTTGTATTTTTGAGCGTCATTGTCATTGTTTCATAATTTTGTTGACTCCCGGTAGGTAGGTCTTGTTGTTGACCTGAAGTCTTTGCCGTCCTCGTGCTCTGCTTGTCGGTGGTTCTGCCGCTGCTGTCTTGAAAGAGTCCCTCGACCCGTTGATCAATGAACCGGCGTTGAAGCTCCCCGAGTGGCGACGCGCATATCATCTTATCGCTTCACGTTACTAACCCTCTACAAAGATACTCAGGCATCAATCGATTCACCATACCCCCCTTGTTGTCCCAGTCACCCCTCCTCGTCTACTCCGACCGCCCCATCTGATGTTCGCTACGCCCGACTTACTTGCCCGAAGCTGCTGGTCTGTCTCTGGTCGCAAGCATTGATACCCAACTATAAGACGCGACGTCTTGTGAGTGCAACATGTTGGACGCATTGTCACCGCGATCCACCAACCAAGTGATCAGGCCCAAGGTGTCGATGGAGCGGAAAGTGCTGGATAAGAACGCTGCCGCCGCCGCCGCCGCCGCTCAGAAATCCTCGTCGTCGAAGAACCATGCGCCACCACCGCCGTCGTTAGTCGTTGAGCCCGAGGAGGATGGAGAGCAATACTCGACCGGTGCGTTTCTGGGGAAAGGGGGATTCGCGATCTGCTATGAGGGAACCCTGTTGCGCAATGGCCGCGTCTTCGCTATGAAAGTGGTCCGGTCTGAAATGGCCCAGAAGAAGATGCAAGAGAAGGTATTACACCAAACGCGTGCTGCTTGATTGTCGAATGGCAACTGACATTGCCGCGCAGTTCCGAACAGAGCTTCAGATTCATTCGAAAATGCGCCACCCCCATATCGTCGAGTTCCATCGCGCCTTCGCCTTCGACAGCTGCATCTATGTCATCCTGGAATTATGCCCCAATGGATCGGTCATGGATATGGTCCGGAAGAGGAAATGCTTGAGTCTACCCGAGGTCCGACGGTTTATGGTCCAGCTCTGCGGTGCAGTGAAATATCTGCACAAGCGGAATGTCGCACACCGAGACTTGAAGATGGGGAACCTCTTTCTGGACAAGAACATGGACATCAAGGTCGGCGACTTCGGCCTGGCAGCGATGATCGTATCAGAGAAGGACGAAAAGCGAAGAAGAACGTTATGCGGTACACCAAACTATATTGCGCCGGAGGTTCTGGATCGGAGCAAGGGTGGACACACTCAGAAGGTGGATATCTGGTCATTGGGTGTTATTTGGTAAGCAACCTGAACTACGTTGAACAACCCCCCGGCTAAGTGTGCGCAGCTTTGCTATGCTTACAGGTTACCCACCGTTTCAATCTAAAACGCAAGAAGAGATTTACAAGAAAGTTCGAAACCTGACATATGTCTGGCCCAAAGGGGCCGAGTGCGCCAACCACATTCCCGAAGAGGCTAAGACCCTCGTGAGCTCGTGTCTCAATCTGTCAGAAGATGAACGCCCCGAACCGGATGACCTGGTTGAGCATCCGTTTTTCAGCATGTACGAAGGCTGTATACCGAAACGTCTAGATCCGAGAAGCTGTCTCAACAGGCCTGTCTGGTTGAGACCGGACGAGCCTCGTGGCGATCACATGATGATGGGTTATAGTTTGGAGTACGACGACAAGCTTTCTGGATATATAGAACACGTGGACGACCCAAGTCAGCGATATGCCATATGTAGAGCCGCGTTCTACACGCTATGCGGAGTGGGCCGAAAACCGGATGGCTCTGCGCGCAAGGCTGCGGGCAGAAACTGCGCGAAGTCTGCTTATGCTGAGTGTCTGATTGAGGAGGAAAGAGGTTTCCAGCCGGTCATTCCGTTGCCGGAAGACATTGTGTACAAATATCCCAATGTTCCAGACGGGGATTGGAGCGACCCGGTATCTGCTCTCTTGGCCCGAAAGGACGGTTCCTCATTCGACGACAGTGTGCTCTCCAGGAAAAGCAGTGGATCTGTACATGCTAATGCAGCTTCACTTACCCGCACTCAAGCAGCACTGGCCGCTGCCCAGCAGCGACGGAAGGAATCTCAGAGCCACGCGGCGACGCTCCGGCAGCAGGCTGCTACTGGCAGAGGATCTGTCCGGAAAATACCCGCGATCTGCGAACCTCCAGCTGCAACAGCACGGGCTGTCTCTGACGGAAGAGGTGCTGAGTCTCACGTTCCAGCTGCAACGTCGATTCCCACGGGTGGACTGGCTGAACGCCCTATCCGAGCGCGGCGTGGCGTGGCGGCCTCCTATTCTGGCTCGTTGCGCGACTTGGATCGAAATATTCCACCGCAAGCGTTGCCGAGCAATGGGCCCGGCATACTCACTATCGGCAAAACGCGGTCACAGTCCCGTAGACTGGAGGCTGCTAGCCAAGAAAGCACCCAGACGATGCCGGTTGTGAAAGAGCGCGCTGTGTCCGCAACAGCAGACAGCAAACCTGTGAAAGCACGCCAGCCATCACTCCGTTCAGCCCCAAAGGCGGAGCCCACTGAAGCACCAAAGCCAAGGTCAGAACCTAAGGAGTCCTCCAGTGAAGGCTCGACCGGGGAGCGAAAACTTGTGCGTTCTGAGACACAGTCTTCACAGTCGACCAGCAGCTCTAGCAGCAAGGCAACCACCTCATCGGGTAGCAAGCCACGATCGACGCTAGGGGTTCATCCTCTCTTCCACTCGAGTGACCCCTGCGAGGTACTTCCAAGGACATCGCTGGAAGACGTGAATGCCGACCTGAGACATATGCTAGCGAACATGATACCCCATTCCGCGGCTCGAAGAAGGGCAGGGCTGCGTAGAACGCCTCACTCGTATGTCATCAAATGGGTAGATTACACCAATCGGTACGGCATCGGCTATGTGCTGGATGATGGCAGCGTTGGGTGTCTATTCAAGGCTGAGCACAGCCAGCAAGCGAGTGGCGTCGTGGTACGGGACGGCGAAAGACATATTCGCCGCAAAGCCCGTAGCCAGGAGGATGGGCACTACGTCTACCCGGAAGCCGATCAACTGATTCCACGACACGGGAAGCCGGTGGAATTCTACGAGAACTGTGATCTGCACTTTTCCGAATGCCGCGGTGGGATTCGGAAAGCGTCCATTTCGCCGTCACTATTCGAAGTGAAGAGCTCCTCCAGTGGCTCGTCAGGTTCTGGTATCAAAGTCCGCACGAACTCGGGCATTGACTGTGCGCGTGCGGATGCGGAGAAGATCAAACGTGTCAAGTTGGTTGATCAGTTTGGCAAGTACATGATCGGGTCTCTTGGTCGACATGGCGACGAAACCCTTGTCGAAGATGAATTGGCCACCGACAACCCAGGCCAGTTCATCAAGTTTTATCAGAGGCTGGGCAATGTGGGCGTCTGGGGATTTGGAGACGGCGCATTTCAGGTAAGCACTTATCACACGAGCGAGCAGAGCCACGTATTGACAGCTTTTTAGTTCAACTTCCCGGATCACACCAAACTCGTCATCTCTCCAGGGCGTACAAGAAGTTCGTCACCGTGGGTTGACTTCTATCACCTTTCACCTTCGGCTGCGCGGTACCTGAGCGCCAAAGGAAGAATGCACCCCTCTGGGTTTGACACACGGGCTGTAGCGTCGGACGAAGTTTCGACGTTCCTCAGCATCGCCTATGGCGGTAGTGCCGGTGCGGCGGACGACCGAATCCGCGACGTTCTTGACGCGAATCTATTCATGCAAAAGATCATCTTCATCAAAGAGGTCATGAAGGGTTGGATTAAGCAAGGGCGGCTAGGAGGGCGGCCGTCATCTTCTGAGGGTCTCAGTGCGCTTGAAATCTTCTGGGAGGGCTCCCAGGAACGCGCCCACGCAGGCAGCAGCGGCAGCAAGTTTGTTTGGGTGACCGTCGGCGCGCCAGGCGGAGATGGAGAGTATCGGTCCATCTCCTTGAAGGATAAGAAGGGCGAGGGGGAGGTCGAAGAGGAGGTCGAAGCGCTACGGGAGCGTCTTCGGATGCTGGGAGTACCAACGTAGGCCCTATCCGGGCCGTTTGCCATTGTTTACGATGTTACGAATGATTGCGCTCGCTTCTCTTTCCTTGTGTTATCGGGTCCAGGCTTGCATATCTACTGGCTGTTTGCCGGTCTGCGTCTGTGGTTAGTCTATTTTTCTGAGCGGTGCTGTTATTGCATGCATGGAGCTTCGGCTGCGTATAATACTAGCATATAACATCGATCATCGAGTGTGCCTGGTAATCTGTAGATGTGTAAGACTGCCTGTCAGAGTAATGTCAAGCGTGGTCGACCTGTAAGAGTTGCTGTGTATCTTCTTTCCGCACTATATGCCTGAAAGCTCATCGCACGCACGCCGTCTGAACCAAACGTCGAGCTCTCTCAACTTCAGCAATATCAACATCTCCACCGAGGAGATCTTCACTTCAGCAACCTCCGCTGCTCATCCTCCAAGATCTCCGGCAGCGTCGCCTCGAGACTCGGCCGCGCCGGTGTCCACCCCAGCACCTTAGCCGCCCTCCTCGCCCGCCCGCGCGAGTTCAACCCCCAGCTCAGCGACTCAAACCCCGCGAATTTCTTCCCATCCTCCAAGCTAATCTGCTCGGCCCTCGACTGCCCGATGAACCCCAGCTCGGCCGCATACTTGGCCACCGCCCGCGACAGCTCGCCCCAGACATGCTCGCCGTTCTCGGCGAGGTAGTAGGCGCGCGCGCCCCAGCGTTCGTTCTCTTCGTTGCTGTTATTGTCGTCGCGTTGACGACCCTCCCGTTCGGCCACGGCCGCCTCGACCAGCAAGACGTACAGATCGCTCAGATCGTGCACGTGCACGTTGTTCCAGATGGATTTGCCCGCGCCGATGATCGGGGCTTTCTGGAGCTCGAGCGTCACGCGCGCGAGCTCGTAGACTTGCCGGCCGCGGCGGGAGAGGGGGCCTCTCCCTCTTCCTGTCGGTGTTGTCAATTGTCATCAAGAATTCCACAACACACGTTGAGAATAAAGTCAAAGCTGAGGCTCCCAAGGGAAGGGAAGGGAAAGGAGTGGATACGTACCGTAGATGGTCGGCGGACACACCAACGCCGTCTTCACGACGTCCCCCCGCTTCGCCCCCGTCTCCAGCACGATCTCGTCCACGTTGCGGTGGAACGCATGCGCCGGCAGGTGCAGTAGCTCGTCCACCCCGTCCCAGTCGTCGTACACCTTGTCGCTCCCCTCGCCGAACACGTCCCGGTCCGTGTCCGCGTACGTCAGGATCCCCGTTCCCCCCGTGTGCAGCCAGTACCCCGGGCTCTGTGGGGTGTGGCCCTTGGCCAGACCGGTAGCGATGGCGTTCGCTGCGCCGGCGTGGTCGGAGGCGTCTGCGGTATCTGTTACAACACCCTGTTAGCTGGAGGGGACGGGTGGGTTGGTTGGTGGTTCGCTATGGGTTTAGCATAGCAGCCGGAAGCCCGGAGCTGGGGATAAGCGATAGGGATAGGGATTGGGATTGGGATTGGACAAGCGTACGGAGAACAATATCGGCGTCAGCGCTCTCCTTCTCCAGCAGCGCGGAGTTATCGAGGTCGCCGATGACCACCCGCGCGGAGGGGTATTGCTCCTGCACGGCCTGGGCTTTCTCGGCGCTGCGCACTAGCACCGTGTACTGGTACTCCGGGTGTTTCTGGACCAGGGCGTAGAGGGCGTCGCCGCCGATGTAGCCGGTTGCGCCGGTGCTGTGGGGGGGTTGGTTAGTTGGATTGTAGCTGATGGGATGGGTGGACTTGCATGAAGATGTTGGGGATGTGCGTCATTTTGGGTGCTATGTTGTATTCAGTGGTTGTGTTTGGGAGGCATGTCTGTCTCTACGGATGGTGCGAATGAGGCCTTGATATAGTATGTAAAAGAGATGATAGGCCCATGACGTGATGTTTTCTACAGTGTTGATTAATAATGTATCTTGAGGTTGAAGCCTGAGGCTTCCAGGCTGAGGGGTGTGGTTGCCTGATACGGCAATCTCGGCCGATGGCGGTTACCGCCGATAACGGCCTGGGTTTAGATTCCGCATCGCATCTGCACCTCAACTCATCTGGCCTGCTTGTGCTTCGACTCGGATATGGACAATGAATCGGGGCCTTCAGAAATGTGGACAGTCATGTCTGCGGACGGTGCTCATGCGATGGATCGCGTCTGCCCCGCCCACACTTTAACGCACTTAGAGCTTTGGACTCACTTGAACTTGTGGGCCACTGCTCGACCACCATCGCACGACCCTCGAGCTCCACGGCTCACGAGCGTCGAGAGGCAACGCAACCCTCAGCACCCAGCAAATCTTGGCAGCAGAGACAAGCATCGCCAGCCAATGGTGTTCCCGACGTGCAGCAACTCCTCCACTCGCAGCCCGATTCCTATTTGACAGCTGGGGCCAGCTCCATCCGCTCGGGGGTGTGGGCCGTTTTTGTGTCCGATCTCCGCTCGCGGGATGAAGTTTTACCCTCTTGACCGGGGCAATGTTGAGAATTTGTGCGTTTCTGTAGGGCAATGGGACTAATCTCTAAAGATTCCCTGCGTCTGAGGATTGGAAGCAACGTGTGGAACACAAGAAGGGTCAATCGGCTGGAGATCTCCTCGGCGCTTTTTGGCTTGCCCTTGATAACGGGCTGTAAGTTACTGCTTGACCAATCCCTCAAAGTCACCATGAGCAGCAAGCCACAGATCTCCGCGGTCGAGCTTTACGTACTGGGCCGCAGATAAGGCATGCTTCGATATTGAGGGCCTGTGACTCGTCGGGCCCGGCTCCGGTCGACACCTGCCCCTCAGTCTACATAAAGCGGGGTGGTTTTCCCCGTTTCCTTGTGCTCTGCTCGTCTTTTTGGTCAGTTAGAGCACGACAAAACTCAGACATGGCGACGGAACAGGTCCTGCCGGTGACTCATGAGCGTAACATCGAGGCCCAGAGTGCCTTTGCCTCCACGCTGGTGGCCGATGTCGAGAAAGCGCCGCACCCCAAGGAGTCTCCTTCGGATCGACCGCACACCAATGTCTACGGATCGACGATCGACACCCCGACTTCCCAGGCGGGAACGGACGCGGTCTATGCGGCCAAGGCGGCGCTCTTGAACCAGGCCTTGCTGGACATGGGCATGGGTCTGTACCAGTGGTTACTTTTTGTGATCACCAGTGTCGGATGGTTCCTGGACAGTGTAAGTCAGACACTGAACCATGAGTGAAAGGTTGAAGGGTACTGACATTCTAGTTCTGGCTGATGTCGTTCTTCATCATCGCCCCGTCCGCTGCCAACGAGGCGCAATTCTTCTACTCGTACAACAAAGAGGCTTACCTGTTCATCAGCTTGTTTGTTGGGATCACCACCGGTGCGACGGCCTGGCCTTGGATGTCCGACTTCCTCGGCCGCAAGTGGATCTTTACCAGCACTGTCGTCCTCATGGGCATGGGAGGGCTTGTGGGAGCTGGAATGCCCGCCTTTACGGGTCTTTGTGTGGTGGGGTTCGTTGTTGGCTTTGCGGTGGCGGGAAACCAAGTCGTGGATGCGATGATCCTGCTGGAGTCAGTTCCTGCCTCGCACCAGTTCTTGGTCACCATCCAAGGTGCCTTTTGGGGGTTGGGACAGCTTGTGGCGTCAGCGGTTGGCTGGTGAGTGTGCTTCTTTCTGGTATGAAGACTAGTTTAACCGAGTATAGGGCGTTCATCGCGGAGTACACATGCGGCACTGGCCCCGACGAAGTCAGCACGGCGACAGCACTCTCCCACCAGTCGCGCGCCACCCAATCCGGTACCAGCAGCAGCAGCAGCAGCAGCTCCTGCCACCATGTTAGCAACAAGGGCTGGCGCTACGTGTGGTGGACCTTCGGCTGCATGACGCTGTTCCTGTACCTCTGCCGCTTCGCCTTCCCGCTCCGCGAGACACCGAAATACCTGCTCTCGAAACGCCGGGACGCCGAAGCGACCCAGCTGGTCAAGGACATGGCCACCTATAACAAGCGGCGCACGTGGCTCGACGAGTCGTCGTTCGCGCGCATCGACTCGACCGTGGACGCCCGCACGCCCGGGTCGCGCCGGCAATCGCGCCTCAAAGCCCTGGTGTCGTCCGCCGGCCCTCTCGGCTTTGCGGCACTGTGCCTCCTCTGGTCCGTCACCGGCCTGACCTTCATCCTCCACAAGACCTACATCAGCACGTACCTCGCCACCAAGGGCGTGGCCTCCGTCACCGCCACCACCGTGACCACGGAGTATCTCTACAGCCGGTACCTGTACGTGGCCATCTGCGCCATCCCCGGCCCGATCCTCGCCGGCTTCCTGATCGAGGCCACGGGTCTCGGACGCAAGCGCACGGGGGCCAGCATTGCGGTCCTGACGGGTCTGTTCATGCTCCTGGCGACGGTGTCTCGCTCCCGCGACGCGCTCTTGGCGTTCGAGTGCATCCTCTCGTTCCTGGGGGCCGCCAACCTGGCCGTGCTCACCACGTACACGGTGGAGCTGTTCGCCGCGCCCTTCCGTGGTTTCGGTCTGGGCGTGATGGGTTTCCTGGGTGGGCTGTTCGGGCTGATTGCGTCGGTCGTGACGACGTTCCAGAGCGGTGCTGCCGGCGGCGCGGCGGTGTGGTTCTCCGGTGCGGTCTGGGTGGTGATGGGTGCGGCTTGGATGGGGGTGCCTGAGACCAAGGGTCGTGCTGCTGCTTAGGTGGGGAGGGAGTTTAGGGAAGAAGAGTAAAAATGATAGGCGTTAGCTCATGACGATGGACGATGGACGATGGTATATGAAGTATGAAAATGAAGTACGAAATGAAGTATGTGTGATGTATCTTACCCTTCCATAAACGAGCATCCCTACAAACCACGATACCATATCCCACACTATGCAACACTCCAGCCATGATACACACAACCCACCCACTACCCCGACACAGATGGAATAGAATCGAACCCAAGCCCACATCGGGAAACAAAAAACCAAGCCCCTCATCCAAAACGAAAACAGAAAGGGTTTATCCCCGCCAAACCATAAACCAATTCCGCTCCCCGCCCTCCTCAACAACCACCTCCCCCTCCGACACCCGCACGAACCCATGCCTCACGTACAACGACCGCCCCTCCCGCGACGCACACAGGTAGATCTGTCGCCCCTCGGCGCGGGCGCGCGCGATGCCCCACGCCAGCAGCCGGGATCCCAGTCCCTGGCCGCGGTAGGCGGGGTTGGTGCCCAGGATGCTTAGGTCTGTTCCTCACCGCGGTGTTAGTATGCGTTTGCCACCACGGGATAGAAACCCCTGTTGGGAATAGGTGTATTCCCGGGTAGGGGGCATTGCCTCTGTATTTCCCCTGTAGAGTAAAGTGATGGCATGGGATAGGGATGGGGGCAGACGTACAGTAATACCCGCCCTCGACGCCGCGCATGTCCTCCTCGCGGTGGCGGGTGGTTTGCGCGCGGAGGCGGTGCAGGAGGTCTGCGTCGGAGGGGGAGAGGTTCGGTGGGAGGGTGGGGTTGAGGTTGGAGTCTGGTGCTTGGGTCTGGGTTGCCGGGGTGGGTTGAGGCTGGCTTTGGCTTTGGGCTTGGGCTTGAGCTTGATCTTGAGCTGGGGCGGAAGACGCAGGCGCAGGCGCAGGCGCAGGGGTGATGGAGGCGGAAGAAGAAGGGAGCTCCCACTCCGCGAACGCGACGATTCTCCCTTTGCGGCTGCGTCTGCGTCTTCTACCCTCTTTCCCCACGCTTGCGTCTGCATCATCCCCAGATCCTACGCCAGGTTCGGCATCCGCTTCATCATCGCTGCCACTCCCGCTTCCGGTAGCGGAGCTATCACTCTCACGCTCGCTTCCACTCCCACTCCCCTCATCGGTGCTACTACCCGCACCCGCAGGAAGCGGGTCTGCGTCCACGGCCACAACCTTCAGCACCACGCTCCGCCCGCTTGCGATCTTGCGGCGCAGGTTGGCGGTCCACCACGCGTGCATCTCCGGGGTCGGGGGGAAGACGCGCCGGTGGGCGGCGTTGGTGAAGCAGGTGAAGTACAGGGCGGCGAGGGCGGGGGCGTCGGATTCTGTGGCTGTTGCTGTGACTGTGGTTATTGAGGGGGGGGTTTTGCTGAGCATGTTTGTGGTGGGCTGGTGGCTTGGTGGAGGGGTGTGTGTGTATAGGGGATTGAGGGTGTCTGGTGTGGTTGGAGAAGCTTGCTTATCTCGGATGGATTGAGAAGGGGCTGTTGTGATGGGTTGAGCTTTGGCGGGTGGGCATTGCGGATTTATACCTCAGTGTCCTCTTAGTCTGTTGATGTAGGTAGGCGAGGCTAGGCACCAGTCTTTCTTTCATGTTGAGGATGGTGTGTTGATAAGTGCTCCTGCTAAGACACCTATACTCCGGTCTGTGCTGGGCTCACAATCCTCGGAGTGGATGCTCCTATCAGAGGCCAGAGCCAGCTCCGACGGCAAGGGACCAGTTCCGCGATCGGGGTACTCAGAATTGACTAGACTCGATCGGGGTCCCGTTCATACTTCAATCGATTCGATCGAAGGAAAGATGATTAGGATTAGATGATGCATACTCAAATTAGGATCAGTCATTACTATCAGTCATACTATGCATCATATTGCAGCCAGCAGCCAGCAGTCACCGCCACAATCGCGTCACGGCTACCCCTCCGTCGGCGCTGGACTCCGAACCCTCTCCACCACATACGGCTCACTGGGATGTGGCGAGCGTGGCTGCGGTGGGGGATACATCGGACCCTGTTGCTGTTGCTGTTGCTGCTGCATCTGATGCTGCACCTGCTGCTGCTGCTGCTGCTGCTGCTGCTGCGGTCTATGCTGCGGATAGAACCTCCGCCGGTTCGGCCCCCCCTCGCGCGGCGCCGCCCGATTCTCCGTGCTCTTCGTCTGGTCGATCTCGCGCTTCACCCCCTCGTACATGTACTCGATGATCTGGATCTCCTCCTGGATGTCCAGCTCGCAGCCACTCAGACACAGCTCGCGCTCGCGCTGCTCGATGTACTCGCGGATGTTGCGCCACTCGTTCTGGTAGTGTTTCAGCCGGTCGGGCAACCCCGACCCCTTGAGGTAGGTGAGCACCCCCGCCATGATCGTGTTGATCGCCCCGAACGCCGTCACCGCCGAGTGCGGCCCGCTGGCGGCGCCCAGCGCCGTCAGGGCCGCCGCCACCACGATCTGGATCCCCAGGCACACGTTGATCAGGACGCTGAAAAACCGGTAGCGCCGCCCCGCCGAGTGCTCCGCCTTGACGACGCGCGTGTAGATGCCGATGTTGGGCGCCGTGCGGCGGTAGTGCTGCAGCGTCGTTAGCGCGGGGATGCTGTCGATCCCCGTTAACGCGCGGAAGACGAGCAGTTTGTCCTGCGGCGGGATGAGGGATCCGAGGTCGGTGGTGGAGATAGTCAGTTGGCGGGGTGGTTGTTGTTGTTGTTGTTGCTGCTGCTGCTGCTGCTGCTGCTGCTGTTGGTGATAGGGGTTGTGGTGCTGCTGTTGCTGTTGGTGGTAGGGTTGGTAGGGGTGTTGCTGTTGTGGTTCCTGTTGCTGTTGGTGGTAGTGCTGTTGTGGCTGCTGCTGCTGCGGCGGTGACGGCGGCGGGGGGACAGGAGGTGGCATGGCGGCGGCACCCATTGCCTCCAAATCTCCGCCCGGCAGCATCCCCGGCGCCGTCGGGGGATAAACCCCCGGTGAGGTCATGGGGGGGAAATGATGCTGCTCATGTTGCTCACGTTGTGCGCGAGGCAAAAGATTCATAAAACGTCCAACAAAACCGGAGCGTGGATGTTGCGCCATGGTGGCGGGTGGAAAAGGGCGGGATGAACCTCCCGAAAAACACGAAAAACTCAAAGCCCTCGCTCCAGAGGGGGAGACCGGCCCGTTTTAAGGAGCTTTGGGGAAGGGTGGATATCCCCCCTTGGGAGGTTTAATTATTACACATCCAGCCCGGCGCACCTGATGGACGCCGCCACCCCTTTCTGCAAATGGCGCTACTCCCGGGGTGTTCGTGCGCATGGCAGTGCAAGATAGAGAAGCCGGCTGGCCCTTCATTGGTGCTGCAGCGGCGAGGTAATTTAAGCGGACGGCTGGACCCTTGACCCACATGGATCGACAAGCAGCAGTTCGGCACGAAATGAGGGGATTGCGTGCAGTTTTCGAGTCGAGCGCGCTCAGTTCGGTGGATTTGACCCTATGTGGGCTACCTTGTGATGTACGGAGAGTTCTGAGTCAACTGCGTTGGTAGCGCTGCAGGATGTGATAGTGGCGAGCTGAACGTGTTCTTGACGCGAAGTTACGAAGTCTGCAGCGCAGTAGCGAGCGAAGCTGATTAGCCCGTCGACCACACGAGCATCACAATGAGTCTGTGGGGATTCAGGGTGAATTGGCAGATGACTCGCGATACGGACCTAGACTCGACAGTCTGGAGCAGGCTTCGCGCTAGCAGGGATTTTTTCGGCCATGGCCGCCGTATCGATCACTCCAAAAGCGACGGTCACTGTCCGAGTCTCCGAGACAACGATCAGCCACGGGGCGGGCTGGAGCTCACGGCCCCATTCTGCAAGCACTAAGCTGGAGGAACCACGGATAGGCGCCTGTCAGATTGGCGGATGGGAGGTTCAAGCGATTCGAGGGAGTGAGCTGTGCTGTTTGCTGTCGATCACATTGTCACAAACTGGTCATGAACCAACCAGGCTTTAAGCGACGTACTTCTGTCGTGTTTGTTGTGGTGGTGGCATTGTTGACCGGAAGTTGGCGGGACGGCACGTTTCGACACTGGAAGAATAGATTAATTGATGACCCGCATCGATCGGCAATTGGAACTTGTGACTGACCGAAAGTTAACTGTCATTGCAACACCAGCATCTTCATGATGTCAACAGAGTAGATCAAGAGTAAAGTACGGAGACATGGTAAGGGAGAGCGACCGAGCAGCGAAAGACAGAGAAGATAGCGATGATCAACAGCGATAAGAGAAAGCCGTCCCCCGCGCTGAGTAATCAATCCCCTCTTCGGCCTGCTACGCCTCCCGAAAAGGAAAGCGTCGCAATTGCCGACGATAAGGGAAAAAGCGCCAGAAAGCGAGTCAATGGCGCAATCTAAACCCCTCCCTCACATCGACTCGGCATTGACGCTCGACACTCTCAATATTGCTTCATGTCTGCAACCTCACACTCACAGCTCACCATGGGAGACGCACCGCTCACCCAGGACCGGATCCTGATCACCAACGCCAGCGACTTCGCGCCCGCTCTCCTCGAAGAGATCCAGGCCAAGTTCGCCCACGCGGATATCACGTATGTGAAGCTGGAGAACTTCACCCCGATTCCCAGCGGTATGTCTGTACGCTTGCTTCTCTCTTCGAGAGACCTCTTCGAGAGACCTTTTCTGCCATTGAGAGTCCTACTGTATGGGAACACTGACCCCCGCAGAATACGCCCGAAGAGCCACCCACATCGTGACGTTCAGCAACCTCCCCCACGTCGAGGATGTGCCCAAGTCCGTGACCCCAATCCCTTCCCTCCCTTTCACTTACTTCGATGATATCCAAGGAGACAAAGCTTGCAACTGACGTCGAGAACAGCGTCAAGCTCATCCACTTCTTCTCCGCCGGCCTCGACCACATCATGACGCACCCGATCGTGCAGACCACCAAAATCCCGCTGACCTCCAGCTCGGGGATCCACGGGCCCCCGATCGCCGAGTGGGTGATCATGAACTGGCTCGTGGCGTCGCGGCGGTTCGTGAACATCCACAAGAGCCAGGAACGCCACCACTGGGGCAAGTACGGCGAGTGGATGAGCGGGGTCCACGACCAGGTGGGCCGGAAGGTCGGAATTCTAGGGTATGGGAGTATCGGGCGGCAGAGTAGGTTCCCTTGCCCCCTTGCCCCTTGCCCCGCCGAAAGATTCTATTCTTACTGTAGCTGGGGAGGGTAATTGCTAATGTGAGGGGAAAAAGTCGGCCGCGTCGCCGCCGCCCTGGGCATGCAGGTCCACGCCTACACGGCCTCGCCGCGGCCGTCGCCCGCCTCCCGCGTCGATAGGGGCTACATCGTGCCCGGCACGGGCGACCGCGACGGCACGATCCCCGTCTCCTGGCACCACGGCACGGATCGCGCCTCGATCCACGCCTTCCTCGCCCTGGGGCTGGACCACCTCGTCGTCGCGCTGCCGCTGACCCCGCAGACCACGCATCTGCTGGGCGCGGAGGAGTTCCGGCTGCTGGCGGCGCATGCGGGTAGCAAACCCTTCGTGACGAACATCGCCCGCGGCAAGATCGTCGACCAGACGGCGCTGGTGGCCGCGCTGCACGAGGGCGTCCTCGGCGGCGCCGCGCTCGACGTCACCGATCCCGAACCCCTGCCCGCTGACGATCCGCTGTGGGATGCGCCCAACGTGCTGATCAGCCCGCATATCAGCGGGGCCGGGCTGGAGTATATCCCGCGGTCGTTGGATATCCTGAAGGAGAACCTGGGGCGGTTGGCGCGCGGGGAGGAGATTTTGAATGAGTATAAACGCGGGAAGGGGTATTAAACATGCGGGACGGGGTATCAAACCTTGCATTCCCCCCAGAACTCAATCTGCAGACAGAGAAGATTATATGATAGATTCTTCCGTGTAAGTGTTGGATTCAATTAAGATATATAAAAATAGATTACATGATCGTTACCGTTGTACAGAGCACAGCACAGTGTCCAGAGTATATAACACGAAAAAACACCGACGAAGAAAAGCAGATCATTTAGTGAGCAAGCCGCGCAGGCCCTCCTCGACCACCACCCCGACGACGCCGAAGCCGACGACCGCCCACGTCCAGGGGTTGACGATCTCCTTGAAGCCGGGCCAGAAGCTGTTCTTCTTGCTCTTCCACTCCTGGAGCTGGTCGTACTTGTGCAGGTCCGCGGTCTTGTAGCGGTCCTCCTGGCTGGCCTCGGTCATCTTGTCGCCGCCGACGAAGCGCAGGAAGACGTAGTTGGTCAAGGGGCCCAGGATCACGAGCGGGTTGAAGTTGGTCGCGCAGTTGATGAACGCGAAGCCCAGGTGCACGAGCGTGTCGCCGAGGTAGCTGCCGCGGAAACGGAAGATGTTAGCTTAACCCTGCTTGGACGTTTTTCTGTAGGGATTGGGATTTGGGGGGCTAGGCACGGGAGGGAAATCATACTTGGGATGTCTAACGATACTCCACACGCCGGAGCGGCACAGATCCTGCCTCTCGGCGCGGTGCGCCTCCATCTGGCTGTCAGCCAGCACCTCGAGCGCGAACCCGGCGCCGAACAGCCCGACGCCGAAGGCGCGCAGCGCGGCCTGCACGTCCGCGTCCAGGGCGACGCTGGGGCTGGTCAGCCGGAAGGGCAGGGTGAAGGGCAAGCTGATGAGGGTCAAAAACGCGGCCTCGGGCAGGTACTGCTTCCAGAGCATCTCCTTCCAGAAGCCGACGGGGTTCTGCTTCTTGAGCTGCACGTAGCGGGCGTCGTCGGCGCCGCGGCGGAGCGTGCGCGAGGCGATGCGCGCGAACAGCCGCGTGCCCCAGGCGGTCACGAGCGAGAGCAGCGTCTTGTCGGTCCAGGAGAGGGCGCGCCACGCGGTTTGCGGGGCGACATTATTATAAAACACTTGGTGGCCCACGGCGCTCCACCACGCGTTGATCACCTGGCTCGCCGGCCAGTTCCAGTCCTTCAGCTCGGCTTTGTCGGTCGCGCGCGACGCTGCCCACGCCGCCAGGTCCAGGGTCGTGTGCAGCGCGAACGAGGGCAGGATGGTCGAGCGCAGGATGCCCAGCTCGCCTGTGGCGAGGCCGGGGCTGCGGAGACGGTCCGCCTGCGCGAGCGGCGAACCTGACCCCGTCAGATTCATGGTTGCGGTTGCGGTTGCGGTGGTTGGGATTAGAGATTTGGTCTGAGTGAAGAGAAAAAAATGGTGTGAGAGGCCGGGGAGGGAGTTGGTTATAAACGAAGTCCGGGGTAACGTTGGGCTGTTGATGTCAGTATTATGTAACGTCGTGATGACGTCGTATTGTCACTTTCCTGCTCCTCCCGAAGCCAGGGTTGGAGCTCGGCTCTAGCAACTTGGAAGCTTGGTTCATGCAGTAATCAAATGAAATAATTTCTATTGTAAATTATCGCGCGATATAAGCAGCCCGCTGCAAGGAAATGCGAAACATGAGCTAATTATGCATGTGTGACAATGCTGGTATAGGTGATGCTGTATAAGTATGCTTGGCGGGCATTAGATCAGTGGGACGGAGATGAGAAATTGAAATGCAGCGGAAGAACGTTCGGTCGCGCTTGTCTATATCTGGCTTGTATCAATTCATTTAAACGCTGGGTCCATAGATCAATTGGTGAGTCGGTCGCGAGAACACTCGGAGCGTCAGAGCCAGTCACGGGATCCGTGAATACGGGTTCTGGGCTCAATCCTTTAGCCAGTTTCGACAGCTGCGAAACATCAGTCCATACTGTCACGCGCGTATCATATAGTGCTTGTTCCTCTGGGATCCTCTCAAATGGCAGTTTGTTGGTGCTGATTCGTTTGGGTTTCGACGTCCCGTCCGAGGTCGCGTTCTGCGCGCGGTAGCGTATGAGATATGACCTTGGATCATGTGGCGACAGCACGGGTCTGTTCGTCTGCTCCAGCTCGCCCGTATCCCGAGGATGGCTGATTGCTGTATCGGAGGTGAGAGCAGCTCGCGCATTGAGGTATCGGTTCAGGTGCGGCGAGCGGGGGGTAGACGCGGCGTGACTACTCTGGAGCTGTTTCCGCCGCTCCTGTATAGCATCGCGCTTCCGGCGTTCGAAGTCTAGTGCTTTCTCAAGTTCGTTTTGACTGTCTCTGGACAGTTGATGAAGCCTCGAGGACCATCGTTCGAGGACCGGAAGTCCGCGGTGATTGCCCTGGATTTCCGCGTCTTCGGTTGCTGATGGGGAGCGGTCCAGGACCTGCGACATCGCTGCGGCCGACGTGGGGTTGTCAGGTACATCGTCGGCTGGGGTTTGTGGTTCCTGGAAGATTGCATTAGATGCTTCGAATCGCTGGGCTGCTAATCTCGCCAAAGAAGGCTCCTCTGATTCCTCGCGCGGCTGCCCTGAGGCCTCCAATCGCGACATTGCCACTTGCGTAGTCTTTGCAAACCAGGTGTCAAGCGATCCATTTCCGTAACGCTCTCTGTCGCGCTCCCTCATTGCACGTTTTATACTTTCGTGAGTGTTGTGCTCCGGGGGACTGTGTGAAGGCTGCAGTCTAATGGGGGAGATCTGCGCTCGTGACGGAGAGATGGCCAGCGTGCTCGTGCTCGATGCGGACGGGCTCGGAAGAAGCGACTTTGGTGAATGAGCCGGTCGCGACCCTAATGAGTCCCTTCGACTCTCTGCAACGTTGTCGTCGATGACTTCGTAGGTCGACTGAGTTTGTGGCAAGATCCTGGCAGAGCCGCTGGATACATTCATCTGTGTAAAAGACCACGGGTTCAGCGCTTCCAGACGCTTCCGCCTTAGGTTGTTGACATCGGACGTATGGGATGCATCGGTAGACGGTGGCGTAGCCTTCGGCATCGAATGTGCTGTCACAAACCTCGGCGGCTGACTGCTCGTTGTTGTACGCTGCGTAGCCTCGATCGGGTCCTTGCGAGCCAAAAGCAAGTCAAACCCGTTCGACTCTCTGACTGGCGCCTTTCCTTTTTGTAAAGAGCGTGGCTGCTCGGCTGGTTCGGGTTGTGCTCTGTAAATGCCGCGAAGCAAGGCTTCCACCGCGGAAAGCAGCTCTTGCGGCTCTTCGAGCAAGACATCATCCTTCGCAGGCTCAATGTTGACATCATACGTCGCTTCCTGGCAGCGGATATGCAGACACAGAAACGGGTCGGTGATGTTCGACTGGCCCTGCTGCTGACTCGCTGCGTGTTTTATATAGGACTTGAATAATCTTGCAATGTCTTGACCGAGACCCCTCGCAGCCGACAGAGGTCTACCGTCGATGCTTATGTATTGGCCCGAGTTGCCGGTTCGCGCAATATCTGACAAAGTTAGTCGAATTCGAAAAAAAGGTCTACGGAGCTCATACCAAGCTCTGGGTCTGGAAGGAGCGCGGTCAATTGATAGTGCAGTCCACTCTCTTTCTCTGCGCCACCGGGAGAGTCATCTCCCCATTCCGTTACCAGACAGTTCGAGGCCACGTCCTTACCCACCACCTTGAAGACGGCGTCCGAGAGAGTCGCATCCTTGCCTGGCGCGTACATCCAGTTGTTACTCTCGTTCTTCGCCCTCAGGACCTTGAGGGACAATCGTTTCGCAGGCTGCGCCAAGGCATAGGCCTGGACCAGCTTCTTGATGCGGCCCAGGGTCTTGGCGGCGTTCTTCGAGGCCGTCTGCCGGCGCACGGGGATGTGCATGAAGAGATCCGCGATGCGAACGGTCGTTCCCACCGGGTGCGCCGCGCGCTGCGTTCTGCGGGCGGATTTTCAGTATTCTTGTGCCCTCGATCCGAAGTTCGACGTACTTACCTGATCAGTTCCCCGTCTCGACCATACTTGAGCACGTAGCCGACCGACTCGCTTTCAACCCTGGTGGTCACGACCACGCTGCTGGAGACTTCGGCAGCACTGGCGAGCGCTTCGCCGCGGAAGCCCAGCCATGTTCCTCCGACATGTCGGAGATCGTCCACGGTCTGGATTTTGCTGGTGAAGGAGCGTCTGCAGACGAATGGGTGGTCTTCGCAGGGGATGCCGGTCCCGTTGTCCTTGACTTGCACTACGTCAACGGTGTTCTGCGAGATCTCGATGGTCACCGAAGTAGCCGATGCGTCGAGGGCGTTGTCCAACAGCTCCTTGACAATTGAGCAGGGGTCGGAGATGACAGACGCCGAGCCGATTGCCCGTGCGGTTGTTGGTGGGAGCGCCGCGATTGGCATCTCTCTTGTACTCGAACAGGTTAAGAGGTCATTCTGGTGAAGTGTTTAGAGTATACTGGGGTAATTGACAGATGCGAGGTATATAGAAGATAGGATGGTCTTGATGCAGTTGGTGTGATGGTATATTGTTCAAGTTGTTCGAAGGCGGACAGAAGATGCTCGGTATCTCCACGCACACTAATCCCCATCGGGTCAGATCCGCTTAGTCAGTCCCCAATGCTTCGCTACGAAAGTCCATGGGTTGTGTGATCGACAGCATCCCTCTTCACAGTGCTTTTTCTCCATGGCTGGGCTCGGTGCGATAGTATTGAGTGGGGGCTTTTCGAAGTCAGTGTATTAAGCATCTAGCAAGAATTGGATTTGGGGCCCGAAATCAGAGTTTCAAAGCTACGGGTTCGCAATTCCGTTAGTTACAACCATCGGCTGTTTCTCGGCAAAAGGCAGATAGCCAGTCTACAACACTGGGAGAGTAAAAGAGATCCTTCGCCCGAAGCCTTTCACTCTTCAGTATCTTGTCCAGTACAGATCAATCCATATGAGCTGGAGATTCTTGAATGATATCAGACAATCTAAAAAAAGCAATGGTACATTGTGTAATTCGAGCATTCGGATTCTTGCTAAACCCCGACGTCTTGCGTCGAGAAAACCAACAGAGAAAACCAACGCATAACAACCACTTTTACAGCGAGTATAAAACGAAAAATCGTAAGCATAGCGCAGACGCTTGTGATCATCGCAAGCGACCCGCCAATGAAGACAACGTCCAGCATCATCAGTCACAGATTGTCCAACTGCACCGTAATAACTATCGATACGATAAAAGTCGTCAGGATGATCTAAAATTCACAATCATCATATCAGCACCACAATCTGCCAAACGTTTGAGATGGACTCACCAAGCCAATGAGTATCCCAATCAGATTCAGCTCCCACCCCCCGGCGTACACCGTGCCCAAGGCGACCATATTCTGCTGCTTCCAGAAGCGATACGCGCCCAGGGCAGCGATGACGATGGCCGCCCCGTAGCAGGTCACGGAGAGCGGCACGCCCACCTCGTAGAACCCCAGCGCCAGATCCGGGGAGGCCATGTGCTGGAGGCGGAACAGTTGCGCGATCAGCACGCCCTGCATGGCGACCATAACCGAGGTGCGGATATACGCCAAGAAGGTTCGTTCCAATGCTGGTCCAGGATTCCAGATTAGTCTTGTGTGCATAACAATGTTATGTTTTACTTGAATAATCGATCGATGGGGGTGGGTGAGAGCTATTCGCTGAAGCGTGGGTTGGTGGTGGTGGTGGTGGTGGTGGTGCAATCGCCATGTGGGATTCCGTCATTTTAGCGCGGCGATCATTGAAATACGAAGTATTCCATATAAATCCAATAATCCCAGACAGCTCGACGAAAAGAAATGAGGAAGAATGCTATGCTATGCTACTCACCAAAATGATCCCGATTACTCCGTTGTGGCACAGTCAGCACCACATGTCGCGTCCAGAAGCGTTCGAGACGCCCCCAGGCCCCCTTGCGTGACTCCCGACTGCGCTGAGTGGCCTGGGAGACCGTTCGGAGCGTCCTCACGCGGTATTCCCCGGAGGATATCGAGTCGGTGGAAAAGCCGGCCTCGTCCACGTCTTGGGTCGAAACGTTGCGCAACTCGAATGCATCGCGGTCGCTGTCGTCGTCGCTATGGCTCTCGCGATGGTGTTCGGCAGTGTTGACCGCCGTTTCAGTTGGGGGGTTTTCATTTTCCTCCCGGCCTGCCACGGTGTGGGAGTGGTTATCTTCGACGTGGTGCTCGCGGACTTCGGCCATTGGGAATGAAGTCTAAAGGGACCTGTACGACATGCCCTAGAATTCAGCAAGGGTTGTGTGGGTGAGAAGGGTTCTGCATTATCTGGCCACGACGGAGGGATGATGATGATTGATGGAGGATGATGTGTCACCCTGCCCGGCCTCCCCTCCGATTCCCCGCGTTTTGGCAAAAGCCGGATTTCTTATCTGGGATTTTCCACTCTTATCGTCCGTCGCTCATCCATGGTACGTACAGTACAGCTACTGTGGGTTCAATTCTGGTTCGCGCACCCAATTGCGACTCTACACCTTCAATCAACTCAACAGAAGCACTATCACAAATGAACCTTAGCCCACGCCTCCTGCTTCTCCTCAAACACCGCCATACTCGGCGGAGCAATCGCCTCAAACAGCGGCGCCTTCAAGAAGGCCTTCCCGGCCTTTCCAGGCGTGAGCGTATACAACGGACTATCCTAGATTAGCATGGCTCTGGCTCGCTCCTGTCGATCGTTGCAAATGTCGACTTACCTCCCACAGTTTGAGCAGAAATGACGCTGCGATCCCGGCATCAGCACCAGCCATGTCAGCCTCTCTCCCGCACACACAAAAGAGCAGGTCAACGAAAACATACCGCGATCTTGTTCCCAGACCGAGTGTCCGGATCCTGATAAACCTTCTTCACCCCATTGGGATCCTCCACGGCCATGTCATTTTCATCAACGAGATAATTGACCGAGAAGACTTGCAGCAGTTGAGGCAGCACCGGGTTAGCACCGAACAGGCAGGCAAGATGACGGAAATGCCAAGGCAGCTAAGCCTTAGGAAAAACTCACGTCCTCCCCCGGCTTTTTTACAGTTCGTGCTATGCGGCGCGGATCGTTAGCGATACGTACATCCCCCTCTGGTCAGACAGCTACCTACCAGTGACATATCACCGAGTTGGCCGGCTGTTGGCGCAAGGCGATGCGCACACTCGCACAGTTGCATTGACCAATATAAGGCATTTCGACAGCGGGTGCAATTCGAGGCCGTGAACGTTGCTGGAGAAAGTGGAGTTAGCCGGAAGACAAGACTTTATAGGTGCCTCCCCCATCTGCGGCGAGTTATCTGTTTGGTGTGTGTGTGTGTGTGTGTGTGTGTGTGTGTGTGCGACGGTTTGTTTCGATGGTGGGGACTGCCTCGACTTTCGGCTCATTTCCCTGATGAGGATTTATAAGCGCAAGTCGAAGCACGGGTGCATCGGTGATCTGAGACTCAATGGTTTTGTGTATTCCGCTGGTCGGCCGGCATTGGGTGATGACTCGTGCCGAGCCCATGAGCCCGCTTGACGGTGCTGCCATGTTTGCTTGCTTGCTCTTCTGGAGTGCTGTTAAGACTGAGTAACAGTAACGCAACTGAGGGTGGGTCTCACAGCCGGTCCAGCATTAGGCTCATCAATTCAAACCAAGCGATCGCCATGAGAACGAACATCTCACAGCTGGTGCGACTGCCTGCGCTGAGGATGACTTAACATGTAAATAGATTGTACCGCGTGCTGCACATACTACTATGTACCCTGGCAGCGGGGATTCGGCATTTGTTCCGCACACCAGCCCATAGTGACGTCATCGATCACCGCTGCCCAGTTGCATTGAGCAAGAGCTGACTAACGTATTTCCCTGTAGAGGCAAGGTCATGTGACCCTGCAATCAGAGCGTGTGAACTTGTTGTTGCAAGGCAAGTGATATACGATTGACGTGTTAAGCTGAAGTAGCATTAATCATGGCGATCTACCGGAGCTTTGCTCTTGGAAGGACGTCGGGCGCTTTCACGAAGACTCCGCGCAGCACCACCCCCCGAGCAGCCAGAGATCTCCAGCAGGCGGGAATGAATGTCCAGGTAAAAGAGTGGAACCGTCTCAGGGAGAGATAGTAGACCATTGAAGATATCTGCAGATAGCTTTCAATGATCGCTTTCCGTTGCAGGTCAGCTACAGCCCGAAGACAGGTAGGTATATCGAAACAGACTGCTGTATCCTTACATGTCGGGGATGGGGGAGAATTCTGCGCATCGATCTCTTCTGAAAGAATCGAAAGAATCGAAGAAGAAATCTTAAGGGAGCATCGAACAACGCCTCTCCCAAGAAAGCAGACTCGTGAACGTGGGCCCGCGAAAGAGGGCAATCTGAGGGATAGTGAGGACTGTACATTGCAGTGGAAAGAAGTATTGCTGTGCGTGGAGACAACTGAGACGAGATATGCACAGTACAGTTGGTATAAAACCTGGCATAGGGGTAGACTAGCCCGTCATGGGGCCTTTTAGCTTCCACCTGCTCGCCCCCGAGCTAAGATGCAAAGTCCGTATAAGACTAGACTGAGATATTCGAGTTTTGTCCGACCTAAACATCTGCTCGCACTCAGGAGGAGCTCACCAATGCGTACAGTACAATCTGGGACAAGCGAAGAGTCAAGCCCCAGGGTGGTCCATCCGAAAGAGAAATAAGCCCGAGCTGGGCTGCAGAAATACGTACAGTCCGCTGACTTACAGCCTATACTGTACCTGTTATACCATCACGAGAGATGGCGGTTTTGGCCCCCCGTGGTCCATCCCACATCTACCGTCAGCCGCCTCGAACGAATTCGAGGTGGAGCCACTAGGAGATTCAGTGCACCTCGCGAAGACAACGCCAGATGAACCGTACATACTTCTATATAGAGCGAGAGCGCAGACTCCCCGTCTGACACCCCCCCAGATCTTCTGTCGTCTACCTCTCATCATCATGCCCCCGAGTATCTCAGTCATCATCGTCGGCGCCGGCCTAGGCGGACTCGCCACCGCCATTGGGCTGCGCCGCGCCGGCCATCAGGTCACCGTGCTGGAGAAGGCTCCCGCTTTAGGAGAAGTTTGCTCTTCCTCCCCTCCCTCGTCTTCACCAACAGGGCCTGTCTAACGGTGGCATGCAGATTGGAGCCGGGATCAAGGTCCCCCCGAACTCGGGCCGGGTCTTCCGCGAATGGGGCCTTCTGGACGCGCTGGAGAAGATCTGCATCTGTCCGCAGGAGAACAAGATGCGGTCGTACCGCGACGGGGAGGTTCTGTCGACGATGCCGCTGGGCCGGAAGAGCATGGCGCAGCAGTACAACATCCCGTACTACGTGGTGCACCGGGTGGACCTGCACCACCTGTTGGCGGAGGCGGCACAGCGGGAGGGAGCGGTGATCGAGCTGGGGGTGGAGGTGACGGGGGTGCGAGGCACGGCGGAGCAGGCCTTCGTGCAGGTGGCCAACGGCACCGGGGTTGGGGGGGTGGAGGAGCGGGCGGCGGACCTGGTGCTCGGGGCGGACGGGGAGCGGTCGCGCGTGCGCACCTCGCTGCTGGGCCACGAATTCCCCTGGCGCGACAGCGGCGACCACGTCTTCCGCGCCACCGTGCCCCTGACGGCCCTGGAAGCCGACGAGCAGCTGCGCGCGCTGACCCGCGGCATCAACTGGTGGGTTGGCCCCCGCGGCAACGCGCTCACCTACCCGCTCAAGCGCGGCGGCCTGCTCAACATCGTCCTCACCCACGTCCATCCCCCGGATGCCTCCGTCCAGTTCGCCCCGCAGCCCATCGCCAAGGAGGCCGTGGCCGCCGAGTTCGCCGGCTGGGACCCCTTGTTCCATCGCCTGTTGGACCTGACCACCACCTGGGCGCGTTGGACCCTGCTGCACACCGACATGCCGTCCCAGTGGACGGGCGAGACGGGCAACATCGCCTTGCTGGGGGATGCTGCGCACGCAGTCTTACCGTACCTGTGAGTTTGCCCCCATTCCCCCCCCCCTTTTCATCTTCTCTACGAGTCTGCAAGTCACTGTCCCCGGAAGACTAACCACAAGCCCCCCACGCAGCGCCCAGGGCGCAGCACTGGCCTTCGAGGACGCCGCCGCGTTGAGCGTCCTCTTCGGCGCGATGCAGGACAAGGCGCAAATCCCCGATCTGCTGACCGTCTTCGAGGCCATCCGCCAGCCGCGGGCGCGGGAGATGCGCCGCCGCGTCGGGATGGCGCGCGCCCTCTGGTCCATGCCCGACGGGCCCCAGCAGCGCGAGCGCGACCGCCAGCTGCGGGAGCACGAGCACGACCCCTACGACGGATACCCGAACGTGCTGGCGGATCCGGCCCTCACGCGGTGGATGTTCGGCTACGATGCGTTCGAGGCAGCGCGCGAGGCATGGCGCAAGTTTGCGAGGGGCCAGTTTCCCGGGACCCGCGGGACGTGGCAGTTGAACCGGGAGAGCCGGGATGAAATGCTGTATGATCGTGATTAGAGTAATACCAATAGCTATTCGATTATGGCTCTGCGCTTGGGATTTCTTGTGCCTTCTTGGAGAAGAATACGAGACTCTGTAGACCAGGGAAAGGCTGATAGATGAACACAGTCAGACTTGTGGTTTGTGATATCTTGGCCAGAGCAGTCTGGTAGAAAGAGCTATCTTCGGCCGTTTTCTGGGGCCAAAACCGGATGCCAGCCAGTCCGTGTGAATGGCCCCAGACACTACCACTTGTGTAACCCTGCTGGTGGGCAGTCATGCTATCTTGATCATGGTCGGTGCATTGGACTAGCAGGCTACTAGCTTCTATGCCACGCGACGCTAATAACGTCTCAAGAACGATTGGCGAAAACGTGCAAAAACGTGCCGAGAATACGACGGGCATGGTTCCTCACCAGCCGGTCGTATACATGCCACTATGCTGATACGCTCATTCGATAGCGCTCTTTACGACGGATTGGTGTAGGGTATAGCCGGATGACGGAACTTCAGGTTCATAGCCCTGTCTGCACAAGCCAGCTCGGTCATGTGTGCACACGGCCCCTGGCGTATATTAAGGCAGCGGAGATTGCTCCAGTTGGCACATTCATCCTAGCAACCGTGCAAATCATGGCTATGACCGGAACACAGACGCTCCTTACCCGCCTCACGGCGTTGAGCCCGCAGGTGCCCGAGGATCCAGCCGTGTCTACGACCGAAACACAGGCCCTCCTCGCCGGTCTCGCGGCGCTACGCCAGCAGGTGCCTGAGGATGATGACCTTCGCCGGCAGCTGTCCCAGGCGCTGTCGCAGGCCCTGGTGGCAGTCGAACGGCCATTGGAGACCGTGCACCGGATCTCTTTCGCAGTAGGTGCTGCTGCCCCTCCGGATCACGTTCGTTGACGCTAACACAAACCCAGCCGCTGCAATTGACGATGACCAAGGTCGCCATCGACCTGAACCTCTTCGAGATCCTCGTTGCGAAAGACCAGCCAATGAGCCTGGCGGAGCTGACCCAGGCCACCGGCGCAGACCCTGGGCTGATCGCGCGTATCCTGCGCTATCTGGCCGCCTTCCACCTGCTCGCTGAAACCGGCGTCGACCGGTTCCAGGCCACCGCCGTGACCCAGGCCCTCACCGTGCCGGGGTTCGCAGCCGGGATCAAGCACCAGTCAGTTCTGGCCCCGCCATCTCGTGTCTGCACGGCCCACGACTAATCCAATTTCCAATTTCCACAGTTTCGAGGTGCAACTGCCCGCCTGGGGGGCGCTTCCGGCCTTCCTCGCAGCGACCAACTACCAGAACCCCTGCGATCGGGAGCGCACGGCCTTCCAGCAGGCCCACCAGACCGACCAGACGGTCTTCGCCTGGTTCATGGGCGGCAGCGCCCCGCCGCGGTTGTTCGAGGACTTCAGTCGGTGGATGAGCGCCCAGCGCGTGGGGCAGCCCATCTGGCTGGACGTGTTCCCGCTGGAGCGGTTGCTTACTTCGGCCAGTAGCACCACCGCCCCCACTACAGCAGCAGCAGCAGCACCGGCATCCCCGTCTCCTGTCCCACCCCTCTTCGTCGACGTTGGGGGCGGCGTCGGCCACCAGTGCGTGGAACTGCTGCAGCGGCTGCCCCAATGGCACGGGCGCGTGGTGCTGGAGGACCTGGCCCCCGTGGTGGCGCAGGCGCTGCCGCACGCCGGGTTCGAGCGACGGGCGCACGACTTCTGGACCCCGCAGCCGGTGGTCGGGGCGGGAGTCTACTACCTGCGCAACGTGCTGCACGACTACCCGGACGAGCAGTGCGTGCGGCTGCTGGGGCTGCAGCGGGCGGCGATGGGGCCGGGGTCGCTGGTGCTGGTGGACGAGATCGTCTGCCCGGCTCGCGGGGCGGGCCCCGCCGTGGTGGATATGGACATCACCCTGATGGCGTGCCTGGCGGCGCAGGAGCGCACGCTGGCGCACTGGACCCGGCTGTTCCGGGCGGCGGGGCTGGCGCTGGTGGAGGTCGTGCCGTATGTCACGGAGGGGGGGCATAGTGTGATGGTGTTGGAGCGGTTGGTGGCGGGGGAGGGGGAGGGGATTTAGGGCACGTCGTATCTTGCGTTTTCAGCTGACGGTCAGCCGGGATGGTACATGAATACAGTCATCATTGATACAATACACAACAAGTCACCCTTATACCATGGCTGTATCTGTACCATACCGTCCTCCACCCGAAGGAACCGAGCACAGCGGAGGATGCATAGCTGGAATGCAAAGGATTTCCCGAAGCTTAGCAGTTGTCGCTACACAACTTAATCCCACTTGGCCTTTACGATCATCATCTCAGACACACAAATTTACATACTTCCAAACTTTCCCTCCAGCCTTAACGTCCCTCTACATCTCCTCCCACCCGTCTTTTCGTCCAAAAGACCGGTCAGGATGACTTTAGTGCTTACGGACTGACCTTTCCGCATCGACTTAGCACGGCACTAGGGACCGCCTAGGGCTTATCTTCTCCCCTGCATTTCCCCCAATGGCACGGCTGATTCCTATGGCACGACTCAGCGCGCACCCGACATTGCTGATTCTCTTTTTGCGATTGTTCCTACCGGTCCAGATGGTTTCCTCCACGAAGAAAGAAAGAACCCGTGTGGCACCGTCGACATTGAACAGATACTCACCCGGGAAACGGCCCCTTTTCGACGCTGCATTAGTGCTGACCGGTGTCACCGCCTCGATCTTCTGAACAGAGAGAGACGAAGGCCTACCTAGGGTTACATCGTAGCGCTAACAGGACACTATTCTGGCTAGGTACAGGGCCTTAGGACTAAGTGATTGTCTTTGCGCACCTGCCCAATGGAATCACTCATGTGTATAGTATGATGGGCTCCCCTCCCCACCGGGCGCGAACAAGCCCCGCGGCAGGGGGGGTGGATTATTCCATCTTAGTTCTTGGGTACAGTACAGGTAGTACCTTAACATCATGTACTGGACATAGCTAGCGAGCTAGCCCGAGCTGAACCTGAACACAACCCCGGGGTGGGTGCTGAGATCGAAATCAGTATAAAACGTTCCCCTCCAGGCAAAGCATTTGAACCCATTCCATCCCCACCAACTACCTGTCACTCTCAACCCCCCTTCTCCCCCCCC